TCGCATTCAATATGAAACAATATGCTAGACAAATGAAGACGAGAAATTAGTGTATTCAATTGTTTGTTTTTTCTCATGGAGTAATCGATTGGAAAATCACTTACGCTTGTTTCTCTAAATGGAGCATAAGCCACTGACCAGCATTCTCCAAACCATTCTGTCCTGCGCCTTCATTTAGAAGTTTAAGACAATACAGTAATGAAATACACTAGTGACTTAGTATGAGATTGAAAACATTATTTTTTAAACTAATAGTTGTGAGTTCGATAACATTAAGTTGACATTCGACTTCAGTTACAACTATTATCGATGATAAATATGTCGATTTGCCTTTACTAGTTCAACCGATTCTAAGGTTAGGAGAGAACTAGGTAAAGTTGAGAAATAACGAATTTTCATCAACTGAAATGTTTATGAGCTTCATTGCAAATGGCTGATTAACATCCACATAGATATGGAGATTTCGCAGGTGCAGAAACAGGTTTGGAGACGAAGCAACAACTCATTTAAGTAGATGCAAATTACCTGGTTGACATCGGCATGACTATCTTGACCAATCACTGAAGACGTTGAGTGAAATAACTTAAAATAGGTCTTAATAACAAAGACAAATTCACTTTTCTCCCTTAGATAAAGAACCTTAAAATTGCCTTATCACAATGCATATGCCCTATATTTTCTGTGAAGCTCTGGAATAGGTGAAAACTTTCACGTACCTTGGCTGGATCATTGGTAAAAGAGAAGAATCTGATGCAGATATAAAGGCACGGACTAGCAAAGCAAAGGCAGCATCCCTACAATTGATGAACATTTGCAACTCAGAATAACTGTCAGTTATCAAAGTCAGGATTTTCAAAACGAACTTCAAGACAATTCTTTTGAAAGAAGCTAAAATCTCGACAAGTACCTGAACCATGATCAGAAAAGCACATGCATTTATAAACAACTGCCTATGAGAAATAATCAATGTCTGTTGGTTGGATACCATCAGTAATAGTAGTAGCAGAGAATAATCTGGCTTGCAGCTGATAAGGAAAGAGTTCTGGAGAAGGATAGGACACACATTGCTAACATCATCAAACTGTGTCACAAGACAAATTCTGAAGGCGAAAAAGATGATCAGAGGACATATTTGGATATTGGAGTTATACATCTAAAGAATGAACAGCAATCGGGTACTGGGAAGGAGCCCAGAAATGAGTTGATTAGAGAATCCTGGTTTGCAGCCTATGCTCTTACGAGGCGCAACAGGCGTATATACACGTCGAATCATTTCTATACTCACTGATATTATAACTATTTCTGTTCCAGCATTTGTCTGGATAATTCGATCTGATAATGATATAAGCTGATGTACATACGTGCCATGGTGATCTAAATTGCTAATAACTAATTGTATGTTATTATAGTTTTTGGTATAACATCTTTCTCAATGCATACTATTTATTTGAACACATAAATATTGGGCACCAAATACATAAGCGCCACACAAGTCACTTCTTTGTGAATGGGTTGATGACACTGCCCGACCTAAAGATCTGACCCACAACGCAGTGGAACAACGTCAGGAGATGCAGTCTCATGGTAGCTGGTGACCAATGATTATTTCATATGCCATTTGTTCCTTCAAGATACTGGAGCCAGGCCATGAGCACCCCTGTTTTGGAATCAGGGTTTTCCAACTCCCCTAAGTGTATCTTCCATATTCACCAACCCGGTTAAAGCACTGGATATTCGCTTTTCGTTCTCTCAATTTCGTAAACACCCCCACCGAGAGAAGGCAGTGAGCAGTACTTTCGTGGCTAATTTTGTATACACACGGCATTTTGTTGAGAGAGGACTCATCCCACCCTCGACCGTACCAGAGCATTGGGGGAGGAGGGCATTGAACCGACTAAACATTATTTTTTATAAAAAAAATTCAGCGAGGTACACACACGTTACTTACTAATAACAAGATGACCAACTAATCTGAATTCTAGTATTTTAATGTGAAAAAAAACAAAAGTCAATAAAAAGGGTAACAAATAGAATCTATGCATTTGTATATGAATATTTATGTATAGAGTATTAGTAATATTTTTTTTCAATGAATAATGTTAGTGAATAAAATGAAAATACAAACGCGTACACACATATCGTCGTACATTGAGGGAGGGTTTAAGGAACTCAGAAAAGAATGAGTAGGTGTAGGAGGAGGAGGAGGAAAAACGTGAAAAGCATATCATATTTAGAAATGCAAGATGAATAAACATACATATTTAATTATAGTACACCATAAATATGTATGTAAATAGAAATTACATACACATATCACTAAGGTACAACGAAATAACGAGAGAGGAAAAAAAACACAGCAACAATTTAAATGAGGACTTATTATTATTATTCCAAGAAGAAGAAAATTCTCTAAAGAAAAACACGACAACAACAGATAAACTGTCACTTCATTTTAATTTATATCCAGTGGTGAATGTAAACGCACACACACACACAATCAATCTAAGAAGGCAACCAATTTAAAAAAAGAAAGATATTGGGTAAATTTAACAAATGCCTAAACAGAATCAATCATTATCAATGATCCATCTCTGTAAATTACACATAATAGACTGTTGTTTGGTTTTCTTTAAAAAAAAAAGTGTACATACACATCTATCTATTTATATGTACGGAATCCAAATGTTTATTTCTCAATATTAAACAAACAACCCTGCCCCCATTAACTGAAAAATGATACATTGTATATAATGATTTAAGATTATTTTAAGTAATGAATATTCATATAAGTAGTCAACTATTATAAGTAGTACAAGTAAAAGACACTAATGTCATGTTGTATTAGATAAAATATGAAGAAGAAAAAAAAACAAAGGCACAATTACTTTTATTTCTCCTCTAATTACTCATATAAAAATACAGAAATGGGGATAGTTCACATACACACAAACAATTTATTGAGTACATCTAATGTATATATATACACACATATATGTAAATGTAAGAGTATCGATGTAACAATATTGAGTGATATCAATGATTTGTAAATAGATCCTGACCAATATATCATGGATAACATCAACAATATTGTATGATAAACAATAATACAATAGAAAAAGGCGATAATTAACAAAACATTTTAATAACAAATATAAACTGATTGATAGATTACCACAGATTTATTTAAGAGGAGAAGATAGGAAATCGTATACACGAATTTTGTGTGCCAGCAGCCAGTGTGTGTGTCTGTGTATGTATGGATTAATATATAAACAATAGTGAGAATATGAGAAATGCCTTTTTTTCTTGTTTGAAATGACAAAAAAACGTTGGGGGTGGGGAGCAACGAAAATTTGCAACCATAAAGATATCAATCAAATGAAACATACCTCTACAACATATGGTCATAGAAACACCATCTTACAAAAGATCCAATTAACGAGTTCATAGAAATCACGAAAAAAAATATAAAGTTTATAGACTAAATAGGGCAATTAGTTAATGAAGAACCGGACAAGAGAATGAAACAAATAAACATACAAACAAAATGGTTATATAATATAAAATTTTAATGTAAAACATAAACATCATGGAATATCCATCCTTTTATCATTATTGAATGAAATAAGTAGACAGAAAATTATAACTTCATAAATTGTTGCATAATGTTGGTAGACAAAATCATGATTATTGTGCATATTTTTTCTAATACCATATTCAAACATTATTATTATTATTATTAGCTACCTTATAAGAGATGGGTACGTCTTGTCCATAAACAAAATGATAAGATACGAAGGGGGACGAGAGAGAGATAGGAGGGGAGATAAGATCGGATTACAATCACATTATTATTATCATTACCACCATTATCCGAACAAAGAAGACAAAATACACAACTAACAAACACACACACACACATACACAATATCAATTCATGTGATTAAAAATAGAATAACAAATTGATAAGTAAACAAAACAAAACAAAAATAATAATAAAACTAAATTGAGAAAGGGAAAACAATCACACGAATAAAACAAAAAAAAATTTACCGTAATTTATGTGTAAACGATCATTATTCTTTCAACAATTTCAAGATATATATGCGTTAGAGACAGAGAGAGAGAAAGGGAGAAAAGTACACAGAAGAGTAGAAATATCAATTAAAAACAAACAAACAAACAAGATGACAAGGAAAATATTGATTTGTTTTTGTTGTTGTTGTTCATGAACAGGTATAAGATGGCGATGGGAGAGTGGAATTTAGGTGGAGGGGTGGTGGTAGGGAAGTTGGGCGCATTACAAATAACTATGTTTATTATCTATATTTCATTGATATAATGCATTGTTATCACTTCATGAATTTTCTATATTGAATTAAGTATGTAAAAGAGAGAAATAGATAGACAACATATGTATATAAATAGATCAGGTGGAAATTTATTTCATCAAGTGTTCTCTCTCTCTTTTCTTTTTCCTTTTTGTTCTGTGAGGCACTAACTGATATACATAAATGTAAACATTATCGTATTATTAATAAATATTGATGATGATCATGATGTAACAAAATAAAATAAAGGAAAAACAACCGAAAAAGAAGAAAAGTAACAAGCAATACCAAATGCTTTGTCATTTTTTTTCTATGAATAATACCATAAATAATAATGCTAATTATCATAATAATACGTAACAAGTTGAATACCCATTAACACAGAAAGGGTATAGAGACACACATACATACAAACAGAAACATGTAAAGTGAATGATATATGTGAATATTTGTCAGTGGATTGATTAATCGGCAGTGAGAGAATAGGGACCGGTTCTAGGGCTAATATCTTGATCACAAAAAAGCATTAGAATCTGGATTGTTAATATTAATGTTAACCATCGGAACTATGATTATTGACAGTTGTAACAACAGTATTAGCAAGGGTAGTAGCAGTAGTAGTAAGAGGAAGAGAAGAACTGGCAGAAGAATTATTAATAGTTGTGGCATTTATTCCAATTAATAAATGATTTGATTCACTACTTGATATATTATTATTATGGTTCGTGTTAAAATCACATCTCATCATATTGGATGATGATAATTGTGAAATGGAATGAATAGTAGCCGATGAAGTTGATTGAGATCCATCAGCATTTAAACCCTTCAGACGAGAAGCTAGTGACTAAAGGTATCAAGAAAAATATAAGTAAATACAATAAATACACATAATACAAGAACATAAAGCTATATATATATATATATATATATATCGCGTTTAACTAAAAATTGACCATGCCTAACAATTGAGTTCAAGACGCGTGTTTCTTCCTGTTTGAAACTTATCAGCAAGATGTACTTGCATTCCAGTCTTGATAGTCGCACTGACACAACTCAAGACTATATCGAGTTTCATACTACTAGCTGAAACTTGTAACTACAGGTAACCATCGAAGCAATCCACTAAGGATATATGCAGTACTTACTTATGCCTGTTACCCTTCATAAAGGAGCAAAAGCCGCTCAAAAGAATTCTCCACTTAACTCGGTTCAGGATAATACTTTTCATGACTGCCTCCTATTCCCGACACAATATGTTCTTTGGTCTTCCTCTTTTCCACTTTCTTTCAGGATTACAAGTTAGGGATTGCAATTTGGTGATTTCTTTAATATATATCCTATCCACTTCCACTGTCTTTCCCTAATTTCCTCTTCAAATGGAAGTTCATTTGTTCTTTGGTACAGTACGTTGTTGCTGATGTTATCCGGCCAACGGACATTGAGTTTCTTACGTTGAAATTTTTTTATAAATGATTGCAGTAGTTCTCCACGTGTAAACATTATATATTCGAATACGTTTAAACGAATAGTTGACATATATTTTATAAGCTAAAAGTAACTTCTTTATTCTTCCAAAGAACTGCCATTAACCTAGTAATGTTTACTGTTTTCCATAAACAAATTCCCATCCATCCCCCATATCTCATAAAGAAAAAATGAGCATTGTATACAAAAAAGTAGCCTGTCAAGAAGTGTTCATGTTAACTTCAACTGATAAGAATAATTGTGATAACATTTACAGGACTATCCTTTCTCAATCACAACTTGAATATCAAGCTTTTCAGCAGTAATCTCTTTTTTATGGGTTTCATCTCGTTTGGAGGGTAATTGTTGAAACGTTGTATATGTTAGTAACTCTACAGCTGGGTTCGTAGTAGAACATTATTCTCTCGCAAACACAATCATAAACATAACACAAGTCTTATTTATCATAGAAAGTAAAATACATCAGAGTGAGAAACAGCGGAACTAAACCATCCGGAATGCCTTGAAAATAACAAAATGAAGATAGAAATTGTTGAGTAGATCCGTGATTTTCAAAACGGAATTATGGATAACCTGCTATCGATTATCATTCTTCTTGATGAAATTTCCCCTTATGGCTAAATTTGGTGGTAATATAGTTGTAGATTGCCTACAGAATAATGAACCATTGAGTAAGAGCATATTATAAAGGTGAGATCAATAGATGATATATTGAATAGCCACGGAGTTCGGGGATGTGATTATTTGATAAGTATTAAGGTTAGGAGTATTAATGTAAAGGTAGTGTGACATTTACAATGATATAATCATTTCTAATCTTTATATCATTTGTAACTTAATACTTTTACGCAATATCTATTTCATTTGCAGAAGCTGTGTATTCTCATTGGTTGGTCTTAAGGTCGCTATTAAAATCGATCAAGAGCATCAGCACAGATGAGTTCTAATGTAAGAATCAAATTAGACATATTAACACAATAACCACAAATAAATTTGTTAAGTACAAGGCTTGCATAATACGAGGACGGTATGGGAAGAAATTTTTAATTATATCCTTACAAACTAAAAGGAACATGACAAAAATTATTATACGAATCTATTAAGGCTCGAAATGAATAAAAATAATCGATATATAGTAATGATAAAGCGATTGCAAGAATAGTCAAATTTTATTACAAAGGCTAAAATCGCTTCAGAAACAGTAACGACACGACCTTTGACCTTTGATTGTCATGTTCGTTAAATTGCTACATGCTTAAAGGTCATACTTTCTGTTACCATAACAACAACGTTTGTACCAATTTCACTTGAGTTGCTTGTCATATCACAAATATCAAGTTATCTGCTATTCCGTCTTCTTCCTGTGTTAGCTCTCGAAGTTTGATGTGTTGAATATAATTAGCTGTTGTCAGTTCCGAAGAAAACCGATCATATTAGAGTAGATGAATCATTTTTATTCCTAGATCCGTATTGAACCCCAATAACAAGACACAGCAATTGGCGACGGGAATGGCTGTTAAAAGTGTTGCTGATAGGCTTAAACAACAGATCAAACTGATTGATTTACTTACGTCTGTTACATCTCGTGGAGGACAAAAGGCCGCCAACCAGCACTCTCTATCCAACTTTGTCCTATGCAATCCTTTCCAGTTGATATTCATCCTTTTGATATCTCCTTCCGATCCCCGACACAATGTATTCTTTGGTCTTCGTCATTTACGTTTCCTTTCAGGATTCCAAGTTATCGCTTGCCTCATGATGCAGTTTGTTGATTTCTGCAACGTATGTCCTATCACACTGGATGAAATGTTACCTCATACCCAAATCACTAAGAACACATTTCTATCAATATACCTATCTGAATTTATGTTTGGTAGAAAATCAATAATATTGCTGAGTTTAATTATGACCCATCCTCAAATACAACATTTGACATCTGGTCTCGTCGTTACGAAGATATGTTTAATGTTGATTTCAGAGATTGAGAAGACTTTTGGAATATACTTATTCTTTTACGGAAACTCAGAGCAGAGGAACTTCATTTAGTTAGCTGTTTGGTGATCGGTTTTCAATTTTTAATTCTTGTTATTGATACATGAAGTTAGTAGTGAACGAAGAGGATGATTTTTATTCATACATGTTGGAATGAACTTTATTGTTAAGAGTCCTAACCCTTAGGCCCGAATCATGAAGTAGATCGTAATTTGGTGATATAACATTTAATGGATGAACTTATTAGATAGCACCCTTAGTATTTTTCAGAGAAATTCCTTCATCCACTATGGTTAAAGACCATTTTTTAAATGACGTTGGATATCATTTCATGATGAGAACTATAACTCTATTTAAAAATAACATGAAAACTCTTAAAAATCTGTTCAGTTCTTAATAAAAGTTTGAAAAAGCAGATAAACTACATCCATATAAGTAGATTTATATATCATTATTTTTCCAAATTGTACAGGCGAAATAACCCATAGAAGATAGTATAAGACGTATTATTTTTTTTAATAGAAAATCTGTTTACACTTTGCTTTCTTATATAAACTATCCATTTATAAAAAGCTGTTCTCTAATTGATTAGAAAGTAGATGGAAATTCATTGAGGTTATTTTAAGCTTACCCCTTAACTATACCTACTACTATGGATCAACTTACTGACTTCAAAAAAATTATCTTCGCCCTCTTTCTCAACATCAACATCGATACGTTTCTATTCTATACACAAACTTGATGTAAACATGTCAAACAATGAAAGTATTTTGAATTAATGAGAATATACTTAGAAACATGTGTACATTTTGTAAAACTGTTGAATATGAAATGCATAGACCACATAATTTTTATAACAAATCAAATTACCTGAATCTCTTGTAAATGAAGAAGTGCTTCAGTCGGTGTAATTAATTTAATTGATCCATAACAACCAGTAGTCTGTTGTTGTCCATTATTATTATTACTATTACCACCTTCTAAAGTGTCATGAACAATAGACACGTGTGTAGGACTATTCAATCCTAGCAGAACCCAACGTGCTGACATATTTGGATGAATTTCAAAATCAATATCATTATTATTACCATTACTACCAATAGAAGTGGTATTAGAAGAATTTCTATCAGTGGATTCCACAGATCGAAGGATATGATTGTTTAATGCTGAGGACACAGTCATTTTTAACATTCCGACTGATATATGCGGTGGAATGTTATGCGCTAGAAGCCATGATTTACTCGATATAGAAATGGGAATTATAGGATGATAATCTATTCCACTGTTGTGTATTTCGTCAATTTCACTAACGCCAGCACCAAACGATTGTCGTCTTGTATCATTCATTGAATTAGTGACATCATTAATCATATCTGACCATCTAGGATCACCAAGTGATGAGAGTTGAGATGATATAAATGGTGGTGGTAGTCTACTGCTATTATTACCGCTGACGCCACCAACAACTCCGCCATTGCCACCACCACTACTACTGCCAGAGGGTGTCCAACGCCTGTCAGTTGCTAATGCATTACGATTATTTGAAAAATTCTCGTGTAATTGTGGACTAGAACCTGACCAAGGACTAGATTCCCATAATAAAGAATCTTTAAAAAGGAAAACAAAGAGAGAAAATACATTAGTGTTCATCAAAATTGGGAGGGGGGGACACGAAAAATCCTCACATACCCAATCAAATAAATAAGCAAATAGAAAGAAGGAACATTAAAGACTATAACACTAATGGTAATACATGCACCAATTTAACAACAGCACAATATTAAGGTATATTTGTTCATTGGATTATATCATGAAATCACCTTAATCATACAACCACTGGAAACGAAAGATAAATCTAAATATACTTAGCAGTAATTATGCAACAGTTTAGCAGCTATAAATCTTACGATCCTAACGAGGGTAAGATATAAAATCTGTGGAGTTTAACTGTGAAGGGTTTGAGGTGTTTAGACGCTGATAGTATGATAGAAAAGTTGCGCAAGAATGTGAATTTCTTCAAACCAGAAATGCAAACCATCAGATATTAATTCAGTAACCTAAAGATTAAGAGCGTTCTGTGAAACCCAATATACTGAGTTTGATTACCTACGGGGTTAAAAGTAGGTATTCATTAGAAGTAATACAGCAGGACAAAACAGCTATTCAATACTCTTGGTTTTCCAATAGTTCCCAAACTAAGGTTTGTTCATCATATATCGTCACAAATTAATCGGAACCTTATTCAATATTTGTATCAATTAAATGGTTGAAAGTGTTAATGTAGCAATGTGAAAATAACAACAGCTGATAAAGATGAATTGTGCAAAACAAATGCCAATAAATATATTTGTCAAAACATAATTTATACAAGAATAAAACAACAGTTTATTATTTAGCTAAAACAATGGACTTTCAATCATCCGATGAACACATGTTTAGATCGTGTTTAACCTACTTCACTTCACGAAGCCAAATGGTTGTGGTGTACCAGCTATAAGATTGATCAAGCATTACTGGAGAACCCTATTGATTTCACTGATAGGAAGACTGTTATATTTTAAAACATATTACCCCGTTATGTGAATATGTTTTCACGGTAGAATAGAAAACCCTTGGGTCTTAGTGCGTGGGCGTCATGACCACATGTGACTAGTACAAGTTATATGCACGTCGGTAACATAAGTTTTCCCTTACAGTCAGTCATTCATCTATAATGTAGGACCAGGTACATATATATGCATTGGTCCAAGTTGCCACACCTTATTAGCATAACAAGATCAACATCAAATCCATAGAAACAGGGAGAATTAGTTCATAGAAAGGTATAAGGTAATTTTAATCTCACAGTTTAAGGGAAGACAAAAAGTATGTACACCTACGCCATTTAGATCGATTCTGAGACACATCACCCAAAGTCTTCAACTACTGCTTACAATAGTGACGTGGACCCCAACTAAGCAGTCTGTATCTACCAACATTGCTCACAATAGAAGTTAGTGACTTCAAGGACTGATGCCACGTTTTGGTTTGGCCGCCACTAACTTCCTTCTAGTGTCCTACACTATCAGCATTACACAATGTGGTATTCAGTGATTGAGCATGCGTAATACATGGCCCAACCATCTCAGTGGATGTAGATTCACAACATCAACTGATATGCCATCATTATCGAATACCTTGCGTCTAACCTCACCCGGTGATCTCAGAAGATGAGGGCAATATTTCTAAGACATCCCGACCGTTACTACTATTTTGATGTGGTGGTCGGGTTTGCCTGTAGTGATGAACCAATCGGGTTATACTGACTGAAACCATTCCACGGTATGGGAAACCGGGAAGTGATAACCATACTCAGACTTCTGATAGTACTCAAAACCAAAGAATATACAATAAGTATGCATGTTAACAAATCATTTAATAAGGGCGCTTTAGAACTAAGCCATGAATGCAAGTGAATTTCATCATTTAATAACCATTCAACAAGAATATCCTTGACGAATACAAAAACAAACACTAAAAATATGTGTCCGCCGAATCTTCAAAGTTAGTAGTACACATTGAATCCAACCTCATAGCTTTCTTTTAACAAATTAATTAAATCGACTATTTCTATTATAATACAACTAAGAAAGAATAGTTATTTATGATAAAATAATTAATACTATTACATAAATGCCGATTTGACTTACTCATATTGAAATTTGATTGATCCGGTAGAAAATCAATATTTTCCGTACCATTACTATTATTACCGACTACAGAAATATTTAATGGTTGATTTGTTTTGCTACAACCACTAATCATACTGCCACTTTGTGTTGAAATAGGACACCATGATGATGATAATGCAGAGGTCGACGATAATGATGAACTATTACTGTTAGTCAATAAATTAAATCCACCACAATTAACTGGATTAGTTGTTCCTGTTAAACAATTAGGAATTAGGTGTTGTACATTAGTAACCGATTGACCAGTAGTACCACCGCCAACAATCACGCCACTACTTGTTAATAACGATGATGGTGTAACAGTGGTAATATTAGTAGTGTTTAAATTTTGAGATGGATTAGATAAATTCGATGAGGACATAGTAATCTGTCGTAGCATACCAGCTTGACTACGTACATGTTTTAATTGAGCCTGTTGAGCATCGATTTGTTGACCAACTTGAAATGCTTGTAACTGTAATTCATGTATAACAGGATTTGTAGCAAATGGAACATTAGTTGCTGAACGTATATGTGAGAGTTTTTGATTTAAATCCTGTTAAAAAACAAAAATAAGAAAGACATTTATGAGATTGTCTTTATTACAGAAGTATCCAAAGATAAGATGTCATCGTGAGTCATTCACTCTCAAGAAACGTATATCTGCATCGATCCAAGTTTTCATATTATATTAGTACAATGAAATGAAATTATCAAGATGAATATCAAAATAATAAACGTGGTAAGTCATTTTGACAGATTTTCAATGATGTTAGCCAACATTCATAACCACTAGTTACAATCCTAGCGCAAAACTTAGTCAGACAGCCTGTACGTGACAAAATAAACCACGTCAGCAGTCATTCACTTCATAGACTGATACGTCGTATCTTCTCACTTATTCCCACATCGAAAAACAGCTTATCACTGAAGGTGGTGAGTGGGGACAGGTAACACTTGTCTCAACCAACTCAGTCATGAAAATTCACTAATTCATTTGCCAGTTTTCCATTCTGAACCTAGTATTCTGCTTCTAAACTGAGTATTATTTACTGGGTGGTTCGAAGTTACAAGACTAAGGCTTTGAAGTTTTTAAAGATCTTGATTAAAATAATGATAAAAAACTAAGGAATAAATTGAATTTAACCAAAATGACACTGTACAAACAAGGTAATCATAATTGAAAAAAGAAAATTATCAAACCATAGCAAGTGATATTAAGAAATATGCACTTGCAAATAATTTAAACTTAGAGGAAAATGGGGGTTGTATGTAATCTATGCCAGTGCGTTTGTGATTGTTCTCGAATTCCATACGTCACTTAAAGTCACCAAAAGTACAGGCCGAGTATATAAGATTATATGAGAATTTAGATCGGCCTGCACAAACACACACGCGCTTCATATCAGTAAAATGAGAGCAAACAAACCACACAAAAAGTATGAAAATCAACAGAAATCTAAACACGTAAAACATAGTTCCAATAACGAATGTGAATGAAATAAGTACTATATAGTCACAAAACAAGCACACGGAACCTAGAAAAGAAAGCATAAAGAGTAAATGCAACTAACTATATTTAATCGTATGTAAATCCACGTATGTAGCTCATTCCAACAGCTGGCGATATTATAAGTATTAATAGAAAGTTTGGACTTGGAATTTTCAAATAAATCTCAATAAGTAGAAAAATTGTATTACTGACGTTTCGTGACCTAATGTAAGTCGCTTCTTCAGAGTACTATTGTACTATCTAAAGTATGATAATTTAATTCGGTTACTTATTTACTCTGAAGAAGCTGTTTACATTAAGTCACGAAATGATAGAAATACATTTTTTCTATTCATTGGGATATAACGGAAACATACTTGTTATTAGTTAGTCTTTATTTTCGAACTAATGATAACCGAGACAGCATTGTGTTCAGGTAAGTATAACGAGTAGACAATCGTAACAAATATTTTAATCAATTTAAGCAGATTAAATTATTCACTCAATATTTAAAGTATAAAAATATCACCCAGTTGTTTAAACCGATATAATTGGAGATGGATTCGAATCTGTGAGCTAGTAGCAGTAGTCAAAAATCGAATGATTTTTAAGTAACCTGAAGTAGTAGGTAATCAAATTTTGTCAATTACAATACTTCGAAATTAAATAGGGGATATAAAAGAAAGATGAAATTTCGTGTTAGCGGAACATAGAATGGATTAAAGTATGTTCAATGCGCGATGGCTTCGGTGCACGCTGATTGGCTAATTCTTATCCAATCAGCGTTAGTCAATACTTAGTGAACACCCTAGAAATCTTCTCATGTGAAAAAAACTATAAATATACTCACGTTTTCCCTACTGTGCTTCTTACTTCCATCTAACCTTGTTATTTGAAATATAATCTTTTTTCCTGTACAACTGTGTTCTGATTTGGGGGACTTGTCGAGTGTGAATCGATGTCCGAGAATATTAAACAATAGGAATAGCTGGGTTATAACTGTAAGAGAGAATTATAACATTTTGTAATGAAAATAATTAAATAAACTATGGTTTATAATATGATTATATGATTTATGACTTACTTGATGTTTTGAATGTAATTGTACAATGGTTTGAAGTATTTGTGTTTCACGTTGTTGTAATAATTGTAATGATAATTCTAAATTTTCTGTAGGTTGATTATTATTATTATTATTACTAACTGATATATTGGATTTCATCATCTATGTATATGTAAAGAAAAAAAAAGTGAATACATTAAAATTAATAGGTAACTTGTAAAACTATCTTAGTAGATTAAATAAGTTGTTCAATAAACATCTTATTCACTTATTGGCTATGTTATAAATTCGTGTATTATTTACCATTGAGTTACATTTCGTTAATCGGTTACAGAAATGTAAACAGATGAAGTAAGGTGAGAAGCAGAACTAAAGTGAGTGAGAATTAAATGTCTAAACCACTGAGTTATAGTACAACTGAATAGTCAATAAGTAATGATATGATGTACTTATTGAATGCAGGTACTTATAATAGACTTCAAGTTAAAATTCATTCAATTTAAAATAGATTGGATTAACCCGTTGTTGGTATTTTGATTGAGTTTTCATCAATCTTAGTTAGACTATATGCAGTCTATGGGGACTGCCTCGATATAGCCATAAAACAACTTAAACGTGGTTAGCCGTGGAATCTGTGACACCCGTTTAGTCTAATTCAGGACTTGATAGTTGGATGTACTAGAATTCCAGAGTTGACGTCTACTTCAGAGAACATGGAATCAAAACAAATAGCATTTTCCATGAGAATTAATTAAATCATTGTGATTGAAAACCATTCGTCTATAATGTGAATTTTTAGTTGTAAAATATTTGAATAGTTAGATAGATTTCGAGATTTAGTTCAAAGTCGATGACAGGAATAGTTGCAGATGGAAACAATTTATATCTTAGCAGTAGCATGTTATTAAAAGTGTTGCATTCTCTGAACAAACGATTTATTTGTAAAGCTTTCCTCGTTATCTCCGATAATACCACCAAAGCATCCTTCAAGTAGAAATAAGTTTTTTTTAAAGAAAAAAAACTCCGTAAGTGATTGTAATAATGTCAGTCAGTCAGTCAGTAACAATATAGAACTTCGTATGTACGTACATCAGTTCGAGTTGCCATACAACATTAGCACAGAGATGCAGTGGTCGATTTAAATCCCATAATAATGTTGTTTGTAACCGCTTGGTTACCTTAGTATCTTTTTTTACGATTAATTTGTTTAATTGATCTATGATCAGGTGATCCATTAACCTTTGCTATATAGATTGATAAAATCAGATCTAAGTGTAAGTCAAAACCACATCCATTCTGTTTAAAATTAATTTTTAATTGGTAGTGTTGAATTTATAGAGTTATACACACTATTGGATTATTCGATTCACATAAAATGGAACGAAATGATTGTATTGTGTCATATTGAGTGTTAATGGTTTTGAAAATGTTTTCCAATACATGATAGAACAATCTGATTTATAGACATGATTTTATGGTAATTGTTAGTTTGTCAGTTTTTCTTTTTGTTGAGAAAATTCCGTGGAGTAGGTACTTTTACTTTAAAAAAAACGGAGTGAAGATAAATATCTTCGATTACACGAGCAGGAATAGTGGAATGATCATAAAGCTAAAAATCTGCTCGGAGGCGCTGATTAACTTATCGTTTAAAATAACAATGATACATTCGCAATTAAATTATTTTAGTTTAATGAAGGTATATACAATGTACTGTAACATAGACAGATAGATAAACCTTATTACCTCATTTCCTCTCATTGCATTCATAGAACGATTGGGATTTGTACTTTGTCCAGGAAGATCTGACTGTTGTCTAACATCATTTGAATTAGGTGTAGGCAACAAATTGGATGTGATTGGTCTCAATGCATTGATTAATTCATCAATGCCTGGATGGCCTGATCGATCACGTAAATCAACTAAAAGACGGTATAATTGATAAGCAATCGAAGTTATCTCTTTCTTTTAGCAAAAATTATGCAATAAACTGATAATTTTTTCTCATTTTAAAATGATACATTGCATTATACTTGAATAAGACTATCACAATTCTATATGTCAGTTATGTGAAACAATAATAGTGATAATAGTTGGAGGTTAGATTATGCAATAGAATGTGAGAAAAGTTGTTTTGAATTTATAAACAAAGGACTGGTTTACATAATGGACTGACCTCACAGTTAAACAACAGAGTTGTTGTAAAGGAAAGTATTTTGGAAAGATTAGTACCGTTTTAATATAAGGGACATATTATCAACCAACATCTTCAAGTCTCTTGTAGCGAGTAGGTTACCTTTAGATTGCTCTAAGTTGCTATAAACTGTATCATAGTTTCACAATATTGATCTTACGTTCTTAAATAAATAGTCTATTTATATATTTGCTTATAATGTCTAAGAAATATGGCATCCAAAGATGCATCACACAAATGAATTGATATTGTGAAGAAATAAAAGAGAGATGCGGTGTATGATTGATAAACAAACAAATAAGAATAGTAATTAATATGTGATACAGTTCAGTCAGATATACAAACAAGAAAAACGCTTCTCAGTTAATAGAGAATGTCTCTCAATTTCATAAGAGTGAAGACAAAAATCACTGAGAGAGTACCAACGGCTTCTATTCTGAGAGATGTCTAATGACGTGCCAATTCACTGGAGTTACACACACCTTCTATAACTACAATCAAGAAGTAGTAATACACAAACAGATGTCATTTCTATACAGCTATCTTTAATATCGTGGCGTCAAGTCACACACTAACTATATTTGTATGATACAAGGATTCATGTTAGGTGTTGTTCTATTTTGTCGTAAAGCTTTGTATTTGTTCCTGATAATTCAAAACGAATAAGTGAAATTTTCGATAACTTCAATTCTAGTAAAAGGTTAAATAGCTAGGTGCGGATACAAACATGATTATGAACCAATTAATCTGAAATAAAACTTACTCAATGCTCGTTCCACATTTGTATTTGTATCAGCGAATATAGGTTGTATTTCATCTTCAGTAAAACCCAAGTTAAAAAGTTGACGCATCACATGGGCACGAATCATACTCTGTTGTTGTAATTGATGTGAATGCTGTTGTGGACTCATAAACATACGTTGTGACATAGGTGTTGACGAAAAACCGGGAGTTATGGGTGGATAGAAGGCACTTTGAGGCGTTCTAAATGACTGGTTTACACCCCTAGCAGGAGTTAATGACGAAGGAAACTCTGAGGTACCAATCTGTTGCGAAACTCGAGGAGCTAGGCTTTGAGTAGGTTGATTGAAAAATCCTCCAGCACTACCACTATCCATCCCAGATGCATTAGTTGACCAAGGTCCTGGAACAGTACCTGGGCGTCGTTGGTCTGTATGTGGCCATATGCCTTGCATATGTGTAGTTGTTGCACCAGGAGGCCATCTCATACCAGTAGAAGTCATATTAGGCAAAACATGGGGTGTTGGATGTTGTTGCTTACCAGGTAAACGATTCATATTCTGTCCGGGCCACCGAGACTTATTACCAAAATTAATCCCAGGAACAGAAGGGTCAACTATAAATAAACCCAATAAAATTCAAAATTCAATGATAAACTATATCATTGTATTGATAGAAATGAGAACAAAGTATCAACTCATACCGTATGGAAAATAAATCATAAGAGACTGTTTTGAAATGTCACATTAAGAACAGAAAAATAGCTGCAATAAGGCCGCAATTTTATAAATTCCTCAAATATCACTTATAGACTTCGGCAAAAGTTATCTTAGTCAAAAAATAATAGTTAAATAATATGCAGTGTTTATTCAGTAATTTGTTCCGCTAAGCTAACTGAAGCATATTCAAATCATACCAACTATTACATTAGTTTTGAGAGTCTAAGTATACAGACCACAGCAACTGTTGTGTAGGTCAACAGCGAAATGAGATTAAACTGTTGGTTAAGTATCCAATTGTAAATACAGAGATGTTGTTAAAAGTAAATGGTAGATTTGAAAAAAAAGAATTTAAACTAAGGGATCTCTTTTAAATGAATTCATTATCATTCTACCAATTCACAGGTTGATTTTAAGGTTGTTTATACAATTCGTTCAAATATACCTAGATTTATTCTTACCCAACTCCATAAAACAGAGAAAGCTCTTACCATCCATGAGCTGGAGTCAGAACTGAGAGTAAAAATGAAGTACGTTCTATCGTTACTCTGGCGTAATTGTATTATTACATTTCGTATTTGAAAAGAACCCTCCATCTTTACTTGTCTCATATCCTCATGATTTTATTCATCATTATTGTTGAGATCATTTAATTTTGTACATCTATTGCCCTTAATTATTGTAACAAAAAATTTTAACAGCCGAATTCATCAGTCGATCTAAGCTAAACCACGACTGTAAACCTGGAAGAACTAGACAGCCGTTTCGTTTTAGAATAGGACTCCTTAGCAGTGCACATCCACGATCCTACATATTGGACACTAACCCAGGATCTTTGGATTCGCGCGTGAACACAACCTGTAGACTAAAGAGCCGGCATTCAACGGTGTTAATTCGACTTCTAAATTAAACTATTAAAATTACTACAATCTCAACAATCCCTCAGTCTGATAAAGAATTTTTAATTATCTTCATTCATGTTGTAATCCGTTGCTAACTTATTAACTTTACAAAGCGCCCTCTATTTGCACGCACAAACACAATAATCTATTGTTACTACTCATCTTGCATAATCTAGTATTATAATCTTCTTATTACATCATTATGTCTACTCCTTAGTCATATGTCATGAAGGAATTAATGCTCTAACAATATATCTCTCTGGTACGGCCGAGAGTCAACTCCCCTTTCTCGAAGTACTCTCACATGACCACGTGCATCCAACCACTACCAGGGAAGTCCTACTCACTGCCTTCTCGCACCACGGGTGATGTTTACGAAATTGAGAGGACGAAAACCAAATGTCCGGTGCTTTAACCGGGATGATGGACATGGAGAGTCCACCTAGGGGAGTTGGAAAACCCTTATTCCAAACCAATGGTGCACATGGATTGGCTCCAGCATCCTGAAGGAACAAGTGGCGTACGAACCAATCGTTGGTCACCGGGTACCAAGGAACTGTATCTCCTGACGTTGCTCCACTGCTTTGTGGTTCAGACCTTTGGGTCGAAGGCTCCAGGATTGGCCCCCTAAAGAAACCACCTGTTTCGGTTTGAGCATCCGGACAGTATCCCAGCACTCACACGAATCGAATGACTTATGTGGCACATATCTATTTGGTGCCTCTTTGTATCAATGTGTTATGTGTTTAAATATATCTATGATTGTACTGCTTGATAATAAATTTGTTGAAAACAGATACCTTCGCTGAACTTAATGTTTTTAATGTTTAAATGGAAATTATATGTTCGATGATAAATTTTCACTGTGAAATTTCAAAAGCATTTCAATACTATTTTTATTTACTTGCATAAGAGAAAACTTGAAAATGGAACCTATTGAAGATTTGTATATAACGATTAATTACAGTCGAAATAGATAAGAATTAATCAGAAAAGGTTGAAAAAACAAACAGCAAACCACTGAACTGATAATTGTGTGAATGACATATAAATTTATCACTAGTAATTTATTGAATGAAAATCTAATTTGATATATGTAGTTTACACGCAGTATCCTAATTATATAATATATTTCTAAACTATGTTCTATCAATATCTACAACTGAGGAACATCTGGAACTCAAAACAACTTTCTGTCAACCAACACCAAGGTCAGAATTTTCAATACAAATGTCAATACAATTCTGCTGTATGGGGCGGAAACCTGCAGAACTAGGAAAGCCATCATCCAGAAGATACAAGTGTTTGTTGAAAGTTATCTTCACAAAATACTTCGGATCTGTTGACCAAACACTACCAACAACAACTTACTGTGGGAGAGAACAAACCAGATTCCAGTGGAAGAAGAAATCAGGAAGAAGCACTAGAAGTGGATAAGACACATTGAGGAAAGCACCCAACTGCGTCACAAGGAAAGCCATCACATGGAACCCTCAAGGTCAAAGAAAACATTACGCCGAGAAATGGAGACAAACATGACGAAAACGAACAAAAATTGAACAGAATTGGAAAGGAATGCCCACGACAGAGTGGGTTGGAGAATGCTGGTCGGTGGCTTATGTTCCACTGGGGGTATCAGGCGTAAGAAAGTAAGTAAAGTGTTCTAGCAATGTCAATGCAATATTTTTTATAGTCTATTCATAGTATATTTCTTGTTATATATATATATATATATATATATATATATATATATAGAGAGAGAGAGAGAGAGAGAGAGGTCGATTGGAAAGAAAAAAATCTTGCTAGAGTATAACTACAACAAAATGTTACTTCTGATTAAAAACTACTTGAATTGATAATGTTATCTCGTTTAATATAGAAACTATCAGACTAACTCTATAAATAGTCAAAATGAATTTACTTGTTCTTTATTACTAATAATAATTAACATGAAAATGAAAAAAATTTTACAAACCTGGTTGTGTTCCCGAGGTATAGGGCCAAGAAACTCCTGAACCTAGATTCACCGGATTAGCTATTGGGAAGCTTCTAGATGAACCACCACCACTACCGGTTCCCGCTATATTACTATTAACAGGTCCTATTGGATGATTTCCACCGAAAATCGGTCTTGTTCCCAAATTCATAACACTTGAATTTGAAGGTGGTTGTCCTACAGGAAATATAGTCCCTGGGACCGCACGATTGATTCCACGAAAACTTTCAGTACTTGCTGGCAGTTGACCTTGTTGAGGTCGAGATCTAATAGTGGGATGTGAAATTTGATTAGAAGTGAAGTTAGGAGGATTGATAAGTTGTGATAAAAATGGAGCCTGAGATGTTTGTGTAGAATTACCACTATTTTGATGCCATCGGGCAGTTCTTTCACCAAGACTTTCGTAATGGGACTCCCAAATCCCAGTACCATTTGGAGGTTCACTTGGCCAAACATTTGATTCCAGATCTCTGTTAAATGAAGAAGCAGTGGAGCTAAGACGCCTGGAATGTAAAGATGACTGAGAACCTGTCGGCTGGATAGTTGACACTCCACTAGATTGATTATGACCTGAAATTCGTGATGCAGCAGAAGTTTCACTCACAGGTGGAGATCCTGTAATCGGTCCAGAGGAATGTATTGGCAAGCAGTCACCATTTGCTTCAGAACAATTCCATGGTGTGCTTTGATCAACTGGATGAATACCCCATGGTTCAGTAGTATTAACCGCAGTGCGAATAGCTTCCTCGGTATCACATACCGAAGAGTCGATATCAGAACTAGACTTTTTTAAACTAGTTTGTCCAATATCAAATTCTGATAACTTGTTACTACCTCGTGCATTATTGTTTATGTTAGAAGAAAGTGACTGATTTTCAATAAAATCAGAAGGATTGCCGAATCCACTGACGGAATTATTACTATTATTATTAATGTTTATACTTGATAAAGGAAAAGCCAATCCAGATCGATCGTCTTAATCAATGGAAAAAATAAAATAAATAGATTTTATCGAAATATATGAGATCTCTTATAAATGATAAAATAGCAAAAATAGAATTCAGAGAGGGGTTTTTCATGGTGATTTAGCTTCAATTAACTCATGAATTCAACTATTAAACATAAAATTACTTTGAATATAGATTTACACTTCACAAAACATACAAAAGTTTTCACCAGATAAACGAAGGTATATAATTCTCCAAAATAAATAAAAGATGTAGGATATGACTAAACTACGTTACACAGTTTTATACGATAGGCTATGTGGTAAACTAATATAATAAAATGAGCAAATAACCCATTCAAATTAAACGCAGGGTAATGGATCGATGCAATTCACATAAAATTATAGGTCGAAACAAATGGAGACGTTTCATTCACTAAGAGGTGTTTAAAATATTCAACTTTTAAATGTCCCAGGTTCGAAATCCTCCTCACCAACTTCGGTTTGGGCAATGAGTAGTATCATAATTCTTCACACTGAGTGAGGTTTATGTCAAAGTACCTGATGAATGAGACAGTTATGTAATTTACCTATCCCCTGAAAGTGATTAGTATGTTTAAATTAGTCCAATCGGGTACACAGCTATTATCATACTGCAAATACTCATTTAATACGTATAGGTTTATGCACCAGACTTCAAGCCATATTGTTTGTGTGAGGAGTACTAACGATACTACTACTAAGCTGTCTGAAACCAAAATAGACAGATAAAATGGCTTCAATGCTTAATAAATTATGATCAGTGCCTAAACAATACGAGGAAAGGATGAATATCCTGTTGATTGGATATTATCTTAGATCAACTAAGTTGCAATAATCCTAAAATAGTATGTCATGGATTGTTACATTGGAAAAAAGTCAGCCATGCATGAATAAAACCCAAAATAGTGATAAGATTGTCATTATACTTTGCATACTGGAACATACTACTTATTTTCACCTTAATCATATGATAAATTTTCTAACTGAACGCTTGATTCGGTTTCCTAAGCTCTTTTAGTAACCCTATGCTAGGTCTACACGACAAACTGAGCTCCAAGGTTAGTTTATTTACAGAAAATCTAGGGTATTTATAGTATTTCAGACGACATCGAGTTTCTGGAATTTCCTGAAACCCTTCTAAACATAGTAGCAGGGTGAGTAATCATCCAATCAGAATGATGCCAAGTGACTTTTCACTTCCTAGACGTTTTTGAGAAACGTGCTGATTGGATAAGATGTTTCCCAGTGTTTTCAGGGCCCCTTTGGGCTTTTTTCGAGCAATTTTTTGGGTCTTCCCAAGATTATAGTTTCTAGTGTCTATTATTACTCATGCAGTATTGAATTAGTATCAAGGTATTAGGGAAATCATATTTGCATAAATATTAAGCTGCATAAACCAAGGACAAATATATGGATATATAAACATCACGATTCTTTCAACACTGAGAATAGACAATATGATTTCACAATAAAATAATATCATACTACAGTGTATAGAAGCAGTGATAATGACGAAATCGATGTATTATACGTGCTGAAATTTGTGATGCTGTTCAGAATTCAAAATGACATAGGTAGGTAATAATAATTAAGACGTACACCTGTTGGCATCCTTGGTCGGATTTTGTAAATGATGCCAAAGGATGACTCCGTATAGCTTGTATCTACTACATATTGCATAATAGATGAGGTAGTCAACATTCCTCGTTCATTATTAACCTACACTGGCAGATGAACCTAATTAAAGAGAAGTGGGTTTGATGAACAACCTACAAATCGAGCAGGAAATCTTTAGTATAATCTACTATAATCGCACTCTTGTATACAACTACATGGAAAATAAGTTGCCATGACTGACCATTTCAATGTACATAAAAACGTTTACTTGCTCCCATGGAATTAGTTCATACAGATCATTGAGGCCACTTCTTTGTTGAATTCGGAGAAATCTACCGACATGGGTAAACAATCGACAATATGCATCAATTACTTCATCTATTCTGCACCATGCAGTAATAACAAATCGAAATTTAATAATGAATTTAAAGTGTTAGTAAAACGTCATAGTAACAAATGCACAATTCAAGATGTTAAGTTTTGAAAACGTTGGGCAAAAAACATACCATTTAACAAATCTTGTTCATTATTCAATGTTGTCCAATGCTGCATATAACGACGAGAACGATCTGAATTCAATGTGTCTGACGGTGTGTTTGCTAAGGTTACAACATTGTTTAATTGTTGACCAGTAATTGCTCGAGGCGCAGTAATAGAACAATTATTATTTGGATTATCGAAAGACCATGGATTATGAACTTGTATATGATTATTACTGATAGGAAATGTATTAGGTGAACCTAATAGAGAGCTGACATTTGAAGTTGTTTGACCTGAAAAAGGTGTGGTTGCCCACTATGCAAAAAAGTATGTGTTGGAACAAGTGAAATACTTAATAAGTTAAGTAAGAAAAAGTAGTAACTCTAAAAAATATTTTTTTCTGGAATACTGAAGATCGCTCAGTCCTAGTTTATGGGTATAAAATTTAGCAATTAAGAATAGAGGTGTTAGGTCTCCTACTTCAATCTAGCATTACTCTATTACCTAGTATTCCACAAACGCTACTCCACTCGACTAGTCCCCGAATGGAATTACAGTTTGGGTAGGAACGTAATAACATTCCAAACAAAACAGCAAGTCAACTAGTTTCATACGGTAAGAAAATATCGGTATATTTATAATTTTTATGCTGGAAGTCTCTGGTAATCCATTAGCGTGAACTGGTTGAACGTTGAACAATCAGTATGTTATCTGAATCAAGTTTTACTTGTATCTCTGTCCTGTTAACAAGGGATTATTCGTAAGTTGTTAGTACTAGATCATACATAACTTGGAAGCATCGCTTTTGTATTTTGAGACCACCAAGTGAGTAATGCTAAGGTTAGGCATAGGCCCAAGCACCACCTACCTTGACGAGTGATGTTTGGTGAAGAAATATGTTAGAAAAAGATATTAAAGCTCTAGATGTGACATTAGTTCATGGATTCATTGAGAAGTGGATCAAGATACCCCTTTGATTACGTACAGGCTATCTGGTTGGGGTACAAATGATTATAATGATTAGTGGTAGGAGAGTTTTGATAATATAGCTTAGAATGGTACGCAATGCCGCAGATGCATTTACACCTTGTCTTCCCTTAGAACATGAGCCTTGAAGTCAACCTAGACTTTTTTTCTATTATTATTATTATTATTATTATTATTATTATTATTATTATTATTATTATTTGAACACATAGATATTTGTACAAGGAGGCACCAAATACATATACGCAATACAGATCTCATTTGATATGTGCGAGAGCTGTGATATTGCACGGGTGCCCAAACAGAAGCAGGTCGTTTTCTTGGGAGGTCACACCTGCAGCCTTCGACCTAAAAGTTTGATCCACAAGACAGTGAAGTAACGTCAGGAGATGCAGTTCCATGGTAGCTAGTGACCAACAATTGGTTCACACTCCATTTGTTCCTTTAGGATACTGGAGCCCATGTGCACCATTGGTTTGGAATCAGAGTTTTCCAATTCCCCTAGATGGATTCTCCATGTCCATCAACCCGGTTAAAGCACCGCACATTCGCTTTTCGTCCTCTCAATTTTGTAAACAACACCCCCGCCACGAGAAGGCAGTCAGTAAGACATCCCTGACAGAGGCTATATACGCGTGGCCACGTGAGAGCATTTCGAGTGGGTGAGCAGACTCTACCCACTCTCGGCCGTACCAGGGCATGCAGGGGCAAACAGGGACTATAACTATTAGTGAAACGGTCACTACTTGTACTACTACACTGAGATTAGCGTTGATAACACTATCTCGTTGTGCTGTGGTGTTATAACTTGAACTGAAGCACATATCTGCCAGATTATATGTTGAATGAATATAACTGACTGGAGATCATGACAATCAAACCTTGATATCAGAGAAAAAGGAAAATATAAGATACAAATACTAACCATCTATGCAAACAAAACCTACATAAATGTGACAAATACCATAAAGTATATGATAATCATCGAACCATTAGCTAAATAGTTAAGGTGTTAGACCTTTAGTTACTAAATCTCAAGTTCAACACAATCTCTATCAATGCCGCTTTAAACAACCGAATAGTACTACTGTAGTGAACAAGAACACGGGTGAGGACAATCGAATGTATTTAGCTCGAAAATTACAGACTGTCTCAACAAAATCTGAATACCATAAAGTCAATCGTCAATTTGCAAATTATCAATACATCATATCAAACTGTACTGTTCAAGCTGCAAACACTAATCCATTGTCTCCCATTCCATTGTTCATAAGTTTTCTTACAAATTCCATTATGTTCTTGCTCCACCTTTCTTGGTCTTCGCCATCTTTTGCTGCCGAGCATTACGTTCTTTTAACGCACGTTATATACTACTTATGTCAATATAAGTAGCTCACACCACACTCGTCCCCCCCTTTAAAGCAGTCGTTCTTGTGGTGGTTCGTGCTCGCCGTGCAACATTCTCCGTCTCTGCAGCCTGTGCCACGCTCTCCGTCAAAATGTCGAGTCTGCGGCGCGCTGACTTCCGTAGCTCCGTCGACCTGCCGGGAAAACAACAACCGACATCCACCCGGCACCTGGGACGCTTGACACCCGTACTCCACCGGCCTGCTGAGCCATCTACATTCGATGTCCGCCCAGCAGCCGTGCGTCCCACCGCTCCTCTCCGCCGACAGCATCCACTACAGCCAACGCCGCCCCGCCAGAACACTCCACCAGACGCCGCCTCTCCGCACCAGACTGCCCCAACTGGCACCTCAGCCCCAGGCCCGCAACGGCGTCCGCAGAACAGCACCCTCCTCCTCTCCCGGTTGGCAGCGGCACCAAATGTAGTGAACAAGAACACGGGTGGGGACAATCGAATGTATTTAGCACGAACATTACAGACTATCTCAATAAAATCTGAATACCATAAAGTCAATCGTCAATTTGCAAATTATCAATACATCATATCAAACTGTACTGTTCAAGCTGCAAACACTAATCCATTGTCTCCCATTCCATTGTTCATAAGTTTTCTTACAAATTCCATTATGTTCTTGCTCCACCTTTCTTGGTCTTCGCCATCTTTTGCTGCCGAGCATTACGTTCTTTTAACGCACGTTATATACTACTTATGTCAATATAAGTAGCTCACACCACACTACTAGCCTGTACAAATTTGGAGTGTAATTTAAAGCCAAGTACAAGAATCTGCATCTACACAAATCAGTTAGTAGTGAATATCATCAAATTGATTATTTTTATTGGTGTTGTTGTTGCCTATATCATTTCTCAATTAAAACCAATGAACTCTTTTCTTTGTGTGTATAGAATTAATTGAAAAATATATCACATTTTCAAGAAAACAACATTATGTCAACATCGAATTAAATTCTATTAAATCCAATGATCAAAAATACACGCATTAATGTACATTATTATGAATGACATTTCTTTTTAAGTATAAAAAGTGATGAGTTCAAATTACACTATTTAAAAAGAAAGAAAAATTACAGCTTATCAGGAATGATGAGTTTCTTAAGTGAAATTAAATTAATATTAGTACATTTAAAATCCAAAATTGGCCTAAATACATAAAGATTGATAATCAATTTAAAACATTAGAACTTTATATGAAACATTTTTTACAAAACTATTAGTTTACCAGTGAAAGTAAAACGAATGGATTAAGTACCAAAGTAACCGATAAGAATATTTATATAAAATAAATGGAATGCAGCTAACAATGGAATATAGGACGTGAGTTTCATACCATTTAGGACTAGTCAGATGGATGTATTTGCATCACAGAGTTGATGTTCACCAAATGCAGTTTTTTAAACATGACTTTAAAGTTACAATATATTCAAACTGAAATGGACTGGATTATCCCGTTGTTGATAATTTGATTGAAATTTCGTCGATCTTGATTGGTATATGTCCATTATACGGATTGCCTCGATATACACATTATAGCACGTTTACATAGAACAAATGCACGAAGTAGCTGGATAATGCGTTGGAGTTTTAAGCGGAAGGTATTGGGCTCGAGCCCAGGAATGGATATCAACTCCAGGATGCAGATACATCCAATTGGCGAGTCCTAAATAGGATGAAACACGCGTCCTGAATTCCACCGTTAGTCACTTTCCATCTATTTCATCTCAACTTGTGTCATAATGGCTATATCGAGGCAACCCCCAAAGGATTAACATATGCCAACCGAGATTTGAACAAAGTTCTGTCAAAACATCAACCATAACGCGATAATCGAAAAACTACTACAAATTAGACAATAAGAAGATTCATTAAATCGACTTAAATTTACATCATTAATACCTGGTTATCAGTTGTAGTTGATTCCTGAGGTAAAAATTCTCCGCCTACCTCTCCTACCCCACCACCACCGACAACAGCATTACGATCAGAATTCCGGTTTGAGTCGAAAATTGCAGGAAGAGGCCACATCTGACCAACGCCACCACCTGTAGTAATAGTAGTATCGGAAGTTTTTGGATTATTATCATAGGACATCAAAGAGTGAATTTTTGGAATTTTATCAATTGTATCTAATTTACAGAAATGAAATAAATAAATCATTACCCATTTTACAGATAAATCAAAATACCTTCAATTTGACCACGTCCTTGTATTAAATCTACAGCATCATTTCTAGTTGTAGACCATGGAATATTTGAAGGCGTTGAAAATGTTGGATAAGAATTAACAGTACCACCAGTGCCAATACCAGGTTTACCTAGAATGAGAATTAGATTTTTAATTTTTACATTAGATTGATATTGTCAATGTTATAAAAAATAATTCTATCATAATTAGATTAAAATGAAGATATAACTAATTAACTGATATGTATGCTAATTGAACGCTTAATATTATCTTTATAGCCGCTTTCTCTAATCCCAGACTACACCCACACTTCACCAATTCAAATAAGGAAACGTGAGAAAGAGCTTTACTCCAAGATGAGAAACATTTTCTATGTCAAGCTGTTATGTGGCCGCTAGTCTGATTGATTGAGCATTTTGTGCATTATGTTGAGTTAACCGGTGAGGCGGTCAGAGGCAGTCAGCAAAAAACCCTCGAATCCTCAAAGACTAGGCCTACCAATAAAGTTTTAATTGATTGAAGAATGATTGACCTACAAGCTAATTACCATCAATTGCCGTTTTTTCATATCTATTTTGTGTTCATATTCTGTATATAATCACGTTATTTTATTACATTAGAAAATCTATTCATCTGGTTAATGGTCTAATCTTTGACTTTCAATCATTCGGAAACTTAAACCAATTGTACGATATCGTGAACGGCTACCACTCAGTTACATCATATTATTGTGATTACTCGATCAATCCGAATTCTAATCATAGATTTAAGCAGTCGGAAAATTCGTTTTCCTAATCACTGAAACCCCCCCTATAAAAGTTTCGTTCTGGCCCTACAAGAGGTTAGTTGTGTTTTCAATAACTCAGTGGTAATATCTCAGACTGTGAAACGGAGTGACAAGTCAAGATGCCACAGAGTCCATTAGGCCGCCCAGAATCACAATTCCACCTTGATAACGAGTGGAAACCAGTACAAAACCTAGTTCCGAGGTTTCCTTCAATCACCTGACACTGGTTCATTCTATACATATTTTTATTGTTGTAACAAGTAGATCGGAAGAAAATAACGTAGCACTCGATCTAAGTATACTAACAGGAAATAAAGACGATAGAAGACGCAAAAAAGAAAATGGATATAAAAGCAAGATACAAATGTCATGGATATCTGACAATTTGAACTGATAACTTCTGCCAGATTCTATTCTACATTATGTCTATTTCTTGGAATTAATTGTTTATTCAGGAACAATTTCGATCCCACATTTCCCCACCAAATATATCCAAGATAAACAAACTGTTATCTATTCTTATTTTATAATACGACTGTCCGCTTGTTGGTTTACTAAACTTTAGATAAGCTGATTTATTACTTTCATCGCAAAAAAACAGTACACGCATGTATTATGCAAAAGGCACACGCCTAATTCAATTTACCTTTAGTATAGTTTATAAATTTACATTTCAATGTCGTATTGTTTCCAACATTCAGGGTTAGCTCAATTAGCTAATCAGTAATATAGGAGAGAAAAGTGGCGTTAATTTATCAGGTCATATTAGAGGGATAAAAAATGACTAAATAATGTACATTATGAAGAGTAGATGTATAGTATACAAAGGAGTACAGAAAACATGTATAATATCAACCACAAATGAAGTAGTAGTATTTTTAGGAAATAGACACCACAAGAAACCCAGGTTAAGATGATGACAACAAATGAATAGTACAAAAACGAGTAAATTAATAAAGTGGACAGAAAGACATAAGTTCAAGTAAAAGGGGAAGATAGATGAAAAGAAGAAAGGCTTTTTAAGATCTAAGGAGAACGGATCACGAAAGTCTTATCATTGAAATCGGTTTTTATCTGTACCATTCAAAGTGCCCAAGCATTCAATAGCTAGTGTTAATTTTAACTCGGAAGCTAGTGATCACTAACACTAAACGATTGTGTCAAACCTTGATTTGAACGTCTTTGTCAACTAAATATTAAGTTTGTAAGGAGTAACGTAGTGAATAGGCCAGTGTATGCATATGTATAATGCATATCATAAATATTTCAGTCGATGGAGATTTAGTGATCGAATTTTTCTTCATCAAATACTTCATGCTTAACTTTACCTGTATTATACATATAGTTAATTTAATCACATTGTACTAACTTGGACCAACGTATATTTGTGCCAGGCTCTACAATGGTGATGACTGGCTGATGCACACTCACAATAGCAATTATTTCCATACTATGGTTAAAAACAGGAGTATCAACTGAGATTTTTTAGAGAAGCATGAACAAAAAACCTATTGCGTAATAGAAAATCTTAAATGTGGACGTGATAGAACCTTAATACAAGGATTATGCAACTGTTACCGAATCGCATATATATAAATATATATTAAACAAACTGGAAATTAAACAGTAGCAGAGAGGTACTAGGTGTAATTCACAACTTTTGTTAGTGTGAATTCTAAGAGTTGAATACATGCACGCTATATATGAGTAGCACTGCCACCATTTTAAACTAATAAAACACTGAGACTGAAGGTTACACCAACTTTTGCATTGCAACTTAACGACAGATACGAAAATAATAGAACAGGATGGAACAAAACAAACACGAGATAGCTACTTACCGGGAGTTCTGTTCCATGGCGTGTTATTACTGTTATTATTATTACTGATACCAGTGGTAGTATTCGTGACTTGAGACATCAGGTGAAAATTGACTGAGCCCGACAGAAAGGCATCTGAAATAAACAGGAATGAATATAATTTAGAAACAGATTTCAGGCACAGACGGTCACAAATTAAGACTGGCCAACTTGACTTACAATAGTTCAAACCAGTACAGGAAAATTACATTCAGAAGAAAAACGGTGATAATTATGTTTTCTAGACCTCACCAGGTACAAGTTTATGTACTCAAAATAAAGCCATACTGTTTAAGAAAATGCTAGTAATACTAAACGGCTTCATTTTGTTTGTCTGATGTTCTAATATTGATATATTATTTATTTATCATGACATATATTGGTACAAGGAAGCACCAAATATATATGTGCCACACAATAACAATGGTGCTGTGAAGAGACAGAGAATGTAAATTGTGTGTAAGAAGAAAAACAATGAACAGAAATCAGTGCATGAGTGAAAATAATAATAATGATAATAGTAATAATAATTGGAGAAACAGTTCAGTTAGAAAAAATAACCAGAAGTTAAGCTCACTTTTATTATTTATTAAAATTTATTTAGACATAAACATTGGTACAAGGAGGCACCAAATACGTATGCGCCACATAAATCATTCGATTTGTGAGTGCCGGGATACTGCCAGGGTGCCCAGACTGAAACAGGTGGTTTTCTCAGGGGGCCACCCCCAGAGCCTTCGACCTAAAGGTCTAACCCACAAGGCAGAGGAGCATCGTGAGGAGATGCAGTCCCATGGTAGCCGGTGACCAACGATTGGTCCATACGCTATTTGTTCCCTCAGGATACTGAAGCCAACACATGTGCACCATTGGTTTGGAATCCGGTTAAAGCGCCGGACATTCGCTTTTCGTCCTCTCAATTTTGTAAACAACACCCGTGGTGCGAGAAGGCAGTGAGTAGGACTTCTCTGGCAGAGGCTGTATACGCGTGGCCATGTGAGAGCATTTCGAGAGGGAGGGCGGGCCCACCCCACTCTCGGCCATACCATGGCATTTGGGGGCCACTTTTACGAAGAAAGTAAAAGAAGGCTGTAACAAAATTACCACTGGCTCCTATTCTGAGACATCTGGTAACGTCTTAAACCACTGAGGTGCACCACTTCTAGAACCTCAATCAGGTAGTTGTGAAGTGCCAAAAGATATCCTGTACACCTTCCTTTCATACCACGACACCATGCCAAACATTGACAACATCTCCAAATCCGACCAGTTCCAGCATCCGCAAATAATGCATGACGTGGGATTCTCTGGGACGACATTCGTAGAACATATCCAAGCCACCGAAGTCGGTGTTTCAAGATGGTGACACCAATTGCATCATCGTCTCTGTACCCGAACACACGATCCCGGACCTCTGCATTACTAACATGGTGTTGCCACTGTATGTCAGCAATCCTTCGGAGACAGCGATGATCGAACACAGAGAGTCGTCTAACGTCCTCAACTCGGAGGCTAGGTTTCACAAGCATAGAGCAAAACTGCTCTCACCGACGCGTTGTAGATCCGACCTTTTACAGCCAGACTAACATCGTGAAGGCGCCAAAGATGGCCCAGATTGGTATAAGCCGCTCTGGCTTTCACTATACGTGCATTGATCTCATCACTCACGCCACCACTAGTAATTACGGAGCTAACTAGATACACGAACTTCACGATTACTTTTATATGATCACTACCCAGGCTGTGTAGGACCAGGGTCCTGCCAGTTTTGTTAAAGTACATTGTACTTTGAAGGTGCAAAGTACACATAAAAAAGAAACCTCATAGGATACATTTTTAGGTGCACCAGCATGAGAAAACAACAAAACGAATCTAATGTTGACAGAAATACAGGTACATGATGTATAAAACATGGGAAAAGTAGATACACAATAAGTTGAAGAATAACAAAAAAAACAGATACCATGTGAATTGATATTTCCCTTCGACTTTTGTCAACCAAAAATACATTTATGACAAATGGATCACGTACAATATATATACACTATAAATAACCTTGAATTTATCAACGAAATTAAAACGATCTACATAATAAACGGTTATTTATGTAAGCAAAAAAATATGAATATATGAAGCATAAATAAACTGTGATCTATTGACTGAAAAACAACTTTCATAAACCACGTGTTCAATAATAGTTGTTTGATGAAAATATAAAGATATTGGAAATCTTAACTAGAAGAATGAATCTAATGATATAAAACACTTTTTCAATATAGACATAGGAAGCGTGTGATTAGTTCGAAGTACAGAATTGTCTAGTTACCCGTTTATATAACCAAACATCATTAACCGGCTTAGTCTAAATTAAGGTCTTAGACGTTAAATAGCGAGTATGGTTCAGTGTTTAAGACGGCTTTTTAGGTTGCAAATTTAGGTGGTAAGGTTTTAAAGTATCAGAAGTGATAGCAGCATCGGTAGCGGCAAGAAAGATAAGTTACAGAAAAAAAGTTTAATGGTATTTCGGGATTTATGATCTTGAGTGCTGTTAGAGGTATGAGGGCGGTAATCACTTCCCGTTTGCCCACACTGAAGAAAGGTTCTTCTAGAGGGATCTGAAGAGGAAATTGGGCTAAGGGTGATCTTAGTGACCTGAGAGCGTGACCAAAGTGCCCAAGGGACAACTATTGAGGTCGGTCACACACAAATTTTTGTGTTAGCCCCGTACTTGTCGAGATCTTACCTCCAGAGACAAAAATCAGTTGGATAAGGCGAGGTGTGCATTTCTAGGGCTGATCTTTTTCAACCTCACCCTTCCTTGTGGGAAGGCAACATTGTTATTATGTTGGTTTTCTGAGGGAAAGACTTTACTGCCGTCAGACCTCTGTAGAGTATGACTTCGCCCTCGGAACTCGGGTTCACTGCTTTTAGTCTTATCGCTCTTCAACCGACCTGTCTGATATGGTAGGACCTTGATGGACGATTGATTCAGTCAGTATACTTCGACAGTTTCATTATGATGAACGATCCCGATCACCACGTCAAAGTAGAAGCAACGGTGGTGTCATAATGGTTATGTCGCAGAAATGCCTGAACACCAATTACCACGACGTGCAATGCTAACCGGTGTAGGGGATGGTTGGAAGAAAGTAAGGGGCGGCCAAACCAAAACGTGGCATCAGTCCACAAAGTCACTAACTTTTATTCTGAGCCATGTTGGTAGATGCAGACTACTTGGTTGGGGTCCGCGTGACTATCGTAACCAATGGTTGGAGACTCTTTGTGACATGGCTCAGAATCGGTCACAATGGCGTCGATGTATACACTCCCTGTCTTCCCTTAAACTAAGAGATTAAAATCACTTCATATCTTTCTTTCTACTAACTAATTCTTTCTTCCTATACTATATCCTTATTGCAATCTTTCTCCTATATATTACCACCATTGACCTAACCACTCCTATGAATCCGGTGTTCATCTTGCTGTGCTAATGAGGTATGGCAACCTGGACCGATGCACATATGTGCCTGGTCCTACGTTGTAGCTGACTGACTGATATCGCAGCAATACGTACAGGATGCATATATAACAACCGAGACGGATCAAATCTGTCAAAATATCAACCACATTCAATTCTGTTTGGTCACCTTCGGGGAAATATATTTCGGTTCACGTTCTTATTAGGACTAGTTCAAGGCTGGAATGTTATTCACAACACTTCCGATATGCGTCATCATATTTGCTTTCGTAACAATTTCTTTATGTTAGAATCGTTATTATCAACAATGTTCCGTCCGTTTAGTTGCTCGGCAATTAGAATCGATGCATTATAGTACCGTTTCCACGTAGCTTTGATGAGCTCATTTATTGATGTCAACTTACTTGCCACTCTTAAGATCAATAAATGTTTTTTTGTGGTAGAAATCACTATTAGCCAACCTTCTACAAACACTTAATTGTTCGTAGAATCAGCATCGAGAAGGGTTGTGAGTATGAGAAAAAAATTACCTAGTGATTAATTAAACTTTTCACTTAATATTTCTAAACTTTCCGAAATAAACAAGTTTGTCAGTGTCTGAAAGACGAGTTAATACACCTCAAATGACTTTGACTTATTACACAAAGTAGATAAATTCGTACCTCTGACAGACTTCCAGTCAAATCATGTGCGGCAACTAACCATGAATAATCACACGGAAACTAGAGTCAAAACCTCAGAACACAACTTTGTCTAATAACCAGTGTTTATATGAGCTGATTCTATGCCTTGGTCTGGCTGCCACTGTAATTTTCTAATCTACTACACCAGCCAGCATTTCATGTTGCGGCAAGAGTTGGATTGTTGTGTGTGTGACACATGCTTAGATTAACCTGGGAATATCGGTTCCCTCAAGATTTCAGCCAGACCTTGCTGACAGGTGCCAAGTGCAACGACACCTAGGTCTGAAGTATCATGTCGTCTACCTGCAATCACCTCCCTATACCAAACGTAACCAATAAAATTAGTTTATGTTTGCTTACAAGCTAACGTAAACTAACAGTCAGCAAACTCACAATATAACATGTCCAGAAATTTATTTGATGAGTGTTTAGCCTTTTTAAACCCAACATTTTTATGAGGAAAGTAAAAATTAAATAACTTGAACGAGTTACTTTATTGCTTAGAGATGCATTGAAAGCAATAATGAAATATCACACTTTTTATCCACAACAGTACCATGGCCACGAAGCAATGTTTGACGAAATAAATACCATGATCGCGTGGTTTACAAAACCTTTGAGTGACAAACCGACCATAAAATGGCAGAAAAACTGCGCATAACCCGTTATTAGGATACCTTTTGTCCATTAGTCGTTGTAATACACAGAAAAAATATGCTTCGGAAATTACCAGATTCATACATTATATACACCCTTAGGAATCATGACTATGCAAGCATGAAAAGTGTGAGGCCAAGAATATGTAGCTCATTGTGTTAAAGAAGTGCCCTTATTTACTGTGAGTTAATCAGATTTTATAACATACTTGAATAGCGACGTTATATACTCCAAAATGCAATGGCCGAAATCGGAGAGTTACATCTTATAGCACGCGCCATTCATATGTAGTCTAACAAAGAACATCAGATAACAATATGATGTTACATTTCGAACAATACGCAACGACAGAAATTTTCACAGCATAAAAAATAATATCAACACATATGATGTTGTTTTTATGTCTTATGGTCTTTACATAATAAAAAGTATTTCAGGTTGTGAACGCTACATGCTCTGTCAGCTCACTTAAGTAATTCACTCCCTATTGATCTGTTTTGAATTATTGACAATAAAACGTAGTAAGCTATATATTAGCAGGCTTTTATGTCCAGGAATTGTGAGCTTCTAACTCGTCCAATCTTAGTACATTAAAAAAAGAGGAAAGACAAACTACTTCATTTTAAGAAGTTTTTCTAGGTTTTCAAAAAGCCGTATGAACTAATTACCTCCAGATTTCATGATTTTTTAATGATTCCAAACTATGTCTCCTATTCAAAGATATTGGTTTGCGGAGATAAACACATTTCTTTCGGTATTAGGATCAAAATTAAATGTGTTTAGAGTTGACACTACGACATTTGTATGAGCTCCGTATGCAGTGTCATGTCTGTTTTTTGATCTTTGGTCTTGAGACTACAATCTCATCTTGTTGATTATCATCAGAAAACCTCAAAGGTTTACGTATTTTTGGATAGTGAATCCTAGAACCTGGGTTATAGTTGGAGTCGATTTTAGGCTGTGAAATCATTCTTATTCTTTCTGTCCAATCTATTCTTTTTGCTAATAGTTGCATGTATCGGAAGTTTTGTTAGTTCCTAAACGTGAGTGAACAATATCACACTGAGGCTCTCTATCTTAGAGTAGCTCATGTCTAACTTTATACTAATATATAGAATATAAAATAATTATTAAATGATTTTCAATTAAATACTTTGCCACTTTTAATTTAAAAGGAGAGCAACACATGTGAACTTCTAAGTCAGTAACTTATACGGATTATGACGGTACGACAATAAAAATTTATAAATTCTGACTTTGACGAATTTGTGGTTTATCAAAGACATTATTGACAATCCGTGTCAGTTAATGCTATGCTTCAGCTCAATCTGCCGTTCCCCATCAAAGTAACATTCCAACCAACTTAGGTAACTGTAACGTATGGCATCTGAGGACTCTGTTATAATATCCATGAGTGCACTTTTGTATTAGTAAAATCTTGGTTAGTTTTACCAAGAGTTGAGGGGACATGAGACTTCTGAACTCAAAGTTTTGAAGATGATAATTTCACACCTGTTCTTATTGAAGCGTTGCTTGATAGATGGCTTATAGATAAACACGTCAGCAGTAGTAAGAACTATCTACAAAACTTTTAGAGCGATGCATTCTTATAACCTTTGCTCCCCTGCTTAGAAGTCAGTAGGCTAAAGTCTAACCGCACTTAATTTTTCAGATGTTCTAGAAACCAGGCGGTTCGGTAACTTACTGACATAGATTTTTTGTTCTATCATGATTCTCACCATTTTAATGCTGAACGTGAATGTGGAGTGGGCAAACTTCTGGATATTCTGCTTTTGACACGTTGGTGACACCTCATCTTTTCCATATAGAAGCCGCTTTACTTTCATTCGCACAAAGGAAATAACTGTTCTAAGCTTTCTACATAACTTAACTGTAGTTGGTTTCGAGTAACCTGGATCGAACACCAACTAGTTTCCTGAAGTCTGAACACCTTGGTATCTGTTGTACGTCCGACAAAAGACCCAATAAGTTGGCTGGAGTTAGGCGTTCTCCTGTGTTCATATTAATGTCATATCCCTGATATTTAACAAGTCCCTGGTACATAAGTTGGAAATTAGCTACTCTACTACATTTTCCCACAAACAGGTCTACAATTTTGTGACTCTGTCGTGGTACTGGTTCCTAACTACATGATTCTTGAATTTGAGTGTATAACTGCTGAGAAGACTCACCATCAACACATAAAACTAAAAGCAGCTCAACAGTGTTGAACGCGGAATGTATGAATCGACATGGCATGGCTTGGCCGTGCTGGCGTGGTCACTATATTCCATTGCTTTTTGTATTAACATATTACTCTCTACCCAGCACAAATGTGTTATTCAGAAATTTTAAGTGTCATATTGCTAATTGTCACGACAGGACGAGTCATTGTCAACTATGATGTGGCTTCCCCATAAAAGTTTACGGATTAAGTGTTCATATCATGACATCTAAAATTTTGGGACCAGGTCTATTATTATAGTAGTACTAATACCAAACAAGGCCGTTCTCCTGCAACCCATTGTAATCTCATTGACAAGGTACTGAAACGTTTACGCAGCAAATATCAGCCTAAATGATATGAAAAAAGTTCTGGAAGATAGACTGGACTTATAAAGTTTGCTTCAACAATATTTTAGTCCTTCGTTGCTTCTTTGTTATGGATGTTTCCTATTATATCCGAATTTTCAACTCGTTTTATTGAATTACTAATATTCAGTAATATTCTTAACTTCAAAACAAATAAATAGAAGACCGAAATTCAAATAGTTAAATTTTATCTTCATATCGTGAAGGTACCAAATGTTGATCTTTATGGTGATTGTTACGATGAATTTTGTAATAAACCAAAAGCAAGATTTATACTGAAATTTTAAGGTCGAAACCATAAACAAAGCAAGTTTAAAGCATGAATAAAAAATGTACCAGGAATCATCTAAAAGGAGCAAAGTATATAAAAATAGTCCATGGTAAGCTGAATACTTTAAGTTTCCTACGAGCATTTAAGCAGTCGAGTTTCGAAAAACTGTAGTGTGACGTCGTGTCGCGGTTGACTATGATCACTTCTACAGGAAGACTACATGCCAGTTAACCGATTAGCTAAATATCAGAAGTCAGTTGATGGCTGTAGTTGAGATTTATTCGTTGACGATCTCGTGGTATCGAAAAAATGCCAAGATCGTGCCAAAGGAGTACAAGTGTGGTTACTGAGCGTAACCGAATTCGAGCAAGGTCACAATCAAAAGAAGGAAGAAGAATGGAAGGATAATGGATGTCTCTGGTACTGCCTAACAAACAAGCACAGTAAAACAATCACTGGTACAATTGGTTATAGTAATAAATGTTTCTTTAAACCAATCTCGTTCTCTTGATAAAAGTAGGTCACTACAAGACGGCTATATATTTTGAGCTAGCTGTCAAGTTGTGAATGTGAACATTATATTCATATCGTTTAACTCATTGATCTTGAACTGGAACTCGAATGATAGTGTTCCTAAATGCATACTTATATAATGGAATCAACTGACATTTATATTAATATTAAACGGAATTTAAGTTTAACATGATTGGATCGATAGACCTGACTGAACTAATAGTAGCGTTAGATTAATACCAGAATTATACTTTTTTAGGTGCATTGAATTCATGTGTACACTGACATTAAAAAAAACACCAACAAATACATTCGAATAAAAGCAAATCCAGGATTACAGTTGACAGATTTAACCTACATTTTAATGAGTCCAGAGTGTCAATGTGTCACATATATTTGCATATCAACATAATGATGGAATTTTATTAAGAGATTGATAGATATATAAACAGAAACAAATGAAAGCAACTTAAATGGGATACACATACAGGGTATTACAATTAATCACATAACTGAGCATAAGTTAACCAATAAAATCACGTTGGTGAATATGACAATGATATGTTGAATCAAATTTTGTTTTCCAAAGTAAGTATAAGTAAATGTTTGGATTTAAAATGTCTGTACTATTTATCACAGTAAAACAGTGGAAACGAATTGAAGTGATTTTTAAGTTAAGATGCTGATTATTATTTAAAAGTATGCCAATCATCTCTATCCTATTTTGTAACTATGATCAAAAGTAACGTCTATGAAGTATTTTAAAGGTAGATAATTTCAAGATTTACCATATGACTTAATTCGTTGTTTGAAATTTTTAGCTTTAAAGAAGCTCTTCAGTTATACCCCATTATGTATACATGTAATTACAGTGAGTGTATGAATTTATTAAATTCTGAATTAGTCCGTCAATAGTATAATACTCACCACCATATATCAAAGTCTTGCGTATGATCCATTGTGGGGCATTGAATTATGATAATTAGAAGTACTTGAATTATAGTATGAACTAAGAATCCCATAAATAACGTATTCGGATCAATTTTAGCCGAAGTCCTATATAATTCTGATCAGTGGTGGAAACTGTATGATATTTTACTTGTATCAAATTGATAATAATGGATGATCTTGGTCACAGATTTCACCAATCTAATTCCCTCATCAAGTTGATTTATTTACTCACTAATATTGTTTTAAATAGAAAAGAGTAAACAATTTTGAATAAATGTTACGGTTTTAATTTGAAAATATTAATGTTAGCATTCAAACAGCTGATGAGATTGATTGTAACAAATAAAATAATACGTATCAAATATATTGACAACCTTGAAGATCCAATTGTTATTGTTTTCCAACTAGTAATTTGTGAGGAAGTGCAATAGATGAATTCGAAGAATCTGTGAGAAGATTAGAAAAACTTGAACATATTTTATCCAATCATCTTTTGGAAGAATATTCCTAAATCTCTCATATGTAGCTTCCCTATTGGACAAATGATAGAAAAAAACCCTGTATGCAGATTGGATGACTATAATGATGATTTCATTTTTACTAAGAAAACTATAAATACCTAAGAGTTTTACACCATATTCGACACTGTTTGTAATAGCATTCTATGAAAAATGGAAGTATGCACTAGGTTGGGATGACATAATGCAGTGGAATTTTTTATATCCTCATGAATCATTTTACGGAATTTCTCTCCTTTACTGCGATCAAAATTTGCATACTTAACATAGTCTAGTAGTAGTTCCTTGAGAGTTGTATAAGGAAGCGGAATGGGTTTCTCTTGTAAAGCAAGAGTTTTTAAGAAGTTATATGTTTATTTTCCGATAAATGTGAGGAAATGTGCGACAATATTAACATCTTCATCATTTTCCTTGGTCATAGCCCAGATTTTGAACCTTTCAAAGTAATCCTGAAAAGCATCAAAATATGAATGTATGTCAAACCATTCCATCGCAGGCTCCATCGCGACGCCAATATGATAATTCGAAGTATTTGAATTATAGTATGAACTAAGAATCCCAGAAATAACGTAATCGGATCAAAAAGTACTAGATAACCACGAACAAATGTACTGTATTTAGAATTCGAAATCATGCATTCAACAAGTACAAAGGAATCATTAGTTCGTTCAAACACCACGCATTCCTTTCACATGTTTTCTGCATTCTCATTTGCGACTTGAAGGGTTTTAGCGCTCGAGTGTTCATGTTGTACACGTTACATTAAGTATGTAATCACTCGAGATATATAACATAGTTCTTACAGTAATCTAGGTTAGTTGATTCAGATTAAATAAATTTTTCCTTTTATTTTCCTTCACAATTAACCAGTTCGATACTGAAATGGTTAATTCTGTCCCAGTTGTATGTTTCCATCGGAACAAATTCTAAATTCATTTGGCGTTGTTTTATTTGTATCTTCCCATTGTTATTAAGAACTTCAACTGATCAGTATCTTGTTGGCATATTTGCATTTTGTGCAGGTTGCCTCAGTCTTCAGTAATAAGGATAGCAGGTTGATGAACCTGTTTTAATCCTGACAGAACGTTTTCCAGAGAATTTCCAGTTTCTCCTTGAAAATATTGACTGATGGGGCTGATACCACTTGTCCGGGTAAGGCGTTCCAGTCATTGACTATTCGATGAGAAAAACTGGACCTCACTTTAAGTTTATTAAATCGCCGTTTGTGAACCTACTTGCTATGACCTCGGAGATTATTAGTGCTGAAAGAAGCAAGAAGATAAGGAATATTAACACCCAAATCATACTTAAAAATACGAAATGCCAGTAATGGGGTCACTTCGCGACAAGGGGAAAATGTTTAGGCGTTTTAAGCGCTCATCGTAAGGTAATTTAACCCTAGGTCACAATCTTTTTTCTGGCTATCAGCATTCAGTAGCTAAGTGGATAACGTGGTGACGTTTGAAGCTAACGGTACTGAGTTCGAGTCCTAGAGTGAACATCAACTCTGAGGTCCAGTTACATTCAGCTGACGAGTCCTAAATGGGACGAAACGCACATCAAACAGGATTCCACTGCTAATCACTGTTCATCTTCTAAATACACTCTATACATTTGATGAATTTTGAGAAATACATCAAACAAAATGAAAACATAGTTACTATGATAAACTTAATTGTTTAACTAAATATGAATAAAATAATGATTAATATCAGATTGTTTTAATTTAAACATGAACATTGTTGGATACCGGTCAGCTTAGTGGTTTAAAAGTTAAGCGTTGGCATGTGAGACTGTTAGTTGTGAGGGCTCATAATCCTACGAACGGTATCATGGATGTACATTGTTAAGAAGTTCCATATTAGAATGAAATGATCGTCTAATATTTTCAAGTTTTTCATAATGAACTAGTTATAATCGATATATGAATTTTATAATGAAGCAAATGTGTAGAGTAGAATATTCATTCTAAAATACAGTTAATATTAGAACAGTGATTATGTTATAAATCATACAGTATTCATGATTCAATGTGTCTTATGTAAATACTGTAAAGGGTTAAATATCAAATTCTCACTAATCTTTACTCATTAATGAAAGAAATAAATCGCTTCTTTTAAGTCACTCTAAATATCATCGTCTAAAAGACTCGTCATCTAGGTGACTATATGAAAATTTTCATTTGTGACGTTTAGCTTATATTAGGAGCAGACAATATGATATTGGTTAATAACCGGTTAGGTGAAGAATAATTAAGTCAGATTATGTGATGAATATAATACATTGGGGCTATTCATTGAAAATAAACTGAGTCATATTTCAACCTCAATCAATTTTCAATACTTTTTATTTATTTATTTGAACACATTAATATTGGTACAAAGGGGCCCCGGATACATATGTGCCACACAAGTCACTTGATTTGTGTGTGGATTATGATACTGCACTGTGCCCAGACAGAAGCAGGTGGTTTTCTTGGAGTACCACACTCGGAGCCTCCAACGTAAAGGTCTGATTCACAAAACAGTGGAGCAACGTAGAGAGATGCAGTCCCACGGTAGCCGGTGACTAACAATTAATTCATACGCCATTTGTTTCCCGAGGATCCAATGGCTCCTGTGCACCATTGGTTTGGAATTATGGTTTTCCAAGTACCCAGTGAAGTCTGAGACGACTGACTGACATTTTACAAATGAAGTATTTACTGTATGGTTCTCATATTTTACTAAAGTATTCTGTAATTGTTCTCACTTGTGTACTCGTTCAGTAGAACATCATTCCTTCTACTTCATGAATTCGCTTCAACTGCTTACAGCTAACCTAGAAACTGTAGTATTGATCATTGAAAACCAAACGAGCATATATATTTTATATCAAGAAAGATTTTAAGTTAGAATATTACTATATGGTAATGGAAATTATTAAGTTATTGAATGAGACCTTGAACCGATTGATGGTGAAGCACCATTTAAAACCTGAAAGCACTGGAAGGCTGTTTCGTCCTATTGTGGGACTCCTCAGCAGTGCGTATCCACGATCCCTCTCGCGGGATTCGAACCCAGGGCCTTCGATCTCGCACTAGAACGTTTAGCCACTAGGCCGCTGAGCCGGACAGTATGCAGTAGTGTTAATGTCTAACCTCAGAGAATCCACGAAATCCAGTGATATATCCGTCATTGTCATCATTGAATTGCTATCACATAATAGATTCCGTTGAACTCCACTTGTCACTGCTTCTCACTAGAACTTCAGGAAATACCTCTTGGACATTGTCACTAGTGATCATATAATGATTATCTATATGTTTTCAATCGGTTAACTATTGATCCGGTTTCCTTGTCAATTTACTATTTAGTTCTAATAATATAATAAAATAAATTATGTCATCGTAGCAACATTACAAAACAGAATTTGTGTAACACATAATTCTGAACCACATAACCGAATGAAGTCTATGCAGAAGAAGAATACAATGATCGCTGTGAATACTTAGTCCTATAACTATTGAGTTAAATTAATTAATATTGTGCTTATATTTTGCTATCACTTAGCTAGTATTTAGTGAACGAGAATACAAATGGGTACGAACAAATGTATTTCAACATACAAACTACAGAATCTCTCATTAAAATCTGAGTACCATACAATAAATAATTCATTAACAATTGTCTGAGACTTTAATGTTCTTTGATTTCCACACTAATCATTCTCTGTTCTTGTCCTCTTCTAATCTACCTTTTTAACCTTCTACCTTTAGGCATTTCATTTTCAATTAATGATTTATACTACTTATATATCGATAGACATCAGTAGCACACACATCAAAACATAGAATCATTTAAATAGTTTGTTGTTTCTTTTTTGTCAAACCTAATTTAAATAAACAATCAGAATCTATTCAATTTGTTTTAATTCATAATAATAATTAACATTTCAATAGATGGATAGTTTTCTATTACAACTTTTATACATTGGTCCTATTCATTAATTCTATGCACATTATAACATCATCATAAACACACCCAATCTATTTTGGGTGAGACTATAATTTATGTGAACAATCTTAGAGTAACGCTAAACACTGACTTTGAAAGTGTTCATCTAATAACTAAAACCAAATAAAGCAATGATCGATAGTGGTTACCAGTGGAATCCAGGACTCTGAGATGTAAGTACATCCAACTGACGAGTCTCAAATAGGACGAGACGCGCATCCTGGATCCCATTGCTAGCCACTATTTGTCATTGCTTACAAAACGCTTGTGACTTAAAGTTATATCAAAGCAATCCGCACAGTATGCACATATGCCAAATAAAGATTATAAATTAGTATGAAGAAATCGAATTATGATTTATCGTTGATGATCAATTAAGGGTTAGGAATTAGATTTGAACAGTTTTCATCATCAACTAATATCAGTTATAAATGTCAAAAATGCTCTTTAACCCAAATGAATAAACGAATTTCGCGCGAAAATCCAAGATCTATTATCTCAACTCTGATTGGCTCGTTCATAGATTATAGTCTCACCCTATTTTTATTTTAATGATTAAAACAAATATAAATTAAGAATTTCTTTTCTCAAATGTTTTTTCAGTGTTTCTTCCTCGTTTTTCATGATAAAACTTCTAATTCAAAGTAGTTTAATGTATCTATTGTACAGTTTATGTATCAATACCCAGACAACACATGATGGAAGAACTTTATATAATAAACATATAGATTATAGGAGATTATTATTAAAATGTAAAGTACCTGGACAGCTTAAACCAATTTATTCAGAAGAAGAATTAGTAAGTGAAAATTCATAATGAAATAGATGTTTTCTTTCTTCTTTTCTCTTTAATTAATAAATGAGAAGTTTCAGAAGGGGGGTATCTTGTGGATATTATTAGTCAATTAAATAGTTGAGATCATGAATCATTTGAAGTTAGACCACCATGGAAAACTTGGAAGCATTAGATGATCGTTTTTTTAAATTATGGGACTCCTCAGTGACAGTGCGCATCCACGATCCTGCCTCACAAGATTCGAAACTTTAAGCTTCAAACTTTAATTGACTCATAATTTCAACTATTGAATTTACTAAATTATCCACAAAAAACCCCTTGTGATATTAATCAACATATGCTCATTAGTGACTGGCTTCAAGAGGTATTTCCTGGATTGCTAGTGAGAAGCGGTGACCAATGGATTTCAACAAGGTCAGTTCTAAGGTAATCACTTGCAGAATACAATGTTGGATGTGCCATCCGATTTCGTGGATTATTTGAAGTTAGACATCAACACCATTGGATGCCAGCTCAGTGGTCTGAAGGTTAGGCGTAAGTCCTGGGTTCTAATCTCGCGAGACGGGATAATGGATATGTACTACTGGGGAGTCCCACAATAAAACTAAACGACAGTCAAGAACTTCCATATTTTCCATGCGAGTATAGCATCAATTGACTCATGATCTTAACTATTGAAAATAAGGTCTCAATGAAATCGACTATCTAATTTTTACTGGCCAATATATCTAGTGTTAGTCATATAATAAACATTTTTTGTTAACTGACAAATTCTAAAAGACTTTTTTTCAGATTATCATTTGTTCATGCTATAACTTATTCAAAGAGTAACAAGTCTAGACTATGAAACAGTCGAAGTAGTTATAATGTAACTCATCCATACAATCCTCATTAGTTAAGTATTTATAACTAAATTATCATTATTGTTATTAATTTATTCAAATACTGATATTAATAAAGTAGACAAAGTGGCCTATTCAACAACAAATCAATTTTATTGTGGGAATCCTCAGCTGTCCCGGGTTCGAATCTCGCGTGGGGCGGGATCGTGGATACGCACTTCCACTGAGGAGTCTCACAATAGGAAGAAACGGTCGTCCAGTGCTTCCAGGTTTCCCATGGTTGTCTAACTTTAATTGATTCATGATCTCAACCATTGAAATGATTATAATATCCACAAAAACCTTTCTGATATGAATAAATCAGTCAACAAATACAAATTAATCGGACTTCATTTAAACAACACTACTGATAAACTAAGTTGATTTATTATTTGACAATTGGATCTATGTATGAAATAACCAATCAAGACGGAATGATCTATAGGATAAAGAATCACTTAAATAAAAATGAAGATCGTCAATTAATCAATGATCCTTAGACTTGCATTGTCTTATAATATGGCTGTAATATTTAGTTATGACACTTATCTCCCCAAATCTTGTAGATAAAGCTAACTTTAAAACCTTCTTATTCACTGGTAGATGAGAATAAAAGTTAACAGAATAAAATGGTTGGACAATGTTTTCAGCTCTCTGACTAACTATCTACCGTTATGTTAATAGATTCTCAAAAGACTGTGCTGAGTAAACCATAGGAATTAAGCGATATATCAAGTTGCTCACTACTACTTAATACCATTAGAAAGTATTGATAATGTGACATAAAACTGACTATCGTTATTGTGGTGTGTGCTACTGATATCGATATATATATAAATAGTATGTATTGCCAATCGAGAATGGAATGCCTGGAGGCAGAATGTTGAGAAGATCGAAGAAAAGAGGATGAGAACAAGAGCAGAGAATGATTGGTGTGGAAACAAAAGAATAATGAAGTCTGAGACGATGGACTGACATTTTGCAAATGAAGTAATCACTGTATGGTTTTCCAGATTTTAGTAATTGATTGTGATTTTGTATTCAAATGTTGTCAGGGAGACCCAGAAAATCCCTCGAAAAAAATCAAAAAAGACTGAAAACGCTGAGAAACATCTTATCCAATTCAGCATTCATTAAAAGTTTTGCCAGAAACATTTAGAAAGTGACGAGTCACATGTCGCGTTTCTGATTAGATGATTGCTTATACTGCTATTATGTTTAGTAGTGTTCCAGAAAGTTCCGTAAGTCCAAGGCCATCTAGAATACTATAAATGCAGTAGATACTTTGTACGTGAACGGACATTGGAGTAAAGCGTTCCATCCATATTTTGCGCCTTTTCTCTCATGTTCATGTCGCTGTGTAGATTTAGCCATGGGAGGGGGAATAAAAGAGCTTAGGAAATCGGATCTAATGTTCAATTTGAAGACTTATCAAATACATTTAGTTGTTCCTTTGGTTGTGTTCTTATTCGCTATATTAGTTACTTTAAAAAGAATGTTGGACATATAAAAACATGTTTAGATATTCAAAACAAATGGAATCGTACATACTCATCTCTATAACAGAGATTTTTTTAGATAGAAACGTTTTAATTTCTTAAATATTCATAGTTCAAATTAGAATCTTTCTGCAGTGAACAAGAACACAAGCGGGGGGGGGGGGATAACCAACTGTATTTGGACACATAATTACAGAATCCCTTACTGAAATCTGAGAAAGCCATACAGTAAATAATTCACCCGTAAGGTGTCGACCAATCGTCTCAGACTTCATTGTTCTTTCGTTTCCACAATCATTCCATGTTCTTGTTTTCTTTTCTTTGATCTACTAAACCTTCTGCTTTCAGGTATTTCAGTTTCGATTGATGATACATACTACTTATATCTGTCAACATCAGTAGTACACACCACAACGTCACTAGCTTATTATAATATCACTATTAGCTTAACCGTTTAATATGGTTACACATATAAATTCATTCAATCATAAAGTGATAAGTATGTACTAATATTATATTTTTCTTGTTAAAAACATTGGCCAACAATATTTATTATTTATTTTATTTATTTGAGCACAAATATTGGTACAAATGGGCACCAATTACATATACGCCACACAAGTCACTTGATTTGTGTGCGGGTTGTGATACTGCCTGGGTGCCTATATCGAAGCAGGTGATTTTCCTAAGGGGTTACATCCGGGGCATTTGACATAAAATTCTGATCCACAAGGAGGTGGAGCGAAATTAGGAGGTGCGGTCCCATGTTAGCCGGTGACCAACAATTGGTTCATACTCTATCTGTTCCCTCACGATCCTGCAGTCCATGTACACCATTGGTTTGTAATCAGGGTTTCCCAACTTTCCTAAGTGGATCATCCATATCCACGAACCTGGTTAAAGCATTGGATATTTGGTTTTCGTCTTCTCAATTTCGTAACCAACACCTCCGCCACGAGAATTCAGTGATTAGGACTTTCAACCATATGGATAAGACATCAGTGTAAAGTTGAAATAGAACTGTGAAACTATAATTTATAGACGATGCTGTAAGCGATGTTAAAAAGACCTTAAGAATGTTCACCTATATACTACGGCTAAATGAGGGTTATAAACCAATTTGAGTAATTAGAATTGATATTGACAATTGATAGTTAAGATTAGGAATTAGATTTAAGGGTTTTTATCACGAACTAATATCATTCAAGGTATCAAAACCCTCTTTAGCCAAATAGATTAATGAATTTCACGTTAACATTCAATACCTGTCCTCGTAAATCTGATTACTTCGTCCATAAATTATAATCTCACCAACAAAACAATTAATCATTCTAACACATAGGATTTAAATCGTTTTTTTCTGGTTAGCTTTCTTTTTTATCGAGTTAGTTTTCTACGGTATGAGGTCGCTAATCCCATTCCTAACCCTCCTTCTTTACCCGGGCTTGTGACCGGCAGTAACTTTAAAAGAGCTGCAGGTGGAGTTATTCTAACACAAAACTACCATGTTCACAGTATACAGAAAAAACTGATTCATTTAATTTCAATAGTTGAAATCATGAGTCGATTGAAGCTACATCACCATGAAAAACCTGGAAGTACTGGTATGGGACTCCTTAACAGTGCGCATCCACGATCCCGCCCCCCCTCGAGATTCGGATCCAGGACCTATCAGTCTCGCACACGAGCGCTTGACCATTAGACCACTGAGCCGGTATTAATATCCAACTTCAACTTTGCTGGGTGCGGGATCGTGGATGCGCACTGCCGATGAGGAGTCCCGCAATAGGACGAAACAGTTTTCCAGTGCTTCCATATTTTCCATAGTGTTCTAGATTTAATTGACTCATGATTTCAACCATTGAAAATATTAAAATCTACACAAAACCCATTCTGATTATTCATTTAAATTAACTATATTCCTTTTAAATATTCATATTGTTTACTTATAGAGTTGGGATAATGATTTAGAAGATTTAGCTAATAGACAAGTAGTAGCATGTAATTTAAGTAGTGAATATAAAAAAGTTGAAGTGGAAAAAGAATATCGTGATAAAATTGGTATAAATACAGCTGATAATTTAAATGTTTTAAAGTAAGTCTACATAAAAATAATCAATTGAATTTATAATGAAGTGCCATGGAAACTTGGTTCAATGAATATCAATTATATGATTACAAAAAGAATAAATGCAAAATACCTAAAGATTGTCTCCATTATAAAAGGGTAAGTAAATTAATAATAAACTTTTAAGCTAATTAATGAATTAAAGCTGATCATCATCAGACAGAAATACCAATGAATGATAATTGGAAAGAGTGAACTGAATGTGAAAGTCTTCACATTGTGACATGAAGTTTCTGTATCTGATCACATAGTTCATCATGGTCCCTTAGTGTTAAAGAGTTCTAAATAAGAGCGAAACATATGAAAAGCATTAACCCATTGATGTTTAGAACTGTAATTGATATGGTAAATGTACATCCTGTGCGAATAGCCTCAAGATCGCCTTCATTCATAAGCATTCTAGCATAGATGGATAATGTCTAGCAAAGGAATCCAGTTTGATGCGCGTTTCGTCCTATTTAGGACTCGTCATTTGGATGTACCTGAACCTCAGATTTCATGTTTAATCTCGAATTTAGTACCATTAGCTGATGAGTCCCAAATAGGACGAAACGCGCATCCTGGATTACACAACTAGTCACCATCCATTTCTTGTTATATGCTTGATTCTTAAACCCTGTTTCAAATTGATATTATGAAAGTCATTCTCATGTTAATAAATTTTTAAATTTCTAGTACTAAAATTGAAAGCTAACCGTACTGTCGACGATAATCGATTGAAGTAGGAAAGTGTAAAGTGTATTAGAGAATAATTGAGAAATTTTCAAACAAAGAATGCAATAGCCCTTTTATCAGCTCAACAAGTATCTAAAGTGTTTATAATGTTACTTAAATGAACAGATGCAACACTAGTATAGAACTCCTGAGCAGAGGATACTGAAGATGCCACAAGCATTTGGAGTTTGACAACGCTTTAACCAGTAACACCTTCTACTATAAATCGTACTCACCCGGTAAAATCAATAGACAGAAGCGTGGAGGTTCGGAGATATATTCGATGGGTTATCAATATATCGTGGATTGACTGATCTAATCTCGCTAGCGATTGCAGGGGATATTGAACATGGCGTTCCCAGATCCAACGGTGTTAATGTCTAACTTCAACCAATGCCGGTTCAGTGGTCTAGTGGTTAAATGCTCGCGCGCGAAGCCAGTAGGTCCTGGGTTCGAGCCCTGCGTGGTGAGGGATCGTGGATGCGCACTGCTGAGGAGTCCCATACCAGGACAAAACGGCCGTCCAATGCTTCCAAGTTTTCAATGGTGATCTAGCTTCAACTGACTCATGATTTCAACCTGTGAAAGATCTAAATATCCTTGAATTTTCTCCTTAGGTAGGGTGGTGACTGAGTGAGAAAAAAAGCGTTTTTCTTTTGTTTTCATTCGTTAACTTTTATTTACTCTTTTCTTTGGAAATACGATGTGACCTATGGATAACTTGATGTGATTTGATAATGATTTTCATCAAAACATATTTTCACATAAGAAATCATTGAAAATCAATCAATAACAGATAGTTACGCCTAATCACATATGTACCCATAACCTTTTTAATGGAGTTTTTTCTTCTTTGAGCTTGTGGGGCTCTTTATTTTTGTCCTCATTTAGATCAGACAATGTTGTCGAAGGGCTCTTCACCTTCGTGGCCCAAGATCAGACTCCAAATAGATCGTATGAATGATTGCTGTCGAAATGTTTATATCGCCTATCCTCGTATATAATCATCGACTTAAATCGCGTTAGTCAATAACGGATTTAGATAAGTCAAATAATGAGAATGGGCTTGTGAATACATATATTTTGTATATGAATTGAATGGAATAGAGCGAAGCAAAACAACGCGCAGTAGAGATGGTGGATAAGCCAACGCCATTTTGTCGAGCCTTAATAAATATTTATAGTTACACAAAAGTCAGTTACAAACATGTGATAAGTAATGGGATGAGAAGTGTACACACACACATATGCGCTCATATAAATGCAGTCAAGGTTGATAGGTGAATAATTAAGAAGGTCAAAATGTGACTCAAGTAGAATGAATAGAATGCGCTGTCCGAAAGCTAGAATAAATCATATAGCCTTAACATAATAAACCGACACTACAATTTGGATGGTTTGGTCGTGGAGGTTTCATTGTCCTTTTGAACAACATCATCAGTACAAACTTCAAGTACCCATAAACTATATAAACTAGAAGAAAGAATCTTTTTATGAACTAACTTTCTTCAATAAAAAGTAATTTAATCATCTAATTATTAGTTCTTCAATTAAAATATTTTTCTTTAATTCTATAGATTGTATGGGGTAGCGCTGAATTTATAGGTTGCTCAACTGGATATTGTAATGATCAAACTGAAGTTAAATCAGGCAAAATAATTGTGTGTTATTATTCACCTATGTAAGTTTCTTTTATCATGATTAAGATATATGAGTATGATTAGAATTCTGTAATGAAAGAATAATGATTTTAAAAGAAAAAAAAACATGAAAGTAATTAGATAGGTTTTATTCACTTGGTGTTGTTTAATATGTATCTTCTCATTGTTATTTAGGACTGGAATTGGTCAGTCTCTTGTTGACATATGTGCATCCTGTGCGGATTGCTTCGATGAAGCTTTAAGTCAAAAGCTTTTTAAGCAACGATGGATAGTGGCTAACAGTGAAATTCAATTTGACACTCGTTTCGTCCTATTCGAAACTTCTTAGCAGTACGCACATACGGGTCTGTCGTGAGATAGTAACTCATTGAAGACAATGGTGGATGGTGATGCAGTTTTGTGGATTGCTTGTAGTTAGACATTAACACCTTTGGATACTGGCCGGCACAGTGGTGTAGAGGTTAATCGCTCACGCGCGAAACTGAAGGTTCTGAGTTCAAATCCCGTATGCGTGATCGTGGATAAAACACTGCTGAGGGTTCCCATACTAGAACGAAATGGCCTTCCAGTACTTCCAGATTTTTCATGGTGGTCTAGCTTTAATTGACTAATGAACTCAACTATTAAATTACTGAAATCTCCACGAAAACTCTTTCTGATATGAAATATATGTCTATAGAAGGATAGAAAAGATGGCATCATTGCATGACTTGAGACTCTAATTATCAAATTAGATTGTGTAATAATCAAGGGTTTAGAGAAGAATAGAAGAATGAAAATAATTTACGGGTTAGATAATTGTCCAGTTGACAGAGATGAAGAAAAGCGACAAACATTACATACCTACTCACGACTGTTACTCCCAATGGAACAAACACCGCCGACCAGGATTCTCTAACCCACTCTGTCCTGGACCTTCCTTTCCAGTTCTATCTAATTGTTGTCCATTCTTCTCATTTCTATCTCCATTTGTCAGTGTAATGTATTCTTTGATCTTCCTCTTTTCCTTTGGTTTTGAGGATTTCAAGTGAGGGCTTGCCTCTTGACGCAGTTGCATGCTTTCCTCAATGTGTGTCTTATCCACTTCCAGTGCTTCTTCCTGATTTTTTCCTCCACTGGAATCTGGTTTGTTCTTTCCCACAGTAGGTCATTGTTGGTAGTGTTTGGTCAACGGATCTGAAGTATTTTGTGTAGATAACTTTTAATAAACACTTGTATCTTCTGGATTATGGCTGAATAATAATCAAGATAACTTGTTTAATGGGTAACAATAATAACTGATTACAATTGAAAATTACAAACCACTTATTTGGAAAATCAATAATAATGAAAAAAAATGAGTAAAAAGGGAATGAAGAAAGAAATCCGAAACTTATTACAGACGGGAATTATGACCAAGGAAGGATGAGAGGTTGCGCAAATCATTTTTTCACGGAAAGTTCGAGCTTGAGTTGATGGATTGCCAATACCTCAGAAGTGCATAGGATTTTGATTCAACTTTCCTTCGATCCAATTCCTTTGACTGTGTAGATTATTTTAAGAGAAGACTTCTTTGGAGCGATATATCTATAGTTGAATAAATGCTCCTGTATTATTCAATGACACAATGAATTATTTTAGTGAAAAATGAATTGATGGGGTATTCAGCGAATATATATATATATATATATATATATATATATATATATATATATATATATATATATATATATACTTACGCCTGTTACTCCTCGCGAAGGAGCATAGGCCGTTCACCAGCATTCTCCATCCACCCCTGTCCTGGGCAATACTTTCCACCTCCTTCTAGTCATTATCCATCCTTTTCATATCTGCTTCTATTTCCCAACCTAATTTGTTCTTTGGCTTTCCACTTTTCCACTTCCCTTCAGGATTCCAAGTTAGGGCTTGCCTCGTGATGTAGGTTGATGATTTGCGAAATGTATGTCCTATCCATTTCCATCGTCTTTTCCAAATTTCTTCTTCAGCTGGAAGCTGATTTGTTCTCTCCCACAGAAGGCTGTTGCTGATGGTATCCGGCCAATGGATGTTGAGTATCTTGCGTAGACAGCTATTTATAAATACATGTACCTTTTTGATGATGGTTGTCGTAATTCTCCACGTTTCACCTCCATACAGTATAACTGCCTTGACATTCGTATTGAAAATTGTGACTTTGATATCGGTTGACAGTTGTTTTGAGTTCCATATGTTCTTCAATTGTAGGAATGCGACCCTTGCTTTGCCAATCCTTGCCTTTGCGTCTGCATCCGAGCCTCCTTGTTCATCGATGATGCTTCCTAGGTATGTGAAGGACTCTACATTTTCCAAAGTTTCGCCATCAAGAGTGATTGGATTGTTGTTTTCCGCTTTGAATGTGAGGACTTTGGTTTTCCCTTTGTGTATGCTGAGGCCTACTGATGCAGAGACTGCTGCTACACTGGCTGTCTTCATCTGCATCTGTTCGTGTGTACGTGATAGGAGGGCTAGGTCATCTGCGAAGTCCAAATCGTTTAGTTGATTTTGAGCTGTCCATTGTATCCCGTATTTTCCTTCAGATGTTCAGGTCTTCATAATTCAGTCGACCATCAGAAGAAAGAGGAAGGGAGAGAGTAAACAGCCTTGTCTGACTACGGTCCTTACTTGGAATGCATCTGTCAGCTGTCCTCCATGCACGAACTTGCATACTCGTTCATCATATGAGTTTCGGATAATGTTGACAATCTTCTCAGGAACTCCTTAGTGTCGAAGAAGTTTCCATAACGTCCTCCCATCCACACTGTCAAAGGCCTTTTCATAATCAATGAAGTTGATGTTTAGTGATGAGTTCCACTCAACTGATTGTTCGACGATCAGTCAGTCAGTCAATAACAACGTAGAACTTCGTACGTACGTACATCAGTTCGAGTTGCCACACCACCTTAACACAGAGATGCAGTGGTTGATTCAAATCCCATTGTGGTAGAGGTAGCAAGAGTGTAAGCAGTGATCGGGAAGATTAGGGTTTGGAGATGTTATTTAAGGAGTATAATTCAGTGAAATAAATTTGGAAAGAGGAAAAAAGGGACATGAAGAATTCAGAAGATTAGAATTTGGGAGAACACAAAGAGTGGATGCACCTGTGCTATTGCAAACGATTTTGAGCCATGTGATTCAGGGTCTCTAACCATCGGTTGCTATCATCTCGCGGTCCCCAACCAGGTAGTCTACACCTACCAACATGACTCAGACCACTTGTCAGTGACTTCATGAACTTGTGCCATGTTTTGGTCTGGCCGCCCCTAGCTTTCTTACAACCTACTCCTATACCACTGAACATCGCACGTCGAGGCAGTCGGTCGTTGGGCATACGTAACACGTGTCACAGCCATCTCAACTGATGAAGTTTCACCACATCATCAATTGATTTGCCATCCTTACCTAGTACCCGTTTCCTAACAGCTGTGTTACTTACTCGATGGTCCCAGAATATACGAGCAATGTTTCGAAGACACCTATGATCAAATACTATTAGTCTACGAATATCCTCTACTCTTACCGGCCATGTTTCACTGCCATAATGTATGACGGAACGAACTGCTGCGCTGTAAACCCGTCCTTTGGTTGATAGACGGATATCTCGCCTGCACCATAAATGACGCAAGTTGGCAAAAGCTAGTCGAGCATTCTGCATCCGTGCTGAGATTTCGTCACACACCAGACCACAAGGGCTGATGAGACTTCCAAGATAAGTGAAGCGGTCGACACACTCAACTACTTCACTCCCTATCATTAGTTCGGGTGTCGATGTAACCCAATCCTGAAGCAACATTTTGCATTTCGAGGGAGAGAATCGCATCTTGAACATGCTTGCATTGTTGCTTAGAGTGGTCAGAAGACTCTGCATTTTGTCAGCGTCTTCACCAAATAAAACTATGTCATCGGCATATTCTAAGTCAACAAGTGAACCTCCCGGTAGAAGTTCAACCCCTGGAAATTTAGATGAGGAGAGTGTCATCTCTAAAAGTACGTCGACCACAAAGTTGAACAAGAATGGAGAGAGTGGACAGCCCTGACGAACACCACTTGAGGTAATCAATTCTGATGACAGTTCGCCATAAGCTCTCACTCTACCAGTTGTGTTGGAGTAGAGAGCCTGAATAAAGTTAATGTACTTCTTTGGTACTCCTTTCAGTGACAAACACTGCCATAGAACCTTACGATCAACAGAGTCGAATGCCGCCTTAAGGTCGAGAAATACTACCATTGTGGGGCGTCTAAACGTGTGTCTGTGTTCTAGAACCTGACGTAGTGTGAATATTTGGTCTATACAACCACGTCCAGGTCGAAAACCAGACTGATTTTCTCTAGTCTGTTCTTCACGAGCTTTAGTTAGGCGTCGAAGTATTATTGAAGCTAATATTTTAGACACTGTATTAGTCAAACTGATTCCTCTTTGATTATCACAAGAGGACTTTTGTCCTTTCTTATAAACTGGCACAATCAGTGATTGAGACCAGTCAGATGGGATTACGTCCAGTTCCCAAATTCTACCTAAGACCTCAGTTAATCTCACTGCTAATACTGAACCACCATCCTTAAAAATCTCAGGAGTAAATCTGTCAGGGCCTGCTGCTCTCCCTCGCTTCAGATTTCCTATAGCTTTTTCAACTTCGTAAAGAGATGGAGGACCTACATTAACTTGCCACTCAGGTTGACTAGAGATCGTGGGAAATCGAAGCGTGGCTGAAGGCCAGTTGAACTGATCCCTAAAGTGTTCTGCCCATCGATCCAATCTCCTGGATTAGGAATGAATAATATGTCCATCTTTCTCTGAGATTTTTTAGCTAATAGTCGGGTTCCTAATTCCGGTTTCCTTAACGAGTCTGAACAATTGTCTGCTATTACCTGTTGTCGCTGCCTTCTCCATCTCTCTTGCTTTCGCTACCCACCACTGTTCACGATCATTGCGTAGACTTCTTGACAGCTTGCGCTTAAGCTGACTCCACTCTTCATTATGTTCAGAGCCAGATGGATTGAGTTTCCGAGCATCTATCAGTGCAATAGATGCTGCTGAGATCCAGTGTTGCTCTCTAACCTTCTGGTTTACCTTACTAGCAGATATCACTGCTGTTTCCACAGCTTTTCGGATATCATTCCATGCTGCCTCGGGGTGGGCATCTTATACATGGCTGCCTAACTGTTTTCCTAGTTGTTCCTGAAATATACTCTTAGCTTGACTATCATTAAGTAGGCCCCTAAGAGGTTTCCTTGCAGCGTCTTTCCTACGTCCAGTAAGACGCAAGCAAATACGCGCTCGCACTAGAGCATGATCTGAATCTAAGCATGTGCTCCAGAATGAGCGACAGTCTTCTATCGAGCCCCTCCATCGGTGGCTGATGGCGATGTGATCTATTCGGGTCCAACGTTGGGACGAATTAGGAGGTCGCCATGTTAAAAGATGTTTTTCCTTATGCTTAAAGTTAGTATTTGCAAGGATCAGGCGGTTATCTGAGCATAGCTGCAACAGACGGTCGCCATTATCTGTTCTTTGAGCCACGACACCATAAGATCCACCTAGGTGTCTTTCCCTATCACTTAGTTGTTCGACGATGATCGGTAGTGTTGCAATTTGGTCTGTGCACGACCGATCGTTACGGAATCCAGCTTGTTGATCTCAAAGTTGGGCGTCTACTGCATCTTTCATCCGGTTCAGCACCACTTTGTTGAAGACCTTCCCTGGTATTGACAGCAGTGTGATGCCTCTGTAGTTTTAAAATTTTCTAAGGTCTCCTTTCTTTGGAATCTTGATGAGGTGTTCTTCTTTCCGGACCATCGGCACTTGTTCCTCCTCCCAAATATTTTTGAATAGAAGGTGAAGCATGTTTGTAGTTACTTCGATGTCGGACTTCAGTGCTTCAGCTGGTACATTGTCGGGTCCTGCTGCTTTCCCTCTCTTGATTTGTCTGATGGCCATTCTGATTTCTTCCGTCATTGGTGAATTGACATATATAAGAAGATCTGTGTGTGCTGCTTCGATGTCCGGTGGATTCATTGGAGCCTGCCTATTCAGAAGTTCCTTGAAGTATTCTATCCATTTGTTCCGCTGTTGTTGAATTTCAGTGATTGGCCTGCCTTCAATGTCTTTGACCTGCCTCTCTGATTTACTACATTTTAATGCTGGTTTCCTCATTGTATCGTAAAGTTGTTTCATATTTCTCTTCCAGTCTTTTCCGCCGTCTTTGCTAGTTCTTCCACATATTTCTTCTTGTCGACTCTAATGCTCCTCTTCACTTGTTTGTTTGCTTCTATGTATTCAGCTTGTGCTTGGACTGTCTCTACTCGTGTTTGGCTGTTGTAAATGACTGTCTTCTTGTTATTCCTTTCTTTGATCTTGTCCAGAGTTTCTACAGAGATCCATTCCTTATGATAATGCTTCTTGAGGCGCAGAACCTCTTGGCACGTTGAAGTTAATGCTTCTTTGATGCCTTTCCAGTTGTCTTCCATAGTAGTTTCTTCTTCCTTCAGTAGATCTTGTAAAGCTTGAAACCTGTTGTTGAGAGCTATCTTGAATTCATTGAGTCTGTCAGTATCTCGGAAGAAGGCTGTATTCAACCTTTGTAGCGGTGTTTGTCCAGTTGTCCAGTTCTTTTTTAGCTTCAGTTTTAAATTGGCTACAACTAGGTGGTGAGCTGAAGCTACGTCAGCACCTCTTCTGCTTCTCACATCTTCCATTGTCCTTCGGATTTTTTTGTTCATGCAAATATGATCTATTTGGTTCTCTGTAGTGTGGTCCGGTGAGATCCATGTAGCCTTGTGTATACGCTTGTGTGGAAATATTGTCCCTCCTATGACCGATTTGTTGAATGCACACAGATTTGCAAATCTTTCTCCATTTTCGTTTCTCTGTCCCAGTCCATGTCGTCCCATGATATCTTCGTATCCAGTATTGTCTATTCCGACTTTGGCATTTAGATCTCTCATTAGAATGGTGAGGTTCTTTCTTGGGCATCTCTCTATGATTGACTGCAGCCGCTCGTAGAATTGATCTTTAATGTCGTCGTTGCTATCATTGGTGGGTGCATAACATTGGATAATATTCATTAAGATCCCCTCCTTCTTTGTTTTAAATGATGCTTTGATGATTCTGGATCCGTGAGATTCCCATCCTACAAGTGCATTTTGTGCTACTTTGGACAGCATTAGAGCGACTCTCTGAGTGTGTCGAGCATTTTTCTCTTCGTCACCGGAGTATAGCTAGCCTTTTCTGTCCAGCTTGGGTCCAGTGGGTTTCGCTGATTCCCAATACTGCTAAGTTGTATCTCCTCATTTCCATTGCTATTTGACTGGTTTTCCCAAACTCCCACATTGTTCGGACGTTCCATGTACCTATAAAATTTTTTGCTCTGGTTGTTAGAAGGGGCATCGGATTCGTGGCTTCCGAAAGAACTCAGCTTTCACCATGAAGCGTCATAGTTCTTCTAAATGAAGACATTCTAATTCCCAGGGCAGAGTTTAAGTGGTTTGGATCATTTTTTTCTGGTTAGTGTTTTTTAGCGAGTTAGTTTTTTGCGAGATGAGGACGCTAACCCCATCCCCAAACCTCCTCCTTTACTCGGGCTTGAGATATATTATAAACGACGTCTATTTATAAATTCAATAGATAAATATTTAGAGATTTCAGTGAATAAAACCTTAAAATATACTTATCGTTTCAAGATTCTCATCATATTAGTATTCTTTATTTATCAGTTTGACTACTCGTATGAAGAAAGTTATATTGGTAGAACTTCTAGAAATTGATATTTTCGTTTTTGTGAACACCTCTCAGAGTGGTTAAGCAAAGGTCTGGTGAAGAAAGTGGACAGCTCGATATTAGCCTATTTAGTACAAACTGGTCATAGTACCAGTACAAAATAATCCTTTCAAATTATTTGCCATATCATAAAATTAACCATCTATAACCAACAGATTTAACTAACTGCGATTATACGTCATGATCGATTAATTGATTTGAGTCATTACTTCTCATAAAAGTTAGGCACCTCTCCTCAATCTAATTTACATAAGTTATGGTATCTAGTACTTACCGAAAATTGCAGGCAACTTGTTGATTTTGATTTTGGGCTTTTTTAAAAAACCCACCATTTTTTAATCATTACAGGGGTGATGTGCAAACGTCACGGCCATATGAAGAGAATAAAATTGATCCTTGTCCTCCTCCAATAACAACAACAACCACAACAACAACGAGAAAACCAATCACAGTTACTAGAAAATTACAAATGGGTCCATATGGTCGTTATCGCTGTAACTGTAAATGTCAACCTTAAAACTTTATCTAACAAAAGCAATGAGACCCACTTTGTATTTTCTATGTGAGTAAACTCCTGTAAACGACAACTGCTGGTATACTATTACAGTAATAAAATATACCCTTTTTTACAAGACTTTTCAGCTCGTTTTTTACTCATCATTTTATTAGAAACGGGTTTTGTGAAGATTATAGCAGCTTAATAGTTGAATTTGTAGTGAACTACTATCATCAAGAGAACACGATTGGTTTGATGGAAACAATCATTATTATAACCAAATGTGCCACTGATTGTTTTACTGTGCTTGTTTGTTTAACTGTACTAAAGACATCCATTACTCATCCGTTGACTGCGATATTGTATGCCCGCACGTTCGCCCATTGATTTTACTTTTATTTCCTTTGACACGATCTCGGCATACTTTCAATATCACGAGATCGCCAACGAATATATCTGGTTACAATCTCCTTTTGCCTTCTGATTTTTTGGTATTCGCTCTTCCTGTAGTGGTGATCATAGTCAAACACGATTCGACGCCGCACTACAAGTTCATGAGTGGATTAAAGCTAGACCACGATGGATAACTTGGAAGCACTGGACGGCCGTCCCGCTAAAAATAGCGGAAAAATACCAATTTCAAATTCAAGAAAACTTAAAACGAACAACGGTTTGCTAAGCCGCTGGAATAAATTTATTACAATAAATAGATTAGATTTATGCAAGAACGCTATATAAGCTTTATCACATTAAGAATGAGTTGTATATATTTGAAACACATCTCGTCAGTATCAACGTACTTCTTTTTTGATTGAATGAACTAATTCTTGATTATATCGTTATATTTATGAGCCTAATTAAATGTTCACTACTAGCAAATTATCAGTGCCCCTAATATTTATTCAAATTTTCAATCCTAGGAAATGAAAATTTAAATTTAAAATCAGTTAGTTATTCAGTCAAAGTTTTTATAGTCAACATAAGAATTTCGTCTTATAAAAAATATTATAACCAGTTTTTCTTACTATGTAACAGCTTAGGTTGGTTGGTTAAGAGTTCACCTCAAACAACTAAGCATATATTAAAACAGTAAAGTTCAAGAATTCATTCACTTCCTCATTTTGTATAGGCGTTATATTTCCTATTATCTTAAATTGAATGTTGAAAGGCTTTATTTGTCTGAACAAATAATCCCACGCTCCACTATGACAGCAAAGATCTAAATAAAGACCTATTTACTACTTGTGTGGTTTCTTCTATCGATAGCACGAGGGTTACCTAGAGATACGAAAGCTACTTAGAATAGAGTGTAAATCACCACTGTGAATGATGACGCCTACTTAATCTGGTGAGAAATAGGATCACGTCGTTGCCCATATCGATGTTACATCTCGGAATTAGTGCATAACATGGCATATCCTGTCGCAAAAACCGGGTAAACCAGCTCTTTTGGTAACTGCGTATAACAGGTAGAACCTTAACAAAACATAAGTATGTATTAGTAAAAACAGATTAATGTAGCATAGAGTAATGTTACTACCGTATCTGCCTGCCTATGACGTGCAGCTGACTAATCCGCATTGGTTGCTCTCGATCTTAAAGATGTATGTAGAGTTTCCGATATCCAGCCTAAAATTACTTAAGTTTGATGGATGATTTGGTCTGGACGCAGTGTCCCTATAAGAGTGTAGGACTATGATGTAACTTCATATCATTAGAATTCAAATATATTGTATATACGTCATATTAATTGACTAAAATTTGATTTAATCGGAAATAACTACGTAATCAGCGATAACGAGTGGAAAGGCATCAATATTTCATTTCAGATCTACAGATACACAAATTAGATGTTCTGAGAGTTATACATGATAAGCACTAATCATTTAGTGATTGCTTCATATATTCATATATTTTCTGCAATCACTAGCAAGTGGTCCTCTTCACCTACAAAAACTCATTCAGATAAAAAAACGTTATCGCAGTTCAAAGCAGTAATACTTCATATATGCATATATACAAATAAACGTCAGTTGGCAATATCACCTGTGCAGTACGCTATAAAGACCTTTCCAGCAGTTCCCGCTCCTAGAATCTAGGTCTGTATTTCAACTGGCCTCATTGCGTAAAAGAATTCTCAATCGTCCGCCTTTTTCTAAGTTATAACTTCTGATCATGAATCGTATAACCGTAACTTTATATTTCTAAATATTCTTCTTTTGAACCCTTGTTGTACAACTTATCAAGTTTTACTGATAGCATTCTTGTAGATTATCAAACGCTATTTGCGCCAGGGCAACTTTGAACTATTAAAGTACTTTGCGTTTTTATTATAAATAGGTTTTTATCTTAGAACTCTAGTAAATAAGCTTAAAGTCTGTGTTCTGATTTATTCAGATACAAGCGGCTTCAAATGACTTCGGGCATTCTGCCATAGAGCTTGGTTAAGTCTCATCGAATAAACTAGTTTGCTGGATGATCTTCTGCAGTCAGACGACGTACTCACATTTCCGTCACTGTGTGCCACTCCTGTTATCCCTGTTAGCTTCCAGTGAACTACATGGAGTAAATGCAAGGTCCATTCCATAAAGACTTGTACTCAAGTTTTTATCGGAGGATCAATGATTGGTACAAAAACCGCTTATGTGATTTAACTTTTGAAGATGTTAGTCGGACTCATCAGCTCTCAAATCTCTTCTCGAATATACTGAAAAATAATCCCAAACTTTTCAGGCTCAATGTGCCAATCGCTAAGGAAAAGTAAGCGGGGTAACCTGACATTCTAAATCATTTCTGTTTAGTATAGTGAGCCTTCCTGTGATGGGGAGCTCATCAGCTGTAGTCAGCTAGGCCAACATACAGTTAGGTGTCTGACCCTTAATAGTCTATCTTCAGAAGAGTTTTCGATATCATAGTATAAAACTTAAAACCATATTAGATAGACTTGGTACTTCAGAGTACCCATTTATTATCTATAAGCGAACTCTTTCATTAGAATACAACCTGATGGACCATAGTCAGTTTTGTGATCACTCAGGTGTCATCCTTGCTCGAACGAAGGAGGCTGAAAATGTTGGATTATAGTTCAGGAGGACTCTGAATTTTTAACTAAATCTAATGAAGTTAACCTGATTCCTGAGATAGACCTATGGTGGTCCATTTCGAACAGATTATCCTGCAAAAATATCCGGCTGATTCAACATAACAATAGATATTTCTCATACAGCGACAGCCACGCACGAATCTTGGTGTGATAAACCTTGAACGTTCTCGAAAGTCTTTGTGATTCGTGGGGGTAGACTGAGACTTACCAGGCAACTTATCGTAAAGCTAAAAAGAGTTCCCCCATCCATCCCAACAATTATTATTGAACAACTTAGTATCAAGGAGCTCGACATTTAATTCTTCTCGGCTAATTCCGATGATCCCGGCTTGATTGTCACAACTCATATTGATAAATGAAACCTCAATACCACGAAGCACCCATGAAACCCAGCCCGCTAATGGCCGGATTGGTAATGACCGACACCCTTCCCGGTGTGAATAACCTCATATTTGTCCAACTCTGAAGCTTTTCCTATCCTACTATCTGCTCATGCAATAATGTAAGAAGGTTAAAGTCGGAAAATTAGTCAATGAATAGAGCACATATAATGCCTTTCGGAGAAACTTGGCTTACTAATGATATCACAAAAGGCAAACTATCACTCGACGCTTTCTGGCTGCTACGTAAAGACAGATCTGACGCTTTTAGTTGCCGGCCTTGTTTTACAGACCTACTTCTCTCGAGACTCACAATATCTTATCTCCTAGGATAAGTCACTCTCATACCTTAAGGCATAGTTTAAAGAGTACTTAAAGTTCGTGTCCGACAAATGTAGTTTGTAGATTATTGGTCGCCAAGATGAAATTGAAACTCAAGAAGCACTAGACAATGGGGCGGACAATATCACAAAAGTTCAATACGGCCTTTCTTCAGGATACTAACAAACTCAACAAATTCAAGATAGTCCTCAGCAACAAATTCCAGGCCTTTCATGATCTACTCAATGGAGAAGGAACTACTGTGATGAGCAACTGGAAAGGTATCAAAGAGGCAATCACTTCAACATGTCATGAGGTCCTGGGTCACAAGAAGCACCATCACAAGGAATGGATCACTGTTGATACACTGGATAAGATTGAAGAAAGAAGGAACAAGAAGGCAGCAATCAATACCAATCGAACAAGAGCATAAAATGCCAAGGCACAAGCTGAATACACAGAAGTAAACAAACAAGTGAAGAGGAGCATCAGAACCGACAAACGTAAATATGTGGAAGATCTAGCAAAGACGGCGGAAAAGGCTGCAAGAGAAGGGAACATGAGACAATTGTATGACACGACAAAGAAACTCTCTGAAAATCGCCGCAAACTAGAACGACCAGTGAAAAGCAAGGAAGGCGAGGTAATCACCAACATTAAAGAGAAACGAAACAGGTGGGTAGAACACTTCAAAGAACTCTTGAATCGACCAACTCCACTGAAGCCACTCAACATCGAAGCAGCACCCACGGACTTCCCAATCGATGTTGGCCTACCAACAATTGAAGAAATCAGCATGGTCATCAGACAAATCAAGAGTGGCAAAGCAGCAGGATCAGAAAACATTCCAGCAGAGCCACTGAAAGCAGACGAAGCGGTAACTGCAAGGATACTCCACATTCTCTTCAATAAGATTTGGGATGAGGAACAAGTACCAAAAGACTGGAAAGAAGGACTCCTGATCAAAATACCGAAGAAAGGCGATCTCAGCAACTGTTATAACTAAAGAGGCATCACTCTTCTCTCAATACCAGGAAAAGTCTTCAACAGAGTATTGTTAAACAGGATGAAGGACTGCGTAGACGCCCAACTTCGCGACCAACAGGCAGGATTCCGTAAGGATAGATCGTGTACAGACCAAATCGAAACTCTACGGATCATTGTGGAACAATCAATTGAATGGAATTCATCACTCTACATCAACTTCATTGACTACGAAAAAGCGTTTGACAGCGTGGACAGGACAACACTATGGAAGCTTCTTCGATACTACGGCGTGCCTCAGAAGATAGTCAATATCATACAGAGTTCATATGATGGATTACACTGCAAAATCGTGCATGGAGGACAGTTGACAAAGTCGTTCGAAATAAAGACCGGTGTTAGACAAGGTTGCTTACTCTCACCCTTTCTCTTTCTCCTGGTGATCGACTGGATAATGAAGACGTCAACATCTGAAATGAAGTACGGAATAAAATGGAAATTTAGGATGCCGTTGAACGATCTGGACTTCGCAGATGATCTGGCCCTTCTATCTCAAACGCAACAACAAATGCAGGAGAAGACGAACAGTGTAGCAGCAGCCTCAGCAGCAATAGGTCTCAATATACACAAAGGGAAAAGCAGGATTCTCCGATGCAACACAGCATGCACCAAACGAATCACAATTGATGGAGAAGATTTGGAAGCTGTAAAAATCTTTACATATCTGAGCAGCATCATTGATGAGCATGGTGGATCTGATGCAGATGTGAAGGCCCGGATCGGTAAAGCAAGAGCAGCATATTTACAATTGGAGAACATCTAGAACTCAAAACAATTGTCAACCAACACCAAGGTCAGGATTTTCAATACAAATGTCAAGACAGTTCTACTGTATGGGGCAGAAACCCGGAGAACTACGAAAGCCATCATCCAGAAGATACAGGTGTTTATTAACAGTTGTCTACGCAAAATACTTCAGATCCGTTGGCCGGGCACTATTAGCAACAACGTACTGTGGGAGAGAACAAACCAGATTCCACTGGAGGAAGAAATCAGGAAGAAGCACTAGAAGTGGATAAGACACACATTGAGGAAAGCACCCAACTGCGTCACAAGACAAGCCCTCACATGGAATCCTCAAGGCCAAAGGAAAAGAGGAAGACCAAAGAACACATTACGCCGGGAATCGGAGATAGACATGAAAAAGATGAACAAGAATTGCATGGAATGAGAAAAGAAGGCCGAGGACAAAGTGGGTTGGAGAATGCTGGTCGGCGGCCTATGCTCCATTGGGAGTAACAGGCGTAAGTAAGTAAGTAAGTAAGATTACCTGGAGACTGTTACTTTCGGATGAGTTCATTCCTTCAGGCACATAGAGGAGCTCTGTAAATGAATTTATACGAGAAATTATCAGTGGGTGATTTCGATTTGTAAATCTCCTCTCTTTAGGATCAGGATTTACAGATGAATAATATCATATTAAGTACCAGAAATAAAAGTTCAACTTTTGAAGAATAATAATTCAGTATGTCTAGGAGGAACCTAACGAACTGTTTCTATACTGTATCACATCTTTATCGACCACTCTTCGGAAGTGGTTTACCTGATGAATGGACTACATAGAAAATCAATAGCTAAGCTGGTTAGACTGATGTTAGAGAAGGCCTGGAAAGGGTTGGCGAACGGTGGGCTCCTCTTAAAAACGTTCTACTGTCCGTGGATCGCTAACCTCCCCGGCTGGGAATAAACGTAAACACCAAGATAATACAACTGCCTAAAGTTTTGTTTATCTCAGACTTATCAGGAACAGACATGCTTTCCGAAAAGAATGGCGTCCTTCCAGTTGCACAGACGACTGACTATACAGGGTTTTATGCAATTCTTGAACTCAAAATATACATGGGGGTAGAACAAATAATCAACCTCATCTTATGGATTCTGTGGAAAATTAATATAGTTCTATATACAACTTTATGAAGAAGATGCCATATACCACGTCAATTAACCTGGATCTAAATTTCTTAAGAACACATACCTGTAATATTTGATGGATTTCAATCCCATGAACACCGGTCTGTAATACTTCTTTCCAGAAATACTTACCGTATTGCACCTTTCAAAGTTTAAACTTCTAAAATTCAAAGATGTTCTAAGGCCTTTGAATAATTATTGAACTACCGACCCATTAAGAATGCGCCGACCTTATTATCTTCCATTTTGAAACTCGTTTCTTAGGTTCTTTAGTCAAGGGTAAACTACACTCTGACTCTAAGTGGATATATGTACCATTACATAAAGAAAGTACCAAGGAGGAAGAGTCTAGTTACTGACTAACCTCCTCGAAATGGCCTCCTCGTGAAACCCATTTTCTCGAAATCTCAACACGGCTTCCAATCTGTTACGTCCTATAATATAAACCGCTGGCTGCCTGAAATAGCAGGACTATCTGCCTGGAACACTACTACAAGGATTGTGTTTGCTTCTGGGACTTTTTAAAGATTCTAACAGGGTCGATCTTTACATTCTGTTCCAGAAAAGAAACCCCGCGGGTAAAGGGGGGTGTTTGATAATATAGCTCTGAATGGACGCTCCGTGGCGTGTATGAAAGCACGCAGTTTACAGTCAATAAAGCATAGAATGATTAAGAGGGATTTAGTCATTTCATGTCATATTATCCATGGTTGTCTCTACGTATACAGACCACTGATACATCAAACAACCAGTATTTTAAACTTCATGAAAACTTGATATGTAAGTGTCGAAAAGATAAACAGACTACTTTACTCCAGCAGGATCTTCCTGTTTATATTTTGAAGTCTATTTTGTAGAAATATGAACTGCGATTTAATGTAGTAATTTTGGAAGCCCGGTGGTTTTGGTTAGTACGTTACCCTTCACAACTCGTGTTGCAGAAGTTGAAGCTACTTCAGGCTCGTCTTTAGGACACTAATGTAAGTTACTCACTGTATGAGACAAATAATTTACAGATAATCAGTCTGTCATGTAATTAACAAATTTCGTTCAGCATGATCCAGATTCATATCTTAGTATTATTTCAAAAGCACTCAAATACAATTAGGTATATAGTATTAGAATTGTTCGGCTGAAAGAGCAAAAAATTCTAAAACAAAATTCATACAATTTTTCAACAAAACACAGAGTCAGACATGATATATGCAAATGACTTCTGTATCACATGTCTCGAGACATGTATGTAGTAACTGACCAGTTGCTACATACGATCATCATTTGCTATTTATGAGTTTTAACCTATCTGTGAGTCATTATGATTATGGTTAGTAGTGTCTTGTATGTTTTTAGTCATATCGACCTGTCTATGATCATCGTGTGGGAATTTTTCCACAACTTCTCGGAAAAAAACGTTATCTGAATTCTGTTCATTAGCATAAATAGAAGGATGAGTAATAGGCATATGAATCTGCCTACATTAATATTGATTTTGTTTTCATTAAGTTTAACTATTTTAGTTACTTCCGTTGTAAGACATACCAGACCTTAACAACAATCAATGAAGCGGTTTTAGTTTCAGTTTGAAAAGAAAAGGAAGCTGGGTGGCATGTGCTAGTTTTTGCAATGATGGTCTTTCAGATGATCCGACTTTCTTTGGAAACATCGACAGTTGGAGCTTCAATCATGTATTGAGTTGATGAATTCCACTCGTTGATAATTCGATCGAAAATTTGATAGTCAGCTGACAAGTAATTTGTTCTAGGCTTGTGAACATTTTTAGTGTCCTCATAGATTCTCTGTTTTGGAAGACAAGAAAAGGTAGGGTATATCAGACGCATATTTATCGCTAAGTAGTTTAAAAACTGTAATTAAGTCGCCTCTGGTCCTTCCATATCACAGTTTTAATTTGGCTAGTTTGCCAATGTATGGGAGCTTTGTGATTCAGTGGATCAACTTAGTTATCATTCTTTGAACCCTTTACAACTCATTGAAGTCCGTCGGTCTACTCCGCGTGACCGTGAGTTTGACCACAAACGAAGGATGTTACGTAAGGAAATTGGGCAAAGCTTGCGTAAGGACCGAGAAGCCTGGCGGTCGGACCGTGCTAATGAGCTGGAAGCAGCAGCTGCATCTAATAATTACCGGAAGCTCTTCCAACTCATCCGAGCCACTGGTAACAAGAAGTCTGTTGTGAGCGAAACAATCTACGAGGATGATGGGATGCCAATCACTAACATCCATCGACGTCTTGGACGTTGGGCATAATTTTTCGAAGGGCAGTTCAACTGGCCTGCTGCTCCGGCAACATAGGTCAGACTGTCCTGCCCTCCATGGCCGGTGACCATTGATCCACCAAATGAGGCGGAAGTCCGCAAGGAACTCCAACTCTTGAAACGTTACAAATCACCTTACCCAGATGACTTACCTCCGGCTATTTTTAAAGATGGTGGTGACTTTCTGATTAAGGAACTGACGACGTTGTTTACAAAGGTTTGGGAACTAGAGAGTGTACAAACGTCGTGGAATGAGTCGATAGTTGTCCCTATCTTTAAAAAGGGTTCACGTTGTTCCTGCAACAACTATCGGGGGATAAGTCTACTTCCGATTGCGTCCAAGCTATTGGCTCCCGTCATACTTCGTAGGTTGTTCAAAACCCGATAAAGATTGACTCGCGAGGAGCAGGCTGGGGTTCTTTCCGGTCGAGGATGTATTGATCATATCTTCACCCTCCGCCAAATGTTAGAACACCGCCATGCTTATCAAAGACCAACAATCGTAGTGTTTCTTGACATCAGGGCTGCCTTCGATTCGTTGGATAGGACTGTTCTCTGGGATTGTCTATTGAAGAAGTGTGTGCCTGAGAAGTTTATTGACATCCTAAAAGCTCTATATACAAACACCTCAGGCAGAGCGAGGGCATACAATCACCTCTCTCTATTGTTCCATTCGAGCAGTGGTGTTAGGCAGGGTTGCCCAATCTCACCATTCCTCTTCAACTTTGCCATCGACGACATTCTGGAAACAGCTCTGATGGATGTAAGTAATGGTGGTGTGGATCTGTTGCCTGGAGAATGACTTGTCGACCTTGAGTATGCGAATGATATTGTCTTACTGTGCGATAATGCCCAAGGCATGCAATCCGCACTTAATCAGTTGGCAATCAGTGTCCGTAGCTATGGTATGTGCTTTGCACCTTCGAAGTGCAAAGTACTTTTACAAGACTGGCAGTATTCTACTCCTGTACTCACCCTGGATGGTGATCAGTGAGAGCCAGAGCGGCTTATGCCAATCTGGGCCATCTTTGGCGCCTTCGTGATGTTAGTCTGGCTGTAAAAGGTCGGATCTACAACGCGTCGGTGAGAGCAGTTTTGCTCTATGCTTGTGAAACCTGACCTGTCCGAGTTGAGGACGTTAAAAGACTTTCTATGTTCGATCATCGTTGTCTCCGAAGGATTGCTGACATCCAGTGGCAACACCATGTTAGTAATGCAGAGGTTCGGCATCGTGTGTTCGGGCACAGAGATGATAATTCAATTGGTGTTACCATCTTGAAACACCGACTTTGATGCCTTGGACATGTTCTACGAATGTCGTCCTAGGGAATTCCACGTCGTGCATTATTTGCCGACTCTGGGACTGGTTGGAAAAAGCGGAGAGTTGGTCAGTATATGACATGGTGTCGCGGTATGAAAGAAAGCTGCAAAGGACTGGCTTGTGTTGGTCCTTCACGACTCCCTGTCTGGGTTCCGAGAGATGGTGCAACACAGTGGCTAGAGACGTTATCAGATATGGCTCAGAATAGAAGCCAGTGGCGATCCTGCTGTAACCTTCTTTTACTTTCTTCATAAAAAGTGGTTGTGTCTCCCTTAACTGAAAGATTTCTTCTGATTGTACCTTTCCGTTCCCCCATTATTACCATTGTTATTATTACACCACCTTACATCAGTCTCTTCCATATTATTCTCTTTTTTCCTTTTCTTCCCCTTAAATTCTCATTGTTTTGTGTGGCGCATATAAATATGGCGCACTCTTGTACCGGTATTTATGTGTTCAAATAAATAATTAATAAATAAGACGTGCAAACACTGTATACAGGTCTGAAAGTTTTTAGTATGGATAGGGCTGATGGCTCTACATATTGACCACAAGTCTCTGAAATCTTTGGCAGCTGTCGAATGGCAGTGTGCAGTAGTTTTTAAGTCTTGGCTAACGATGACTCGTAGGTCATTATGTGACTGGACAACAGGTAATTGAAAGCCCCAAATGCCCTAGTACGACCGAGGATAGGGGGAGTCCGTTTTCACAAGGTCACGCGTATATAGAAAATGTCAGGGAAGTCCTACCTTTCTTTCTCGTGGCAGGGTGTTGTTTACAGAATCGAAAGGACAAAAAGCGAATGTCCGGCGCCCTAACTGGGTTGGTGGACATGGAGAATCCATCTAGGGGAGTTGGAAAACCCTAATTACAAACCAATGGTGCACATGGGCTCCATGATCCTGACGGAACAAATGGCATATGGACCAATCGTTGGTCACTTACATCTTACGTTGCTCCACTGCCTCTTGGATCAGACCTTTATGTCGAAAGCTCTGAGTGTGGCCCTCTAGGAAAACCACCAGCTTCGGATAAGGCACCCGGGCAGTATCACAACGCACACACAAATCAAGTGGCTTGTGTGGCGTATATGTATTCAGTGCCCGTTTGTACCAATTTTTTATGTGTTCAAATAAATAAATAAAAAGTATTGAAAATTGATTGAGGTTGAAATGTGATTCAATCTATTTTAAATGAGTAACCGAAATCTATTATATTCATCACATGATCTGACTTAATTATTCAAATAAAGAAAAAAATCACTGCTTTTCACAGTGTAGTTATACCTTGGTGACCAATATGCACCATAATGCACTTAAAATCACTTATCAATAACTGCCAAGTTTTAGACCATTCAGATTATTTCTCTAGGTCATCGATGTTGACAACAATACGGAAATCAAAGACTAGAATTTTGTCGCCACCCTAACTTAAGTCAGTCAGTAACAACGTAGAACTTCGTACGTACGTACATCAGTTCGAGTTGCCACACCACGTTAGCACAGAGATGCCGTGGTCGATTCAAATCCCGTAGTTGTAGAGGTAATAAGAGTATAAGCAGTAATCGGGAAGATTAGTGTTTGGAGATGTTAATTAAAGAGTATAATACAGTGAAATAAATTTTGGAAGAGAAAAAAAAGACAAGGAGGAATAAGGAGATCGAAATTTGGGAGAACACACCTACACCTGCGTGTATGCACCTGCGCCATTGCAAACGATTTTGAGCCATGTGATTCAGGGTCTCTAACCATCGGTTGCTATCATCTCGCGGTCCCCAACCAGATAGTCTACACCTACCGACATGACACAGACCACTTGTCAGTGACTTCATGGACTTGTGCCATGTTTTGATCTGGCCGCCCTTAGCTTTTCCCCAACCTACTCCTACACCATAAAACATCACTCACCGAGGCAGTCGGTGGTTGGGCATACGTAACACGTGTCCCAGCCATCTCGACTGATGGAGTTTCACTACTTCATCAATCGATTTTCCATCCTTACCTAGTACCCATTTCCTAACAACTGTGTTACTTACTCGATGGTCCCATGATATACGAGCAATGTTTCGAAGACACCTATGATCGAATACTAGTAACCTAAGAATATCCTCTACTCTTACCGGCCATGTTTCACTGCCATAATGTATGACGGAACGAACTGCTGCGCAGTAAATTCGTCCTTTGGTTGATAGACGGATATCTCGCCTGCACCATAAATGACGTAAGTTGGTAAATGCTAGTCGAGCCTTCTGCATCCGTGCTGAGATTTCGTCACATACCAGAACACAAGGGCTGATGAGACTTCCAAGATAAGTGAAGCGATCGACACGCTCAATTACTTCACTCCCTATCATTAGTTCGGGTGTCAATGCAACCCAATCCTGAAGCAACATTTTGCATTTCGGGGGGGAGAACTGCATCCCGAACATGCTTGCATTGTTGCTTAGAGTGGTCAGAAGACTGCATTTTGTCAGCGTCTTCACCAAATAGAACCATGTCATCGACATATTCTAAGTCAACAAGTGAATCTCCTGGTAGAAGTTCAACCCCTGTAAATTTAGATGAGGAAAGTGTTATCTCTAAAAGTACGTCAATGACAAAGTTAAACAAGGATGGAGAGAGTGGACATCCCTGTCGAACACCACTTGAGGTAATCAATTCTGATGACAGTTCGCCATAAGCTCTCACTCTACCAGTTGTGTTCGAGTAGAGAGCCTTTATACGGTTAATGTACTTTTTTGGTACTCCCTAACTTAAGAGTGGCATATAATGAAGATTTGTTACGTCATTCTCATAATATGCCAATATGAGATCTAGTAAGGATGATTCAGAGTCTGGATGGTACTTGTTTGCTTCTTTCACATGTTGCACTAGGACATATGTGATAACCGCATCAATTATTTTCTGTTCGAAGGAATTTTCTGACGTCCTCAGATTTTCCCAGTCTACTGTAGGTGCATTTAAACCTGTTAAGATTAATCATAGACCACTTGATGACTAAGTGTTGAAACCGTTTAGCAAGATATCATTCACCTCAGAGTTTGGACTGAGGTAGACTAAACCACTCATCAGCTATTGTTCTTTGAATTCCAAACTGCAACTAACTATCCATTCCACTCTCATGGGATGTGTTATCAATAACGATAAAGGGGATAGTATTTATGATGAATAGAACTGCCCCCTCTTTACGCTCCTACATTCTGTCGGCTCTTACTGATGTGAACGTTTTTAGATCAAGTTCCCTACTGTCTACACACTGAGTCAGCCAAGTTTCAGTAACGGTGATTATTATTATTATTTGAACACATAGATATTGGTACAAGGAGGCATCAAATACATACGCGCCACACAAATCTCATTTGATATATGTGAGGGCTGTGATACTGACCGGGTGCCCAAACAGAAGCAGGTGGTGTTCTTAGGGGGCCACACCCGGAGCCTTCGACCTGAACGTCAAATCCACAAGGCAGTGGAGCATCGTAAGGAAATGCAGCCCCATGGTAACTGGTGGCCAACGATTGGTTCATACGCCATTTGTCGCTTCAGGATCCTGGAGCCAGCCCATGTGCACCATTGGTTTGGAATGAGGGTTTTCCAACTCCCCTAGGTGAACTCTGCATGTCCACTAACCCGGTTAAAGCACCGGACATTTGGTTTTTGTCCTCTACATTTCGTAAACAACACCCGTGGTGCGAGAAGGAAGTTAGTAGGACTTTCCTGACAGAGGCTATATACACGTGGCCATGTGAGAGCATTTGGAGAGGGAGAGTGAACTCTCCTCATTCTCGGCTGTACCAGGGCATTTGGGGGCTAACGGTGATTACATCCGGCTTGGTATAGTCTATTGGTATACCTTGCTCCAATCGCTTGTTGATCAAGTTCCGGACATTTGCGTAACAGGTCCGAAGGCCATACTGCATACTGCACCCAAAGCGGCTTCGGCACCATTCTCTGTTGAACCCTCACCACCCGAAAATTTGAATCTAAGGTCCTTCTTGCCAGCACCTAACTTTAGTTTTAGTTCCTTTTCAGTTTTTCATCTTCTCATATAGTTTCTGAGCGGTCACCGAATTAGTACTTTGCCACGACCCAATCAAGCCGTATTGGGTGGATTACTTGTTATTTAAAGTCCATCTTAGTTAAGCAGATCGATTAGAAAGCTTTAAGAATTTCTTACATTTGGTCAGTAAACCAATTAAGATCAATGTGAATAACTACGTTTTTACTAACATAAAATTTAACTGGTATGATCTGAAGTTCACTAGATCAATCATTTTCATACTTCATACATGCATCAATCTGAGTTATCACTCCATCTAAGAGTCTTGAAATCGATACAAACCTACAAAATAAAATATACTCAACTTTTCATCATCGGGTCTATGCGGCACTCCAGTTTAACGGTTCTATTTTCTTAACATTACAAACACTAGAGTACGTATTCATGAGTTGTATCAACATGCCAATTTAGTTCTGAGATTAAATATTGCCAAATGTGCAAAACATTGTCATGAGAGTTAATGTAAACAAGAAACTGATCTAATACTTAGAGTATTAGTTTTGGGGCGCATAATCTAATTTGTTTTCTTATTCTTTTATGCTTCCCTTTAGTTTCATGTTTCTTGACTTCATTTTTGTCCCTCACACTTTATTTAAGTGCCCATGAGTTCTATAATACATGTTGTGTATCTTATTCAATAATCATGTAAAATATTAGTCTGGTTTTAGGTTATTGGTGTACTTTATCGTGCTCAGTTAACTTTAATTCATGGTAGTTTCATCTTACTATTATCGACTGTAGGTTAAATCAGTAACCGGAACAGATTTGTCATACGCTTCTAATATTATTTAGCAACCGAAAATTCCCTATTTATGACTAGTGACTCCAACCCTCAGTCCTCCACTAACGAACGTCTTCAAAGTGTAAGTTTTTGTTTCAATATTAAAATATTTCTTCATTCTAGATAGACACATCCAAATGCAATTTCTTTACACAGTTTCCTTTGTCTAAGGAAACCTTGAAGGGGTTAAAATTGTCAGGTTACACAAAGCCTACTGCAATTCAAAAGCTAGTCTTAAAACCTGCCCTTCTTGGACAAGATGTGGTTGCTGAAGCACCTACTGGTAGTGGTAAGACGATTGCTTTTGCAATCCCTGTACTTGAACTTCTCCATCAAAGCAAAGTTTCCATGTTTGATGGTCCAGTCGCCATAATTCTAACACCAACTCGCGAATTATCAAGACAAATTTTCAGCGTATTCGCCAAAATTGCTCGTGAACACCACTTCACTATGATGAACATTATGGGTGGCAAAGTCTCGGTAGGTTTGGTTTTTTAACCTTATGCATCGAATATAAATCATCAAGTTAGAAAAGAGTATTATGTTTCGAAAAGGTTCAACTATCATGTAAACGAACCTTATTCGATCCAGCTCCTTGTTTCTCTATTCTTTAGTTTTGAATTGAATGATAACAGTTATCCTAGTACTACATGTATGAATAGTAGTGAAACAGTTAAAGTACTCGTGTTTTATCAAATAGGTTACAGGGTTGAATTCGATCCACTTAATTTAACATAAAAAACCGTATAGTATCATTAGTACTCATTGAAACAATATGGCTTAAATTCGAGTATATAAACAGGTTCTTGATAGATAATTTATATTTGCAATTGATTGATCACTGAAGAGTCACCAATGTCATGTATATCAAGTCTTAGTTTTGAGCAAATTTCATCTATCGACTTGCAATATGATCACAAGTCTGACTCGATATGGCGTACACTGTTGGGAAGTAAGTTGGTGGTTGGAGGTAATCGGCAAGAAACCTCAGACTCGGTCTTCATGCTATTTGGCACTCGTCAGCAAGGTGTACCTGTAATATTGAGGGAACTGATGCGTTTTGGCGGATTCGATCTCTCATCACTCTGCTTCACAGTCAAAGAAGTTATCAATGGTCTTTTTGAGCTGCAAATAGCCGCCTGTAGGACTGAGCTATACTTAAAATTGAATAGCTCAGTGGTAACGTCTTTGACTGTGAATCTGAGTAACGCGGGACCGAATCCTCCAGAAAGCATCAGTTCCCTAAATATCAAAGGTACACCTTGTTGACGAATGCCAAATAGCACGAAGACTAAGTCCAAGATTTCCTGTCGACTACTTTCAACTACCGAATTACATAATTTACTTTGTTGCTCATTTCCAAAAGTCAATTTATTCAAATCTGTGTATTCAGGATGGACATATCATAATTCATGTCAGTGCACTTTTTAAGCTAGTGTTTCTCACACAGTCATTAATGACAAAGCTACTCAACGGTGATGTAAGATTGACAGAAATCTCTAGAATAAAAATTCTTACATGTTGATGACCATTTATGTGACTGATTTCTTATGTCAAGGAGAACTATACACTTTTAGGGATTAAAATGCGCAACTCTCAACACTAGAGTTTCAGACGTATTTAATATGACATTCAAATCCCAATCAATTCCCTGTTTCGTTAGTCAAAATACATACCCCCTAATTCTATTTGTCAATTTCAAATTGTTCCCAGTAGGACTAGGATCAGAATAAATAACACAGATCTACTCCTCAGATAGGAAATCAATTACTGTAACGAAAACCGGATGTCCGGTGTTTTAACCGGGTTAGTGGACACGGAGAGTTCACCTAGGAGAGTTGGAAAACCCTCATTCCAAACCAATGGTGCACATGAGCTGGCTCCAGTGCCCTGAGGGAACAAATGCCATATGAACCGATGGTTGGTCACTGGCTACCATGGGACTGTATTTCCTTACGTTGCTCTACTTCCTTGTGGAGCACACCTTTAGGTCAAAGGCTCCGGATGTAGCCCCTTAAGAAAACGACCTGCTTCGGTCTGGGCAACCGGGAAGTGTCCCAGCCCTCACACAAATCAAATGAGGTTTGTGTGGCACATATCTGTTTGGTGCCCTCTTGTACCAATATCTATGTGCTCAAATAAATAAATAAACAGGTCACGTTACAGTACGAGCACATCTACTGAACTGACATGTTTTGGTAAAATATGTGTAAAAATGCCATCTGAAGGAATAGTGTACGTAGTTTTTTATTGTTAATTTATAACTGTTTTCATCAGGTGAATGAATATCCTCGTAATAATGTATGTACCTCGTTTATCGTCGTTTGAATGAACACTATTTAGGTGTTAAAAGTCACTATGTATTTTCGATTATATCAATACGCATTGACTAATATGAACAAAAGTTCGATTTGGAAAGTTTTTAAATCTAGTGTAAATGGATTACTAGAAAAATCAAATCATTGGGAATAATTGTCCAAAAAATCACAGGACAATAAGCAATAACAACCATTTAAGGTTGACAGAATAAACTGTTAGTTGTGTGTGGAAAAGCATAAATAGTTCACTTCTATCAGAAGTTTATCCTCTGATGATGTTTTTCAAAAGAAGAATGAATAAAGTACCACCTATCGGAAAGTACGAAATCCCTAAAATAATCCACATCTATTAAATATGTACCCTTAGGATTGCATTTTTTAAAATGTTTTCTCATAAATAAATAACCAAAACCGTAATTATCAACCGCCTCATTCATCTATCATGAACCCTTCATCCATATACCTCTGGATTAAACTTGAATTTAACTGGTTAGATTACTTGTATACTTTCTATATACAATATGACTTTTCAAGTTTATTTTTGTTTAATATTCAATGTTATTATTGTTTTTTCATTCTTTGTAGGCTTTAAAAAATCAAGAATGGAATAGTATATCACGAGCAAATATTCTAATTGGAACTCCTGGTCGAATGGCTCAACATCAAACAGAAAATTCTCTTCTTGATATGTCTAATTTAAAATTACTTATATTAGATGAAGCTGATAGATTATTAGATCCAACATTTCGTGATGATTTAGAAGTGATTCTTCAAAATTTAACTCCTGATCGACAAACTTTATTATTTTCAGCCACTTTAACAAAGTAAGTCTATGAATAATAATAATAATTAGTGTTTTTTACGTTGTCATACTACTCCCTGTTTACAATCACCTCCTTTAATTCAAAATTTTAAGAAAAAAAACAACTATGTATTAGGGTTTCCGGTTCAGTCAGTCAGTCAGCTATAACGTAGGACCAGGCGCATATGTGCATTGGTCCAAGTTGCCATACCTCATTAACACAAAAAGATGAACATCGGATTCATAAAAGTAGTGAATTCAGAGGTGGTAATATATAAAAGAAAGATTGCATATAAGGATATAGTACAGCAAGAAAGAATTAGTTCATAGAAAGAAAAATATAAAGCGATTTTAATCTCTAACTTAAGGGAAGACAGAGAGTGTATACACCGACGCCATTGTGGTCGATTCTGAGCCATGTCACCAAGAGTCTCCAACCATTGGTTACGATAGTCACGCGAACCCCATCTAAGTAGTCTGCATTTACCAACTTGTCTCAAACTAGAAGTTAGTGACTTTGTGGACTGATGCCACGTTTTGGTTTGGTCGCCCCTTACTTTCTTCCAACCATCCCTTACACCGGTTAGCATTGAGCGTCGTGGTAATAGTTGTTTAGACATACACAGCACGTGGCCCAACCATCTCAGCCGATGAAGATTCACAATCTGATCAATTGATTTACCATAATTCCCAAATACCCTGTGTCTAACCTCACTATTATTTACCCGGTGATCCCAACAGACGGCAGCAACATTTCTAAGGCATTTGCGGTCTAATACTAATAGCTTAAGAGTATCTCCTACTCTTAATGGTCATGTTTCGCTGCCGTAAATTAAAACAGAACGGACTGCTGCGCAGTATACTCGTCCTTTTATTGATAGATGGATATCTCACCTTCACCATAGGTGATGTAAGTTGGCAAAAGCCAAGCGAGCTTTTCGAATCCGTGCTGAGATTTCGTCAGACACCAACCCATTAGGGTTGACCAGACTTCCAAGATAAGTGAAGTTGTCGACGCGTTCGACTACTTCACTCCCTATCGTTAGTTCAGGTGTTGACGCAGACCAGTTCTGAAGCAACAACTTGCATTTAGAGGGAGAAAAGCGCATTCCAAACATTCTGGCATTTTATCAGCGTCTTCACCAAACATGGTTTCCGGTTAGTCTAACATAGATGGTTCTATCAAGAACTCATTAATGGAAGCTGGCACACAACATTTTCACAGTTAGCTGGTTGCATAGGAATAAGAAAACATGTAGGAAAAATGTGATATTTAAACAGGACACTTAGAAATAGTACAACTCAGTATTAAGTAATAACAAAAAACATGACCTTCGAACACCCAGAAAATTAACGGACTAAAAGTAGGGACAAACAATCAGAAAGGAATATAAGTCGTCGTTACCCTTCCTATTACGACTTAAGTATCGTTCAAAAATTCCTGATGAATGATTTTTGCTTCATATAAATATAAAATATTACTTCAAAACATGAGTTTACATCAACACCCAATCTGATGATAGGAGGTGAAGCAGTTAAATGCTCTGATTATTTCTCTTATCTTAAAAGTTTCATTCACAGAAGCTAATAAAAACGCTGAAAAAGTCTCCTTGGATTTTATCAACTTGAACTCCTTTTTTATGTATATGAGATCTTCATGTATTAATAACGTGCGTATACTATAAAAACAATCTACTCTGTGATAAGTCTTGTCAATTGAACTCTATACTTGTTCCTAAGCTATTCCGGTAACCCGTAGTCTAGAACTACACAGCGACTTGAACACCAGAGAGAAAATACTTTATCCCAAGGTTCATTGTAGTACAGAAAATCAAGGGTATTTATAGATGTTGGCGTCTGTTAACTCATCATATTTCAGCCAATCCGTTAACGTCATATTATGCTACCAACCAATGGTAGCACGCCACACTGGAATTCTCGAACGTTCCGTCATACTCTGATTGGCTAGAACCCTTTGGCTCCTTTTTGGGCCTCTGGAGGCTCTGTTGAAGTTCTCCGGAAGCCGACCCAACACTCTGTTTTACTTCATATCTTCAAAAAATTAATTTTACTTTTCTTGTTTTTTCGATCCTTTTCCCCTGTTTTTTCCTTTCTCAACTATCATAGAGCTACAGATCAACTTATTCGTCTTAGTATGCGTAATCCAATAACTGTATCAGTCAATAATAATATTAACAATACTAATAATAATACAACTTTATCAAATGAATTACATACACCATCTGAACTACTTCAATATTATGCCATTGTTCCATTGGAACAAAAGTTGGATACATTGTGGACATTTCTCCAAAGTCATTGTAAGAAGAAGATCATTGTATTTTTTTCAACACAAAAACAGGTTCGTCATTGTGTGTGTACTGTTGTTGCCAACTTGCATCTTTTTTTATCTTTGTAGTAGTTGTGACAGGATATTTCTTTCTTTTGAGAAGAGTTTACTTCATACACTGGGTTGTAACTTGCTTTTGAACTATTAAAAAACTAAAGGGATTAGATGAGTGTTTTTACCTAGTTTCGGAATTTCCATCAACAGGAGTCAAGTCTAACAGTTTCTCGAAGTCTCTTGGCATGCGCATGCCATTCTAGTACTATTAACTGAGACAGTCATGACTGATGGCATTGAATGACTGTCGCACTGTATCGCAGATTCATTATATTTTGAAATGGTCATGATTTGTTCCTGACTAACTTGTGGGGAAATGGCGCACTTGTTACAAGAACTAACGATCTCGGCTTCGACTCGTCGTAGGGTTGTACTACTTATGTACTTCAGTACTTACTTCTTCGGAGTCTCAAGTTAGAACGAAATAACTACCCACTGCATTTTGATTTTCAATGATTCCTTAGCTGACGTCAGTTTATGGTTAAAACTCTTCACAATTCACACACTTAAATAGTATCTTTGTTATACTTTTAGAAAAATTTCCAATCTTATCAGTTAACTAAGTAAGCATGTTGTATACATAGGTTATCACTTTTATGTGATTCGATCTTACTTCATTAATCACGATTCGACCAACTAGTAGATATCACACTGACTTTAGTTATCTTCTGAAAACTACTCAAGTTTCATCTTACTGTCAATAAAGTATCTTCATTCTTTTGTTAACAAATTATTCCACGTCCGATTCGCCGTGTACATGCATGTACATATGATATCTTCTTCCGGAAAAAATTATATGAACATTTCGTTTGTGTTAACAGTATATTACCGATTAGTAAATGTCATCCATCAATTTTATGTTCACAACGAACTACTTCTACAAATCAGTATGCTGATAAATGATAAATGTGCTTGTTAGTATATATTCTCAATAGTTAACACTGTCAATATCTTGACTTTCTCTATAAAAGAGTGTATAACAGGTCTGTATTTATTTATTTATTTGAATACATAAATACTGGTACATGGGGGTACCAGATAACTACGCCCCACACAAATCTCATTTGATTTGTGTGACGGCTGGAACACTGCCCGGCTGCCCGAATCGAAGCAGGTGGTTTTCTTAGAGGGCCACACCCGGAGCCTTCAGCCTAAAGGTGTGATCCACAAGGCAGTGGAGCATCGTAAGGAGATCCAGTCCCATGATAGCCGGTGACGAACGATTGGTTCATACGCCATTTGTTCCCTCAGGACACTAGAGTCCATGTGTACCATTGGTTTGGAATGAGGGTTTTCTAACTCCCGTAGGTGGACTCTCCCTGTCCACTAACCCAGTTAGAGCACCGTACATTCGCTTTTCATCCTCTTAATTTCGTAAACAACACCCTTGGTCAGAGAATCCAGTGAGTAGGACTTCGCTGACAGAGGCTATATACACGTGTTCATGTGGTAGCATTTGGAGAGGGAGAGCTGACCCTCTTCACTCTCGGTCGTATCAGAGCATTTTGGGGCTGTGCAATTATGTAAAATGATATCCATCATTGCAAACTTATTATTGTCAATATTACTGAATATTACTTCTTGAGTTCATTATAAACGGTGTTAATAAATTTATCTTCAATTAACTATTTTCAAGGAAAATGTAAACCTTGTCTAACAATAAACAATCTCGTAAATTTTTAAAATGATAAAGAAGATTCGTACATATTTCAACTTGACATCTTGGATGGTATTGCATTCTCTAAGCTGGATCGATGAATTACAAAACTATGATTGTCGTTATTAAATAACATCGATAGCGTCTACTTTAAGTCAGTATGAGATTTTTAACTATTCTCTGAACTTAATGTCCGGAGGTGAAACCATACTACTTATTGTACTAGGGTTTAGCAGAAGTCAGGTATTCACCACAGGCAAATAGTATCTTCAACCTTGTTGCCTTCCTACCAAAGAAAAAAATAGATTAGAAAATCTCATTGAAATCAAAACATTCAATTTCGTTCACGAACCTCTAGAAAATGTCAGCTTTTAAAATAGCACACACTTCACTTTTTCACGAATTTGAGGTCCCTGCGGCAAGTTTTGGAATGTATGGATCTAATACTGCAAAAGTAATCATTTACCCAAAAATTATACATTACATGTCTCAAGACGTTACCTTTTAGGCTTTTTATTTACTGTTAAATCGAAAAGACCTTCAATGCTAATCCAGTTCCTTTTTTCTTATCTCACAAAAGGATATTGGCTTTTACTAAAAGGGGCAATTGGAAAGTTTCAATAACCTTTCCAACTTTAAATACCATTCAACTTGATCATTATAAACAATCTTCGAAATATAATATACCTATGTAACTCAATTTCAGTTTAAATTCACACTGGAACGTCTCGATTGAATATTCACACATTGAAAGATATTGAACATTGAATGGACTAATTTCAGTCAGTCAGCTACAACATAGGACCAGGCACATATATGCATCGGTCCAAGTTGCCATACCTCATCAACACAACAAAAAGAACATGATAGTAACATATAAAAGAAAGATTGCATATAAGGATATAGTATAGGAAGAGAGAACTAGAAAGAAAGGTATAAAGTAATTTTAATCTCAGGGTTTAAGGGAAGATAAAGAGTGTATACACCTACGCATACTTGTGATCGATTCTGAACCATGTCATCCAGAGTCTCCAACCATTAGTTACGATAGTCACACGGACCCTAACCAGGTTAGTTTGCATCTACCAGCATGGCTCAGACCAGAAGTTAGTAACTTTGTGGACTGATGCCACGTTTTGGTTTGGCCACCCCTAACTATGCACTAATTTATCATTAATTCTTTGTTTGTTTTTGTTATTTCTATATATTAAGGTTCGATATACATATGAATTATTTCAATTGCTTAGACCATATTTTAAAATTTTACAACTTCGTGGTAATATGAATCAACAAAAACGTTTTCAAGTTTATGATCGCTTTGCTAATTCTCCACATGGTGCCGTTCTGTTAGCTACTAATTTAGCTGAACGAGGTTTAGGTAAGTACAATATGATTTAAGATATTAATGATATACATATATGTACGTGTATGTTTATCATGTTATTTTCTTCAAACACTAACTAACATCTCAGTATAGGTATGCTTGAGTATTTCACTTAATTTGTTTGTGCAAAATTTCAATTTCCCCATATATGTCTTCTAAATAGTAACGGCTATCCTTCTTAGGAAACTCCGCCTGAGGCGACTGCCGGTCCCAAGCCCGATATAGGAGGAGGGTTGGGCATGGGGTTAGCGACCATGTCCCGTAGAAAACTAACTCTCTAAAAAAACGCTAACCAAAAAAAATAATTCAAATTATCTTTCTTACGTCAAACATTTACAAGTCAATCACAATTTCACAAATCTTACTCATCTATGAAGTTGACGGTAGAAGTTTATGTTGATGATATTGTTCAGAAGAACGATCTTAACTGTTCTGAATTTATTCTTTATTGTTCTTATTGTTCACTGAATTTTATTAATTCATATATATATATATATATATATATATATATATATATATATATATATATATATATATATATATATATATTGGAAAATGATACAAAAACCAAAAGGTAATCAATGGTTATTTTGTTCTGGTATGGTATTGCTTATTATTAAGATGCATCATCCTATTTAAGATTGAATTCATAACTTACAGAATTCGCAACAAGCGATCATTTATAAACTTTAAATCATTAAATTAACACTTAAGTTTTTGGTTGAGATCATGAATCAATTGATGTTAGACCACCGTTGGAAACCTGGAAGCACTGGACGGCCGATTCGTCCTAGTATGTGACTCCTCAGCAGTGCGCATCCACGATCCCGCGAGCGGGATTCGAACCCAGGACCTACTGGCTTCGCGCCTGAGCACTTAACCATTAGACCACTGAGCCGGCATCCAATGGTGTTAGTGTCTAACATCAACCAATCCACGAAATTGCGCGACCAACTTCCATTGTACTGAGGTAGATACCTGTCTCTACCCGACACGGATTAGCTCCACTGGTCACGACTTCTCACTAGAATTCCGAGAATTCCCTCACAAAGCTAGTCACTAGTGAGCACATGTTAATTATCAGTATGGGGATTGATTCATGATCTCAACCAAAAACTTAACAATCTCCACAACCCCCATACTGATAACACTTAAGTGTTTATATTTCTAATATTAATCCATTCATAATATTGCACAACAATCTTTCATTCTCATTGAGAGACATTTATTTAGCTGTGGATTGCCCCCAAATGTCCTGGTACGGCCGAGAGTGGGGAGAGTCAGCTCTCCCTCTCCAAATGCTCTCAAAAGGCCACGCGTATATAGCCTCTGCTAGGGAAGTTTTACTCACTTCCTTCTCGTGGCGGGGGTGGTGTTTAAGAAGAGAGAGGACGAAAACTGAATGTCCGGTATTTTAACCGGGTTGATGGACACGGAGAGTTCACCTAGGGGAGTTGGAAAACCCCGGTTTCAAACTAATGGTGCACATGGCTCCAGTATCCTGAGAGAACAAATAGCGTATGAACCAATTATTGGTCACTGGCTACCTTAAGACTGTATCTCTCTACGTTGTTCCACTGTTTTGTTGATTAGACCTTTAGGTTGAAGGCTCGGTGTGTGGCCCTCTAAGAAAACCACCTGCTTCGGTCTGGGCACCCAGGTAGTATCACAGCCCTCACACACAAATATGGTGTGGCGCATATATATTTGATGCCCTCTTGTACCGATATTTATGTGTTGAAATAATCATAATAATATGAGGAATTAGGATTTAAAGTTGAACATTAGGGCTAAGGATTAGATTTAATGTTTTCGTCATTAACTGACATCATTTTTTAGTGCGAAAATGCTGTTTGGACAAATGGACAAATAAATTTTGCGCCATAACCGGTTATCTTAAATTTGATTGGTTCGTGCAGAAATTAGAGTCTCCCCATATTAAAATTCACCTTATTTTGTTCAACGTTGTTGTTGTTGTTGTCTTTTCATAGATTTTCCAAATGTCCATTGGGTTGTACAATTTGATTGTCCACATTTTACTGAAGATTATATACATCGTATTGGTCGAACTGGACGAAATGGACAAATAGGTCGATCAATTTTATTTCTATTACCATCTGAGCACAATCTAATTCATATACTTGCTAAACATTCTGTTGTATTAAAATTAGTAAAGTAAGTTATATGTTAGTATCAATGTATACTCATCTTTAATTACTCAATCTTAATCATTCAGTGTATTGAATCCTATGAGGAGTTTTCTCCTCTATTTTTACCAAAAATTCAAATCAACTAGGGAACTATTGCAATCCTTAAATGGTATTAGACAAAATAATTTATTATATTTCATTTTGAGCGTCTTCAATAGAACTCGTCTGTGGACGACTTCACTTTAGGATTTTTCATTCATTCATTCATTAGTTCACCTATTGAGTCGATACCTTAATAACTTACATATACAACATCATTCTTGTATTTAGTATTGACCACTTTTCTAGGTGACTACCTCTGAGAATCATAGATTCTCAATAAAATTTAACTGACTATGGGAATTTAAGGTCATGGAATCCATTTCGAGTAGAATAAGCAAGTATGCATTACAAATGGATTCGATTCATTATGAAAATTACACTATATTGTGTAGTACCATGTCAAGTTCACATGGGTTATTCTAGCTTCTAGAGTTACATTTTGACCTTGGCAATTATTATTATTATTATCAACCCTATTTTTATATGAGCGTATATGTGTAATTTCCTTGTCCTATCCATCATATATCTGTAGTCTCTCTTTGTTTGATCTGCATCTCAGAGTCGATACTCAACGCAGGACTCAGATCCATTATCTTTCGTTTGGAACGTCATCGTGTTATCCATTGGGATGTAGGTGCATCCAGCTAGTGAGTCTGGAGCAGGAAGAAGTATGCGTCCTGGATTCAACTGCTAGCTGCCATCTATCTCTATTCACATTTAAGTCAATTCACGTATACACTTGTTAACTTGCGGCTAAACTAACACATGGCATCAGTCAAAAAAGTGCCTAACTGTTAGTCTGAGTCATATTAGGATATCCAGACTACTTATTTGGGATTTGTGCCATAACCATTATCGGCAGTTGAGAATTTTAGTTCACATTGGTTAAGAATCGTTCACAATGAAATAGATGCATTCACACTTTAACTTTCTTTCGTTCTTTGCTTTCAGTAAACTTTCATACATATTTTCCATTGTCTTTTCGTATTATATTTTATTCGTTCAGTTATTCTTACTTACTTAATCCTATTACTCCTCGTGGAGGATCATAGGCCGCCAACCAGCACTCTCCATCCAACCCTTGTAGGATAAAGATCTCACGGATCCAGAATCATCAGAGCATCATTCAAAACAAAAAAAAACAAGGGGATCACAATGAATGTTATGCATCCACTAATGGTGACAACGACGACAATAAAGATCAGTTCTATGAGAGGCTGCAATCAACCACCTCGAAGTGCCCAATTAAGAACCTCACCATCCTGATGGGAAATATAAACCCCAAGGTCGGAATGGACAACACCGGATATGGAAATGACATGCGACGTTATGGACTGGGAGAGAGAAACGAAAATGCGGAAAGATTTGTAAATCTATGCGCATTCAACAACCTTAATATTATTATTATTATTATATTTTTTGCATTTCATTTCATTGTGTTATTATGGGATCAAAACTGGGTCCAACAAACTAATATGCTATGGGTTCTACGTTGACCTCAAGTGGAAAAATTCAGAATCACAAATTCAAATGTTTCTCGTCCGTTCCTCACTGTCTATTATTCATGCTTCACAAATGCTTAGTAATTAATTTAGTATTATTATTGTTACTGTATAGATTTCCTGAATCAAAGTTACAACGAAGAGTTTCTAAAGAATCATCAAGTTTATTAGCACGTAAACTGGAATTAACTCAATCAGCACGATTAGCATTTACTGCTTATCTACGCGATTATTGTTTAATGGCTAGACGAAATCCAACTAAACAAAAACAACAACAACAACAATCTAATGAATTATTGAATGTGTTCAATGCAAAAGATCTACCTGTAGAAAAATTTGCTAATTCACTTGGTAAGTAATATGTTAATTCACTTTTGTAATCATTCATTTCAAATTGTTGTAAAGAGGAATGATAATCTAATCGAATTACTATGATTAGTGTTCACACATAGTATGACTCAAAGTCAAGTAAATGAGTAAAAAAGAACTGATACTAGTAACTAGCTTCGAATTGTATAGAGATGGTCAGTCAATCAAGTTAAACATAACCTAGGACCTGGGTATGTATGTATATACATCAGTTTAAGTTGTTATACTCCATTTGCACAGAGAAATGCAATTGTCAGAGCAAATTAAAAAGTAGTGGAGGTAGGAACAATATGAATGATGATTGAAAAGACTAGTCATCGAAGATACGATTCGAGATAACATAAATTCATGAGATGAGAAATACTTCGGAAGCTTAGAATCTGAAGGAAGACAAACAATCAATCCACCTGCTCCATTGCGAATGATTTTCAGCCGTGTCATTGAAAGTCTCTAACCACTGATTACGATAATCATGCGGACCTCAACCAAATTGTCTACACCTATTAGCGTGCCTCAGTCCACTTGTCAATAGAGAGAGAGGAAGGTAAGTGTTGTAATCAGTTCCCTGGGTAAATAAATTAGTTTAAGCGTAACAAAGTGATTTCAATATTTTTTTCACGATGAAGTTGAATGGTGTAAATTTGGATGGGATCGACTCGAAGAGAAAAGAATGTCAGATAATTGTTATATCCATTTGTGTCCACCAGTGTAACAAAGAGTTTTGCGATTCGTCGATTGTCACAGGGTTTGGAATGTAACATTAATAATGTAAATAAACACTAGTTAATTGCTTTTGTCGTCTACTGATAGTAAATAAAATACATTTCAGCGATCTAAGTCAACAAATTTTCACAGTCTCACCATCTGATCAACTCAGGTTATTTTCCACTGCATGTCTAACCTGGGCGTTTTATCTATTTATTTGAACACATAAATACTGGTACAAGAGGGTACCAGATAAATATGCGCCACACAAATTTCATTTGATTTGTTTGAGGGCGTTGATACTGCCCGGTTGCCCAAATAGAAGCAGGTGGTGCATGTGAAATTTCTATGTATGTAAACTAAGGTGAATAAAAGCTCATCAAAAAGCATAAACGTATGACGATGTATCACAGTTAATTGTTTATGAATTTTCGTTGGTGCCCCTAGTTATTTCTCTTAGGACTAGTATACTTCCCGAGAATTATAACCTTAAGCGGGTGGCTCTCCAAGGTACTAACGCTCAAAGCATTTAATGTAAAGGTCTGAATCAAGAGATATGAGAGCAACGTCAAGTCACATAATCTCATGCTATCCATTGACTATTATAGATTTTTACCCCTTTACTTCCGTCACACCCACTGTTGTTTGGTATCAGTGTTCACCAACCCAGGTTATAAGACCAATGTTCAATTTGCTGTTTCACTCTTATAGAAACACCCGGCGACGTGAATGTAGTGAGTAAGACTTCTATAGAGTAGACGATAAACGCATGACTGTATAAGTGCATTTAGAAAGTGATAAGAGACTCTTCATCCCCAATTGTCCCAAGTCATACTTTTACTACTACTGTTTCATAAACAATGATTAACGCCAAAATACCAACATTTGTAATTTAAAGCTCAACAGCTCCAATCCTCATTAACACTATTTATGATTATGAGTTCATATGCATTATCTTAATAAATTAATTCATGTATCCTATACCTATATACAGGTTTACCATTCATATCATCACTTCCAAAAGAATACATTCAACTTGTTCCAGATTCAGTTAAATTGATTAAATCTTTTCCATCAGTTGTATCAAATTTATCTGATGATAATGTCAATCAATTATCGATTACTACTACTACTACTACTACTACTGATAACGTGTACAGTTCAATGAAGATGGAATTACCTCATTCAACAGAGTTGATAACATCAAACACTGATAATAATAATGTTGATGAAAATGATATTAATATGGATAGTGATGATAATTTATTGATTAAAAAATCTTCAATCAATGTCATTCCGAATGAAACTAAATTAAAACCTCTAGATCTTGTTCAAGATACAAGTACAGATGATGATACAATAGAAGATGATCAACATACTAGGAAATCTGTAAATAAATTGGTGTGTAGTTCTACCTTCCTGTTTGTTTTTGTATTAATCTTAACTCAATAAAGTATGACTACTTGTATTGGGAATCCTTTAAATGTTGATTAGAGACGGTTATTTTATTGATCGATTCATGTTTCTTCCATCCTATTTAGAAGGTTGAAAGCCATACTGTCATTCAATCATTACTATTATAAATCGTCTAGTTACAATTGAGCGTGTGTTTGATTGTCGATTAGTTACATTCATTAGTGGCCAATGTCTGCGTTGTCTAAATCTCGGTGATCGTTTAATGTTTGGAATTCAGATGTAAAATGAATGTACAGTTGTAATTGAATAGTGTGGAACTGTTTTTTTAGTAACCTTTTATTCAAATTAATGAAATACCTGATATTATAGTCTTCAATCATCTTTTGTACTCAAGTAATTTTTAATGTAGCCCCCGGAAGCTAGTTAACTGACTAAAGATTGACTTTATTTTATAGTCCAGATCAGTGACTATCTCCAACTGGTATGCAAAAAAATAGTACGAACCCATATATAAAGCACTTATAATTCTTGTTTATATACAGATAGAGACTAACTAGTAAATTCAGTGACAACATTTCGGTAATATAAATAGTCTACTTACTAAAGCTCACCAACACTAATATTTAAATTCTCATACAACGTTCAAGTATTGTTCAACTCTGTTTGATATTAGCCTCAAAATGGCCTAATACGGCTGAGGGTGTGCGGAGTCTGTTATCCCTCTCAAAATGCTCTCATATGGCAATGCGTATACAGCAACTATCAGGGAAGTACTACTCAATGTTTTCTCATGGCAGGGGTATTGTTTATGAAATTGAGAGCAAGAAGAGCAAATATCGGACCCTTAAACTGGATTAGTGGACATGGAGGATCCACCTAGGGGATTTGGAAAATCCTGATTCCAAACCAATGGTGCGTATGAGCTTTAGAGTCGTGAGGGGACAAACGGCGTATGAATATATTGTTGACCACCGACTACCATGTGACTGCATCTCCTGACGTTGCTCCACTACCTTGTGAATTAGACCTCTAGATTAGAGGCTCTGGAGTGACCTCCTAAGAAAACCACCTGTTTCGATTTGGGCCCTTAACCAGTAATCTAGCCCACATTTAAATTGAAAAATAACTACTTTGTATATAAAACGGGGGATTGTAAAGCTATTTGAATCACTGAAGAAGATTGTTATGTGTAAATAAATGTTTGAGTGGTTGTTCCAAACTGGTCTGTATGCCAACACAGCAGTCTTTAGGAGTTGTATAGCATATGGAGTTTCAACTGAAGAAATACTCATTTAATGTTGTATAAATGCTGGATTATAAAACGGTATGTTATAATCCCTGTTTATGGATAGATCTGCTTATCCATAACCCAATATCACTACAGATATCATTTAGACATTTCAATATATTGCTCAAACGTGAGATCGTTATTAAGTATTTGTTTATACAATCTACTTTTCGTCTCTTTTTTTTCTAGAAAAAATTAAGTCGTATTCAATTAGCAAAGAAAGAATTAAAACAAAAGATTCGGTCTCATCGAAAATTAGAATTCGACGATGAAGGTCATGTAAGCGTCTGTATTTGTGTGTGTGTGTGTCTGTTTCGCTTGAAAGTATACTTTTATGTGGATATATATATGTTTGTTCTGTAATTTTTACATTAAAAATATCGTTTTATGATGTTATGTTCTATGAGTTACATTGACTCAACCACTTCTTTAATTTCAAAATGGGTTTTGTGGATATTATAGTCATTTTAATAGTTAAAATTATGAGTCAATTGAAATTAGACCACTATAGAAAACTTTGAAGCACTGGACAACCCTTTCGTTCGCGCACCAGACCGATGGGTCCTAAGTTCGAATCTCGTGACGGGGAATCGTGAATACGCACTACTGAGGAGTCCTACAAGAGGACGAAACGGCCGTCTAATGTTTCCAGGTTTTCCATGGTGGTCTAGTTTCAATCGACTCATAATCTCAACTATTAAAATTACTTCTTTATTTATTAAATTAAGACATTATAATTGATGAGAAGTGAATGAAATTAACCTGGAAGCATTGAACGGCCGTTTCGTCCTAGTTATCAATGAATTAAAATTATCCGTTAGAAGATCAGTTGCCGTCTGAATAGCTGAATGGTAATATTTCATACACTAAAGCTGGGAAATGTCTATTCGAATATCATAGGAAGTACCTGTTCCTTTAACTCTGTAAATATCCCCAAATGCCTTGGTACGGCCGAGAGTAGGGAGAGTCATCTAGAAATGCTCTCAGACGGCCATGTACATACACCCACTACCAGGGAAATCCTACTGACTTCTTTCTATCGGTGAGGATGTTGTTTACAAAATTGAGAAGACGAAAACTGAATGTCCGGTGTTTTAACCGGTTCAGTGGATATGGAGGCTCTAGCTATGTGAGTTAGAAACCCCTGAATCCAAACCAATGGTGTACATAGTCTGGCTCCGATATCTTGAAGGAACAAGTGGCGTATGAACCAATCGTTGGTCACCGGCTACTATTGGACTGTATCTCATGACGTTGCTCCACTGCCTTATGTATCAGTCCTTTAGGTTGAAGGCTCTGAATGTAGCCCCCTAAGAAAACGACCTGTTTCTCTTTGGGCATTCGGGCAGTATTCCAGCCCTCACAGAAATGGAATAATTTATATGGCGCATATGTATTTGGTACCTCCTTGTACCATTGTTTATGTGTTTAACTAAATAAACAAAAATGAAACATAGATCAAGAGTGTCTTGTCATATGCCTTCAACCACCTAAAATCTTAATATTCTCACAATGAGTCAAACAGATAATTACTTTTACTTCTTTCTTTCAGGTAATATGCGAGAAAATCGGTGATATCCCTATTGCTAAACCTCCAATACCTATTGATAATCAAATTGAAACAACAATTACATCAAATGAAATATTAAACATTGATCAAGAACGTCGTTTATTACATGAAATTATAGATAAAGAAGATAAGAAATTATGGAGACAACGTATTCGTCAACGTCATCAAGCTGAACGTAAAAAATTAAAAGAGGAAAGAAAAAAATTATCACAATCAAATGGTCCAAAAGTATCATTGAAAGAAAATTCATCTGATTCAAATATTGAAAATGAATCAGATTAATTTAATTAAATGACAAGTTGGTAAGTACTATAAAACTACATTGTTCAACAGTTTTATAAAATTAATAGATTATAGCTGATAGTAGAATTCAAGTTTTGCATTTCTTAATGCTTGGAACTCATCGTCTAATATGTATATGTCAATTCTTGCGTTATCCATTATTCCTTTTTAAAGCGAACGGTATACTGAACTGTAGTTCCAATATGAACATCAACATTAAGATACTGGTTTATTCATGTTGTATTCCACAAGTTATAACAATTCAACTAATGATTCTCATATAAGACAAAATGTGCATATCCTGAATTCCCCAGTACTAGAAAAAGCACGTAAAACTGTAAGACTGATTAAAATTCTGTATTGGTTATCAATGATAAAATAGTTGAAAACTTTACTTGAAAATTTGTTTATTAGTACGAACCAGTATATTTCATTAGTTGGGAAAACATTTTGAAACTATCAAGAAGTAGATAGCTATTTCATGTTAGTTCAATACAGTTCCTTTAACAATGCATACTCACAGTACTAAATATGTTATCGAACTGGGAACCTTGTAATATTCATGAAACTATAACCTAATAAGTTATAATCTATGATTTTAATCGGTTAGTGAGTAAGACCAATGCTTATTGATTTTTGTTCCTATGTTTGTTCATAATTTTCCATATAAGTCATACTAATGAGACATACAACCAAAACAAAGAAGTAAACAATGTCAGGTTTAAGGTCAGCTAGAAGAACCAATCAACATCGAGGTCTACAGGATAAGCTGTGAGCCATATATGAAGTTTGTGCTGATGATGTCGTTCAGAAGAACGATGAAAGCTCAACGACTAAACCATTCAGCTCAAAGAAGAAAACTCCATCAAAATCATCTACCTGAGCTACAAATCTTCTCCACTACCTCTTTAATAACTGCTAATCCAATAAAATGCATGTTCATTATTAAGTAGCTAAAGTCGATCGATAGGAGACTTTTGGATGTACATGTACACGTGATAACCAATCTATTGCACTAGTAGTCACATTGCAATTCGATTGATTGAATAAGACCAGAATTAAGGATTAGACAAGCATTACATCATTGACTGCCCAGCACAAAACACCAACCATTCATAAAATAGCAGACCTAATAACTGAATGTCAACATCTCTGGTTATGTCACGTTGGGTGAGGTGGGTTCAACGCCTACAATGAATATAAATTGCTTTAGGATTACAACCGAGTGCTGAATAGCATTAAGTCTGGGTTTAAATACGTTATATTTGATCACTTCTAAGCAATTAACGGCCATACATAGTGCACACAATGTTAAGTCGCTTAAACTATTGTACACATTACAGCTTGATCTATACAATCCCATTAGTATTATAGACCAGAGAGATACGACTAAGTAATCAACTGATTTAAACTATATTTCAGCTATCATGGTTAATATGTGCTTCTCTGATGCGCAGCTTAAATCGAACAGATTATTAGTGTAATGACTTAGACGGCTTCTGTTGATAGTCAGTCAGACGTACGCATCGTAGAACCTGACACATATGTATATCGATTCAGGTTGTTATATCAGACAAATCCCGAATTAGTAGAAGTATTAACAGTATCAGTAGTAATAGGTAAGATTAGGTGTAGAAAAAAATAAGTGATGAGATTCAAGGACCCGAAATCTGAGGGAAGATAAACGGTGAACGCACTTGCCCCATCGCGAAAGATTTTGAGCCATGTCATTCAAAGTTTTCAACCATTGGTTACGACAATCACGCGGACCCCAGTCACATAGTCTACACTTGTTAACTTACATGTCTCAGTCCAATTCTCAGTGAAGAATCATGTGTACAAATTATTATTAATCTCTATTATTAGTTGACATAATCATTCATTGTGAAGTTACCAAGTGTTCACTTACGCGGTTAGGCTTGAATATAATAATGTGATTGGTTTGCGAACCGGTTACTAGGATTGTTGATGTGACTCATTCACCAAGTAGAGATTTATGTACTTGGTTTCAATGCACATTGTTTGTACAAGGGTTATTGTTAATAACTACCCAATTGCCTAGTCTGAATTAAGTGGTAATCTATGATTCGAACACGCTATTTCAGTGAACAAAAGTCGAATGATTCTGTCAATAAGTTGTCATTTTAATGAGATTGTAATAATAATTTTAATACTGTTCTCTAAGGTTTACTATTCTGAAGTACAATTACAAGTGGAAACAATCTTGGGTTACATAAAGTAATTTAGTTTACTCTATACAAACTTATGATTTTTTCGACAATTTCACTGTTGTCATCAATATATCAACATAGAAAGTCGATGATAACTGTTGATTGGAACTACATTTATTTATTTAAACATATAAAGAATAGTACAGAGAGGCACTAAATATATATGCGTCACATTTCGTTATTCGATTTGTGTGAGGTCTGAAATATTTCCCGGGTCCCCTGACCGAGACAGTTGGTGTTCTCAGGGGGCCATTCCCCAAACCTTTGGTCTAGTGGTTTAATCTACAAAGTAATGGGGCAACGTTAGGAAATTCAGTCCCATGATAGCCTGTGACCAACAATAGGTTCATACGCCATATGTCGCCTCACTATCCTTGAGTTTATATGCACCGTTAGTTCGAAATCAGGGTTTTCCAACTCCTAGTTGAGTCCACTAACCCTGTAAAAGCGCCAGAAATTCGCTTTTCGTTTTCTCATTTTCGTAAACAGCAACCACGCCATGAGAAGTCATTGAGTAGGATTTTACTATTAGTAGCTGTTCACACGTGGTCATTTGAGAGGGATAACAGACTCTCCACACCCTCGGCCGTAACAGGGCATTTGGGAATGTAAACGTTTCATCACAATTTAATGCCACTTGAAAGTACCATGCAACATACATTAAACGACAGTTGTGTTTATTTATTGCCCCCAAATGACCTGGTACGGCCGAGAGTCGGGAGAGTCATCTAGAAATGCTCTCAGACGGCCATGTGCATACAACCACTACCAGGGAAATCCTACTGACTTCTTTCTATCGGTGAGGATGTTGTTTACAAAATTGAGAAGACGAAAACTGAATGTTCGGTGTTTTAATCGGGTCAGTGGATATGGAGGCTCTAGCTATGTGAGTTAGAAACCCCTGAATCCAAACCAATGGTGTACATAGTCTGGCTCCGATATCCTGAAGGAACAAGTGGCGTATGAACCAATCGTTGGTCACCGGCTACCATTGGACTGTGTCTCATGACGTTGCTCCACTGCCTTATGGATCAGACGTTTAGGTTGAAGGCTCTGAATGTAGCCCCCTAAGAAAACGACTTGTTTCTGTTTGAGCACCCGGGCAGTATCACAGCTCTCACACAAATCGAATGATTCATGTGGCACATATCTGTTTGGTGTCTCTTTATACCAATATTTATGTGATTAAATAAATAAAATTTACTTATTTATCTAAATATTCGATTCTATTTCGATTCCATTATACATACAGATCAAATTTATGTAAAAAATAAAAGAAGAATTACAAAGACAATCTCTATTTATCAATCCATTCAAAGAAGAAAAAACTGATCAGTGATAAATGGATTAACATTTGTCAATATTGTAAATAAATTTATGAACAGAAAAAAAGTGGGTGTTTTTTTGTTTGTTTTCTTCTATTCACAATGAATAGTAACTAGGTGAAATGTGTTTCTTGAAGACTTTCTAGTTTAAACTGTAGGCTATGAACAAAAATCAATGAAAGCGCCATAGAAACTGTTTTACCTAGATAGTATTGGAAAGTGATCTGTTTGAATATCTGAGCCACTTGTTCCTGTCATCTAAAGATTTCAACAAGTTATCTGTTTTTTTTGTTTGTTTTTAACAAATCATTATGTCTATTAGTTTCATAACCTATTCAGTTGCGTTTGTGAAATTTCTACAACCTTTCGCTGTACAAGTTAGAGAAGAGCACAATCGAAGTCATTGTTTTAGATGGTGATATGCATTGAAAATAATACACATTCTTGACATGTCGATTCCTGAACTGCTGATATCTAACTAGCGACCACTCAATATTTACTGTCTGGATCGATCAAGAAATAAGAAACGGAAACCTGTTGTAATACCTCGTGCTGAGAACTTTATATTATACCATCAATCGGTTCATGATTTCCATGAAATACATATATAAAAACCGTTTACAAACCTCAACTCATGAGGATAAATGCGTCAGTATGTCTAGAACCAGAATGGCTTCTTGTAATGATTACTTAAAGTTTGATTACAACATACGATAACATAAATGACAGCTAGTGGCCGTGTCTACTATCAATAATAATTATAAATAACCGAACTAGGAACTAACAGCATACAACTATGGTACCTATTGTGTTTAAACGACGATCCACGGAATATACAGAAACATGCATTATATCATATGTTCGGATATTAGAAATGGGATTATAGTAATAAAAAGCCATACAAATAAATGAGAATAAATATAATGTTAACAAAATATGTTTATGTACTATGATCGTAATTTCATTTCAGAAATATTCAGGATTTACCGTTCATTCAGCTTGACTATTAAAAGAATATCTTCGTAAACTGGGAAAGTTCTAAATGATATATTGCATATTTTCATCTGATATAAATTCTCTTAGTACTTATAAATGAGATGATATCAGTCTTAAAACATCACTGGTAAAAGAAAGGCATTGACTAATATTGTAATTCGTTATATCTGCGTTTCTCCACCTGCTTCGGTCTGGGAACCCGGGTAGTATCACAGCTCACACACAAATCAAGTGACTTGTGTGGCGCATATGTATTCGGTGCACCTTTGTACCACAATTTATTTGTTCAAACAAATCTCCACTAAGTAATAACATGAGACGTTTGAATGACATAACACCAAGGATATGTGACATACATATGTGCATGTATTCACCATCGCCCCCAAATGCCCTGGTACGGCCGAGAGTGCGGAGAGTCCGTTCACCCTCTCGAAATGCTCTCACATGGCCAGGCGTATATAAAAAATGTCAGGGAAGTTCTACTCACTTCCTTCTCGCATCACTGGTGTTGTTTACAAAATTGAGGGGACGAAAACTGAATGTCCGGTGCTTTAACCGGGTTAGTGGACATGAAGAGGAGTTCAGTCAGTCAGTAACAACGTAGAACTTCGTACGTACGTACATCAGTTCGAGTTGCCACAACACATTAGCACAGAGATGCAGTGGTCGATTCAAATCCCGTGGTGGTAGAGGTAATAAAAGTATAAGTAGTAATCAGAAAGATTAGTGTTTGGAGATGTTAATTAAAGAGTAGAATACAGTGAAATAAACTTGGGAAGAGAAAAAAAGAGACAAGGGGGAATAAGGAGATCAAAATTTGGGAGAACACAAAGAGTGGATGCACCTGCGCCATTACAAACGATTTTGAGCCATGTCATTCAAGGTCCCTAACCATCGGTTGCTATCATCTCGCGGTCGCCAACCAGGTAGTTTACACCTACCGACATGACTCAGTCCACTTGTCAGTGACTTCATGGACTCGCGGCATGTTTTGGTCTGGCCGCCTCTGGCTTTCTTACAACCTACTCCTATACCACTGAACATCGCACGTCGAGGCAGTCGGGGGTTGGGCATACGTAGCACGTGTCCCAGCCATCTCAACTGATAAAGTTTCACCACTTCATCAATTGATTTGCCATCCTTACCTAGTATCCGTTTCCTAACAACTGCATTACTTACTCGATGGTCCCAGGATATACGAGCAATATTTCGAAGATACCTATCATCAAATACTAGTAACCTACGAATATTCTTTACTCTTACCGGCCATGTTTCACTGCCATAAAGCAGAACGGAACGAACTGCTGCGCAGTAATCCCGTCCTTTGGTTGGTAGACGGATATCTCGCCCACGCCATAAATGACGCAAGTTAGCAAAAACTAGTCGAGCCTTCTGTATCCGTGCTGAGATTTCGTCACACACGAGACCACAAGGGCTGATGAGACTTCCGAGATAAGTGAAGCGATCGACACGCTCAATTACTTCGCTCCCTATAATTAGTTCGGGTGTCGATGCAACCCAATCCTGAGAGGAGTTGGAAAATCCTGATTCTAAACCAATGGTGCACATGGGCCCCAGTGTCCTGGAGGAACAAATGACGTATGAACCAATCGTTGGTCACTGGCTACCATAGGACTGCATCTCCTTACGATGCTTTACTGCCTTTTGGATCAGATTTTTAGGTAGAAGGCTCCAGGTGTGACCTCCTAAGAAAACGACCTGCTTCGGTTTGGGAACCCGGGCAGTATCAGCGCCCTCACACAAATGAGATTTGTGTGGCGCATATACATTTAGTGCCTCCTTGTACGGATATGTGTTAAAATAAATAAATAGTATGCATTCATCACATTAAATCCATTCTGAGATTGTGTTCGACTTCGTCAATTATCTAATCCACAAATTATTTATTCACCATAACATCAAACTTTAGCCGTGAGAAATGTTTTTTTGACAAAATATATTTCGTATCAAAATAGAATGGAAATTTTATAAATTTGCTTCACTTATGGAACAGCTAAACTTCTATGCTTCACGTTGCTTCTTCAATATTAGAATTTTTCGATCTAACCAACTCAAAAGCCGTAAGTTTCATTTCACAGAAAAGTTTGCTTTCTAATGAAAATACGAACAAAAAATGAAGTGGTAGATAGGTGGTTCCTTCATTATTTGAGAAGATGAACGCCCACAAAAAAATGTTCTTTTAGTCTTAACCTGTCTGGGAAGTATCGCAGATGAACAAGGAAGATTGCATGCAGACATAAAGGTAAGGATTGGCATAGCAAGCGCCACATCCTTACAATTGAACATGTGGAACTCAAAACAACTGTCAACCGATATCAAAGTCACAATCTTCAATACGAATGTCAAGACAGTTAGTTCTACTGTATCAAGGTGAAACGTGGAGAATTACGACAACCATCATCAAAAAGGTACATGTATTTATAAATAGTTGTCTACGCAAGATACTCAACATCCATTGGCCGGATACCATCAGCAACAGCCTACTGTGGGAGAGGACAAACCAGCTTCCAGCTGAAGAGGAAATTAAGAAAAGACGTTGGAAGTGGACAGGACACACATTGAGGAAATCATCAAACTGCATTACGAGGCAAGTCCTAACTTAGAATCCTGGAGGAAAGAGGAAGGCCAAAGAACACATTGCGACGGGAAATACAAGCAGATATGAAAAGGATGAATAACAACTAGAAAGGATTGCCTAGGAGGAGTTCTGATGGGCTGCCTATGCTCCTTCATGAGAATTAGCCGGCGTAAGTAAGTAAATCTTAACCTGTAATACAAATTATAAAAAAGAATTATCATCTTACTAGATTTATATTATTTACAATTTTAAGAAATATACAATAAATCAATCTTTATTCCTCAAATTTAATCTTTTTTGGTTTATGATGACTGGTATTATTATCTTTGTTGTTGTGACATTCATCAGGTGGAATAAGTGCAGCGGAACGTTTAGCTTTTTGTCGTATTTTTGATATTTGATTTGATTTAACAATATTTGATTCCACTTTCAATCGTTTACGTTCAGCTTCAGCTAAGAAGTATGTACCTTTTTCTAGTTCAATATCAATTTTCGATTGAACTGGTGGTGGTGGAAATGGATTGTATTCTTTTTTCTTACGTACCTAAACGTAAAAACAGTACCAAAAAAAAATTAAATCGATGATACACTCAATAGAGATTAAGCATATTATTTTAAAGGTAAGGTTTATAATTTATGGACGACCTTTAAGCGATGCTACAGTGACGTTGAGAGTGTCTACCTTCTTACTACGGCTAAATAAGGGTTATAAAACAGTTTCAGTCAGTCAGCTACAACGTAGGATCAGGCACATATATGCATCGGTTCAAGTAGCCATACCACATTAACACAACAAGATGGACACCGGATTCATAAAAGTGGTGAATTCAGAGGTGGTAATATATAAAAGATTGCATATAAGGATATAGTACAGCAAGAAAGAATTAGTTCATAGAAAGAAAAATATAAAGTGATTTTAATCTCTAACTTAAGGGAAGACAGAGAGTGTATACACCGACGCCATTGTGGTCGATTCTGAGCCATGTCACCAAGAGTCTCCAACCATTGGTTACGAAAGTCACGCGGACCCCAACTAAGTAGTCTGCATCTACCAACATGGCTCAAACTACAAGTTGGTGACTTTGTGGACTGATGCCACGTTTTAATTTGGCCGCCCCTTACTTTCTTCCAACCATCCCTTACACCGGTTAGCATTGAGCGTCATGGTAATAGTTGTTTAGACATACACAGCACGTGGCCCAACCATCTCAGTCGATGAAGATTCACAACCTCATCGACTGATTTACCATCATTCCCAAATACCCTGTGTCTAAACTCACTATTATTTACCCGGTGATCCCAACAGATGGCAGCAACATTTCTAAGGCATTTGCGGTCTAATACTAATAGCTTAAGAGTATCTCCTACTCTTAATGGTCATGTTTCGCTGCCGTAAATTAAAACAGAACGAACTGCCGCGCAGCATTTAAGACCACTGTATAAAGCAGTTTGAAGAATAAGCATTATGATTTAAAGTTGATGGTTATACGTTAGGAATTAAATTCAGGGTTTTTCATCACGAACTGACATTAGCTACAACGTCAAATTGTTATTTAGCCAAATAAATTGAGTGAATTTCGCACCAAAATCCAAGACCTGTTATTCTAAATCTAATTGGTTCGTTTATAAATTATAGGCTCGCTTTTAAAATCATATATACATTAATATAAACGTACTTTGTGAGGTTTTCTACGTCGACTAAGTACTTTCTTTTTCATTTTAGGCAAAAATCGATCCCATGATATATTTTGTTTGGTAGGATCCATAGAAAGTTTTTTTATGATAAGTAATCTTTTAATAGAATAAGCTGGATGTATATTGTCATAGATGCAACCTTGAACAATTTTACGTACCTTTATTTATATAATAAACAACAACAAAAAATATAATTAATCTAAATAGTATACTTATTTAAAACTCAATAGTATATATAGAGAAAATGAGTAAATTCCGACATCTAAACATTATGATAAACTTTTTAACAGATCAAATATTTATTTATTTTAACACATAGATATTGGTACAAGGAGGCACCAAATACATATGCGCTACACAAATCTCGTTCGATATGTGTGAGGGCTATGATACTGCCTGGGTGCCCGAACCTTCGACCTGAAGATCTGATCCACAAGGCAGTGGAGCATCGTAAGGAGATGCAGTCACATAGAAGCCGGTGACCAACAATTGGTTCAAACGCCATCTGTTCCCGCAGGATACTGAAGCCCATGTGCACCATTGGTTTGGAATCCGGTTAAAGCGCCGGACATAAATAATACCCCCGCCACGAGAAGGCAGTGAGTTGTGAGTTGTAGCTTCTGTAACTGAGAATTCGATCTGTGTGGGTCGGCTTGTGATATACTTCAGTCTCCAGTTTCACTGTGTCAGTTCTGGTGATTAATACATCCAAGAATGATAGTTTGTGATGTGGCTCCTTTTCGATAATATCATCGAAGACGTTGTTGATCAGAGTGTAGATTTTTCCAGCTTGTCCGTTCTGACGATAACGAATGTGTCATCCGCATAACGAATCCAATTACTTGGCTTGATCACGGGTAAGATCGAGTCTTACAGTCTCTACATCACTGCTTCTGCAATAAGTCCTGATATTAGTGGTCCCATCGGTGTTCATTTCATTTGTTCGTAGATTTTCTTTTTGAATTGAAAATATGTTGTTAAGCATAAATCGACGAGTTCTAGTGAACGTGGACTTTGAAGCTTCGTGTACTTTGAGAGATTTATGTCGTTGATGAGAATCAAGGGTAGAGCTTCCCTGATAACGTGGTTCAATTAAAGTGAATAAAGCTGATAAATCAAAAGATATCGTCATCTCGTCGTTGTTGATTTGAATGTCCTTAATCCTATCCAGGAATTGCACAGAGGATTTGATGGAGATAACCTAACAAAAATAATCAATCACCCTCGAGGTCTATATGACAAGCTATAAGTCATATGGCCCCCGAATGCCCTGGTATAGCCGAGAGCAGGGTGGGCCCGCCCTCCCTCTCGAAATGCTCTCACATGGCCATGCGTATACATCCTCTGCCAGGGAAGTCCTACTCACTGCCTTCTCGTGGTTGGGGGTGCCGTTTACAAAAATGAGAGGACGAAAAGCGAATGTCCGGCGCTTTAACCGGATTCCAAATCAATGGTGCACATGAGCTCCAGTATCCTGTGGGAACAAATGGCGTATGAACCAATCGTTGGTCACCGGCTACCATGGGAATGCATCTCCTCACGATGTTCTACTGCATTGTGGGTCAGACCTTTAGGTCAAAGGCCCGGGGTGTGGTCCCCTAAGAAAACCACTTGTTTCGGTTTGGGCACCCGGGCAGTATCACAGCCCACACACACAAATATGGTGTGGCGCATATATATTTGGTGTCCTCTTGTACCAATATTTATGTGTTGAAATACATATGTGGAGAAATTCGAACACTTCACTTCCACATGAAATTTGTGCTGATATTGTTCAGGAAAACAATGAAGGCTCCACGACCAAACCATCCAGCTCATAGTACGAAACTCCACCTGCGAGTCTTCCCCACTACCTCAAAATTATTTGAACGTAACACGCTTATTGTTATTTGAAAATAGGAGAATTTCGCTGAAAGGCACGCCTCCACTCAAGAACTACTTCATTTTCTCCACAAGTGTCTTTGCCTGTGTTCTGCCGACAAGTGTAAGGTATAGACCTTTAATCAACTGCCCAATGGGGTGGCGAATAGCTGAGCAAAGCGGAAGAAAAATTATATACCTAATGACAACTGATGCACACTATAGGGTCCACAAAAATCAACATGTCAAGGATGACCGAAAAAGGAAGACAACCGTTCTGGAGTCACAACTTTCGAATTATCAACGTTAAAGTAACTATTCAAATAAACGAGATCACGGAGCTTATGTTCATATATCCAAACCAGAAGTGTTATGTCACCAGTGAAAAGTTACTTCACGCTGTGAAAGCATTTAAGTCATACTGCAGTCAGTATCTTAACACTTCTTGTAATTTTCTTGATTTGTACAAATATCTTTACACCCCTTAAAAAGTTTATACTCGGAAATCTAAAGCAAAATAATAATATAATATAATAATACAAATCCAGATAAAAATTTTAAAGCAGTTATGCAATCAAGAGAACCCAAGTGGAAAACTAATTTTTCTCCAGTTAGATAGCACTACTACGTTTCTTGATTGTCATTCCTATGTGCTACTAATAGAATCTGGAGATAAATAAAGACAAAAGATTCATGAGCCACTCGTATAAGCGCTACCAAGCGGCAATATGAATCCAATTATAAGATCGACTATAGTCACCATAGACTAGTGCATTTACCTTTATTCTTCTGAGATAAGTGATTAGTGTGTGCTTGGGACTTTTGTAGTTCACAAACAAAAAGGAACAATCTAAAAATAACCACCATACCATCATTACAAGCCAGATAGAACAATACTCGAGTTAGCTATTTTTCAAAACCTAAAGTTTATGATAGGATTTTTGATCAAATTACACACTAATGAAAATTGACTCTAAAGTTTGTAACTCAATGATTATGACTAGCTGCTCGATATACAGAAGTTCTTATCAACCAGTTAACAGGTTCCTTAAGTTTAGATAACGATTAATTCTTGTTTGTTGTCGTTTACATTACTTTTATAAAGGTCTTTTTAAGATTATGATAGTAACGTTAAAACTAATTAAGATTCAAATAATTACAATATTGCAGATACATAAAATAAGTAAACACACCTCCTTTAAATCGTTATATCGACCAACCACAGAAACAGTTTTTCCTTGCACAACTATATAACAGTTAGTAGACAGCTCCAGTGCTTTCAACGTTTCACCATCATGACCAATAAGCCGATTACGTCGTTTAACAAATCGTTCACGATTAGTCAAGTTAATTTCAATAATATCTGCGAATGTCTCGTCATCCAGAACACGAATAGCTTGCTCCATAGGGACAGAGCGTGCTAACAGACGTATAACATCCCTGGCTTTTAGTATGATAAAAGGATCAAAAGTCTTTGGAGTTGTTCGGACTTCCATAGTACTTTCAGCCACATCTATCTCCACTCGTATATGCTGTTCATAGAATTAGAAATACGTCTCCATTACATGTAAATTCGGAAAAAACTTCAATTCATACATCAACTAGCATGTAAAATGTGAAACATAACAAACTGGTGTGAAGGATTTCGAAAGAATAGCACTCAAATAAACAATTATGTTATACAATTCATTATAGTTAGTCGCAATTGCTTAGGCTATATACATGCATTATGAATCGACAATTTATCTTTCAAATTCAAAATAGTATTCATAATTGCAATTAACTAAACGTAACTATATTCCTACTATAAAATACAGCACACAGGTATCGGAAAAACAAGACCACTTAATGCAAATGTTCACTCAGCACCCACTTAACCTTATCCAACAAGTTAGTAAACGACGATTACCTGAACATCCTTAACATTAGACATTAATCGTACTTTTTTTTGTGTCACACAAAAATAAGTTACGGATATGTGATGAATGGGATAAGAAGTGTACACACACATGCGCTCATATAAAAACAGTCAAGATTAATAAGCGATTAATTAACAAGGTCAAAATGTGACTCGACTAGAATGAATGGACTGACTTGTCCGAAAGCTAGAATAAGATATATGGGCTCAATTTGTCAACCAACACTACAATATCAATTGACGAACAGAAGGCATGAAATACGTTTTTGTGATATTTAAAGAATACGTATAATATGCATAATAAAAAGTTCTATGCGTATTAGTCTTACATGTTCCATCATTATTCTTCTTAAGGCGGGCCAAATTTCGCCCAAGTACTTCTCACGATATTTTGGGAAGAGCGTTGTGTATGATGACGAAGCAAACAATCTCCCATGAGGATTATCCTCAGGAGTAAACTTCGGCTCCTTCCAATCCTTTGGAACTTCAGCATATTTTGGCTCCGAAACCTCTTCATTTTCTTAAGAAAATACTTATAACATGAAACTTTAACAACTAACTTTTTGCAGAAAACGCTTTGTACGGTACCCATCCCTGAACATTTGGAAAACTGAGTTTCTGCTTATTGGTTTTTTTGCCCATAGTATTTCACGTACATGCTGCTAGTTATTTTTGGCGACGAGATGATAGTATTGACGAAACAAACCGGACAACCTAACACTCAGACAGAAAATCTACCCACCGTGTTAATAGTTAGTGACCTAGAATAAATAATTCCCACACCACGTTTAATGTCCAATACCGAGTAATTATTTCTATCGTTTAAGTAAACATAATTATTTTTAATTGATTGTGATTATTTCATCAGAAATAGCTATATAGTCACCTAATGTCGGTCTCATCATTCGGTCGTAATTATTCAACGATAAGAATTGTTACATAACTATGCAATTTATTCCAACCTTCGAATTGATCAGTCCAAATGGTTCAGATGGTTCTGGACGGAAAAGAAGTAAATTAATACTATCAGGCTTCTGTATGTAGTAGCAGTGGATCACGGATGCGTCCAGGTTAAAGCCTAGGTATACTGATGATAAAAGGTGAAAAAGAAAAATTTGTATTTTATAGTGATATACTGTCTTAAGTCCTTAGAAACCACCAATTTCTCTCTTAAATAACTCCTGGGTAGACGCTTGAACTAACTCAACAAGTGGCGAGTTATAACCTTTGACTACTCCTAAGGAATAGACTGTTTGTCTACAGCCCGTTCTTCGGTGTTTTCACCGATTTCTCGGTGTTACTCCTGAAGTTTATGTTGGAATTGAGGTAAGGTAGTTATTTAAAAGGATGCCATAAAGTGTTGGGAATGCTATTAAACATTATGTCACTTCTAAAACGACTGTACTTTAATGAGTATGGGTCCAGTGATTGAGGACGCCCTTCGTAAGGCTTAAATTTGAGTACCCGGACTGATTTCGTGTCTTGCTCTTGGATACGTTACAGAGTTTCATTATCTTTTGGAAATGAGAGGCAAAATATTATGCTACCGTATTCTTAACGACGTCGAGTGAAATTTTTGATGAGGCTGAAATTTTTTCCCGTCGGACCGGCCGAAAATGCGCTTCAGCTTAACCAATGCATGATTTGCTCGAAAGGCATGTTTGTGGCAGTCATTATAAGACTTCAGGGCATAAGATACCAACACTCCTAGATATTTGCAAACTTGCAGTGCCTCTAGAGTAGAGTTGCCCAAGTTGTAGCTGTAGTCTACAACAAATCTCAGATCATTACTTTGCACTTCGAAGTGTTAAGAGTAACTTCGTCGTCATCTGCCCAACTTTGAAGTCGAGCCATGTCTTCGCGAAGTGCTAGTTTATCCTCTTGGTCGCGAAATTCTCTCCAGGATTTTACATCATCAGCGAAAAGTAATAAATCTGACGACACCTGCTTGAAAGTTCACTATGTCGATCTTCTTTGGAAATTAATGTGATGTGAACCAGCTTCCAATATATTGGTGATTTGCTTCGACTAAATGAATGTGAGAACATCAGGCTCAGCGGTGTTACCAAGACTGGAACTGACTCCCTCAGCATAGATGAATCCTTACTCGTCCATTCAATCTGTTATATATATATATATATATATATATATATATATATATATTATCTTGAGTATGTGTGTATGGTATAACTTGTGTGTGTGGAATCATGTTTTCATAAAATTGAGCGGAGCTGTTTGCAATCTTCTACTCGGGTTTCCTATGGAAAATTTCAGATTTGTGAAGTAAGAATAAAATGCATACGGCCTATGTTAGTCTTTTTCTGGTATGGTTCTGTGTGTGGCTAGTGTTCTGCTGAATGGGGTATTTGAAGTGACAGATAACACTTCTTCGAGTAACATGTTTTAAAAACTGATGACTCAGTGTGACAACCTGCATGTCACGGGTGTTTTGTTTGTTCTTGGCTCTTGTGCTCGCTCTTTATATTCTTTGGTAGGGAGAAAGAGAGGATAAATCATGTCCGAAGTCATTTCTTAGTGTTCTATTATTCAAATCAAACCACTTGGTCCACGGGTACAGGCACTTCTCCTATGCTGTACCTATATGCCTTTGTATCTACAAAGTGAGTTTAGACATATTTGACCGTGTTGATAGGCATCATCCAATCCTTAGACCAACTAATCACAATATTTTAGTTTGCCTGAAATGCGCAAGCATCTCCATTTCCTATTATTTCTCGCCAGATTTTTATATCGTCAGAGTATACCAGCATTGGGGACTCAACTATTGTTGAGAGTTTACTTAAGTACAATATAAAAAGTAAACAATTTAATAAAGAGACTTGCGGTACTCCATTAGGCCCTTTCTTCTACGTGGAGCACCTAGAATTTATTCTTACTCCTTGTTTAAGACCTGCCCAGAAACCATTTATCCACTTGATGAGTTTTTTGATGTCTAGATTCTCCAGCTTCAAGAGCAGTTAACCCTTTGGCAATCTATCAAATGCTTTACTGAAGTCTATGTAGACAAGATTCATTGATTTTTCATTGTCTATTGCATCTATACATCTCTCCCTTGCTATAAGAAGGTCTGTTGTGCGAGATAAACCTTTTCTGAAACCCTGTTGTTAGTTTCCACAACTGTCATCATGGCACTCTCGACTACTGTTTCCAGTATTTTAACTACTACACTGAAGAGGCTATGAGGTCCTTATTTTGTTGAGCGTTGTATTGATCCTACTTTACGTATTGGAGTGACAACTGAATCCTTACAGTCATTAGTGTCACATTCAATATCGTGGTCAATTGAACAGCAAAATATTACGCAATTTGTCTTAAAATGTTAGGGTGTAGTTCGTTTAATCCTGATGTTATGGAGTTTGCTTTGTCTTGATCTTCTTTTTTTGAGACACATTCTCTTCAGTAATTAGGTTGGGACTTCAATGATCTTTTCTTGTCCTGTTATTTATTTAAGAGAACAGTCTTTTTAGCCGTGTGATTGCAGATTGTGCTAATTGCTCCTCATATGGAAAAATAATCCATGAATAGCTATCATCATTTTTACCTTCGGCTAGTCTGATTAGGTCATCTCATAATGGGTTCATGACTGAACGCTGATGTTCCACATCGCACTTAAAATTTACTGGCCAAATTACCCAGAGAAGAGATGTTGGTCAGTCAGTGATAATTATATGCTTCGATTTTAGTAAGGCTTACTATATTGTCTAATCTGATTTTCTACTTTAAACTACTCAAAAACCTTACTTATTCAACATATAAAATAGTTCTTGCTAGGGATTTACATGAATACGAACTTCGAAACAAAGAATTTACGGTCAAGGTTGAGAAATACAGATCAAAAACTCGGGAAAACTTCTTCCTCACCAAGTATGATATGATATGGAACAGTCTTCCCTCCAAAATTCGCATGGCAGATGAACTAAATACGTTTGTAAAACTGCTTGTTCAAGCCCTCACTTGCAATGATCTTGCACGTACGAACACATCTGTGCCCCACTAAGACATCATAGGATCTCCCCATGTTTAGAACCCAATGAACTTCAAGTTCAGTTTGCCTTATTTTTCCTACTTTGCAGTTGTACTAGTTACTTTTTCCACCCTAATTTTTCACTTGAAGTAGTCAGGTAACCCACTGAATCCATCGATACTGTTCAACTTAACTCGATCGCTAAGGGACACTCACTATCACCCCCAGAAAGTCAAGAGGACCGCACAATCGATTGCCTACTACCATGGTCTTGCATCTATGGAGCCTGTCACCAATCAACTGGTTAGGACAACACAACATCAGCACCAAGTTACTGTGAGTTTCTACTTGTTTATCTTGTATTAACGTTTTACTATTCTGCACACTATGTTGACTAACAATTAATGTTATTTCTCCACTCGTTATCTTATCTACAACTCATATACTCCTATAGTTTTCCGCCTGCTTTAATCAACAATCATCCTACATTATACCCTTCTTAATGCTTATACTCTGATTGGCAAACTATATTTAATACTAGTCAACAAAAGCACTGCAACGATGCTTTACCCACAGTCCATAGCTTGTAACTGCATGATAAACTTGTAAAGAGGTACTTATAAAAATAATGCTTTCCAACAGGATGTGAAACACAGAAGACTGCGTGAGGTATGACACATATACAAAATTAAGCTTAAATGAGCTTAACATCACAAAAGAAGGGAGGATGGAGTTACTGACCAGCAAGCATTGATGGTGGGGGCGATAACTTCAATCCACCCGTGTTTGTGGGGGCAGGACATTTTGTATGTGATATAGATTGTTTTCCTACGCTCACCACCCAGACTCGCGTTTCCAATATTATGCTGGATTGGCTATTCTACTATGACAACCTATAACATGCTAACACGGACTTTTAAACTAGGATTGTGTGGCTGGCATCGGATAGACAGAAAAAATTAAAAAAAAGTTAGACAACAAAAGATATAGTCCTTGGTATTTTTTAACACTTCACCCTCTATATACACATTCTTCTAATAAACCGCTTTCCTTGTACCAGCCTTGACTTCCTTTTCTTCATGTGAGCCTACTACAACTCATTAAACGACATAACTCATTGTTTTTTATTACTACGTTCTCTAATATGGAGCCTTTGACTTCATTTCACTCTAACAAGAGATAATATGAATTTATTCTAATATATTATACCTCTGTCTGTTCTACTACACAATGTTAAGCAACGTTTGGCGTTCATATCCTAGTGTCTTGCTGCTCTTCTGTTTCTCTTCTTCTTCATCAGAAATTCGCTCTGAGGGCACAGCTACGAAAATTTCGACGTCTGGAACAAACTTAACGTACGCATTCCCTCAAGGTCACAATTTACAGTAAGCGCTCTATGGGTATACTTTATATCAACTATAAACTCAATAAGTTGCGAAGCATTTTGTGAACCAACAAATGTTGTAATTTATAGATCATGCCTGTAAAAATGACGTGTACCTGCGCATGCAGAAATATATATTATTATAGTTTTCTTCTTCTAAAAGCTTCTTCATTTAAAATAAGGAATCTCCTTTTATCATGGTTTAAATCTTTTTTAACAGGATGTAGTTAATTCGTTTACTTTGAGTCGTGATACTCTAAATCTATGAGTGTAGCCTATCGGGTTATACATCTACCTCTTTGTACTCTATCATATCATCGCACACCTTGCGCAACAAAGAGGATATTCTGTCGATTCCGAGAACCTACACAAACTTACGCCAGAATAT